GTCAAGAACTACTGTTTCAAAAAGCTATGTGTAGTCCTCCTCATCTTGCCTTGAACTCTTTGGCTATACCCTAGGTGTCCCCTTGTAACAGTCTGTGTAAAACAAGCACATTAACCTTTGGAGGGTATCTGTTGATTATTTAGGTAGGTAGGCATGAAACAATGCACACCTATTTTTGCTCAGCCCTGGGGGTCCAAGGCCTGGACATCCAGATGTGGACACTGTGTCGCCTCCACATATCCAGGGAGGATTCTTCCTTACTTCCTCCAGCTCCTGTGTCTCCAGGAGCCTCTAGTCTCTGTCTGCCTTATCTCCTCAGACTCCTCTTGATGTTTTCTCTGTCTCCAACAAGGGCACAGGTTGTGATAGTTAAGCTGGAATGTCAGCTTGACTGCCTTGGGAGCCTCCCAGGTGATTGGTGGAACACATTTGTGGATATCTCTGGGTGGGACATAGAAGTATAATCTTTCTCTGGTCATTGGCCCCTTATTCTCAGGATTCTCCTCTGGTCTGCTCTGCTTCTCTGCTCTACCATGAACTAAAGATATATTGGAGTAAGTTAACCATGGACCATGTCCTCTGAAGCCATGAGCCAAAGAAACCTCTCCTTTAAATCATGGGTATTGGGTGTGGTATCTCAGTGACAAGAAAACCAAACCACATGCAACGACATTCACCTTAAGGCTACCAAATCTTCAGTCACCCAATTTGGCATTCTGAGCTGCCAGGAATTCAACATGGTTTTTACTTTGGTGGCTGGGTGTCTTGGTTCAGGCTGCTGTAACAGTGTCACAGCTGGAGCTTAAACGTTGTTCTTGCTCACAGTTCTGGAGCTGGTGTCCCAGACCCAGGTATACTGAGACCTGCATGTGGCAAGAGTATCTCCTGCTTCCCCACGGGCAGAGGAGAAGGTAGCGAGCTCTCCCCTTGTCTTTTCCTTTGGTCACTCTACCTCTCCCCCAGAAACCCCTTCTCCTTTCCTTCAAAAGCAGCCCACACACAGGCATATTTGGATTTCGTGAAAGCCCTCACAAGGTAGTTTCCATACACAATGGCAAGCCAACTGTGTGCTTCTTGAAGGTAAAGTGCTGTTGTGTTTTTATAGACATTGCCTACGCCTCCATATCCAGGCCCAGCTCAGACCCAAGGTCATGTGCCAACTGCTGGTTTCAACACTGAAAACTGGAGTAACAGAGTACAGTTGTGGGATGTCCTGCTTTGTAGCTGAGAAGCCACATTTGTAAACTTCAAGCATCTGTTTGTCTTCCTTGCACCTGCCTCTTCCTCTATACAAACCTCAGATGTTGGCTTGGGACCCAGGCAGTGGGCATGATAAGCCCACTGAACTTCTCATGGGAGCTAGGCACAAAGGTCCTCTGGCTCCAGTTCCCCTGCCAGCTGTGAGCCCCAAACCCAGCTCCAGCTATGCCCCTCCTCAGGACACTATCCTCCCTTTCCCAAATGGAAAAAGACACCCCCTCACCATGGGTTTGGGGGTTCCTCACCATTTTATAATCACACATCACCTATGGGGCCACCTGGGCCCAGACTCCGGGATTCGGCCCATCAGTACCAGTGCCTTTTCTTACTTGGCCAGGAGTTTTCCCTAGCAGGTAGTAGCACTGGTTTGAAACCCAAGTTGGGAATGACTGTGCAGTCTCCAGCATTCATCCTCCAGCCTCTGCATCTGGTCCTGGGACTGAGGGGGAGCTTTAGACCGTGCTAGGAGCTGGAATATGAACGTGAGCCAGTATTCCTGCATGCATGCGTGAAGGACAGAGAGAGCTGTGTGCTTCCTGGGGAATAGCAGCCTAGTAGGTTCTTTTTGCAGCTCCGCATTTCCCAGTAGCAAGGGAATCTTCTACCCTAGGACAGACTCCACTGCAGAACATGGCTGTAGCACACAGGCAAGGGAGCTACAGCCACTGGGCTTGCCTGGTCATGCTGGAAGGCTTGACCTGGCCATGGAGCCCCTCTTGACACTCTCATTCCGCTCACAGACCACCCACCATCTCCTGTGGCCACAGATCTTCATGGCTGAGACAAAGGCAGAGATTCCCAGGTGCCAGCCCCACCTGTGCCCTCCTTTGTAGGACCTCTTGCCTGGAACATCTGCAGGTCACCTTGTGGCCCGAGCTGCCCAAGGGTGAAGCCCAGGTGTGAGGACCTCTCTGCAAGGTTTTAGAAACCTGTCAGGGCATCAGGTGAGAAGAGTAATACCCAGGGAGCCCCTCCACCTGCAGCCAGCAGATGGTCACCGAGCTAGTGGGTCTTGGGAAGCTTTCCACTACTTCAGGCAGGCTCTCACCATCACATCTCAGATCCAACAAACATCACCTTTAAGAAACCCAGTGGGAGAGCCAATGGGGCTGGACAGAGAATGTGTCAGGCTGCACGGCCGCCTGCCTTTTTCTGGAAGGCGAGCATGGTAGGGGAAGAGCCAGGGACCCAACAAGTGGTGATCCAAAACTCCCTTTTTTGCTCTGCAGCACCACTCAAGTCCTACTGACTTAGTCAAGGTGACACAGACATAAGGAAGAAGAACCAGCCCCAAAAAGCAGGACTAGAGCCCACGGAATGCTAGGAATACCTGAATTGTGTTTTGCAGGTGGGACACACAGAAGGAGGACAGGGCTTGAAGCCCTAGTGCCTCCTGGCTCTGGGCAGCCCCAGGTAAGACAGGCATGTCCCATCCTGCATAGTCCTGACCTCCAGAGGAGATGGGGCCACGCTGCCCAGAGCCCATCCTGCTGAACCCTCCTCAGACTACATGGGGATCTGAGTGCAGCAAAGTGCAGAGAGCCTGTGCCTCAGCTTTCCTGTCTCAGAAAAATCACCTATGCCTGCCCTTGAGGGGTCCTGAACCCAAACTCGGGAGAAAGACCACACTACAGATTCTACTGGCCCCAGCCCCTCAAAGCTGGCCTGTAAGCAGTGTTGCTCCTGCTAGGGTGCCCTCAGACCCAGAGGGACTGAGGGGCAGTCCCTCGATGTGGCCAGCCTGGGCACCCAATCTCTGCCTCTACCCAGTGTGTCATTCCCTTGCTCCATGCCTTCATGGCATCGGTTCCAATGCTGCTGGCTCACTCCAAAGCATCCCAAATAGGACATTATCCAGCTAGACTTTCACCATAAACAGACAGAAGCAGGTGCAGTGTCCAGCATCAGATGGCACAAGTAAATCTGGTTCATGATGTCATGTGACCACTTCAAATGTTTAATAAGTGATGTTAAAGAGTATCTTGTGATAGGTACATACATGGCAATGTTCAGCACAACTTTGTTACTGCAGAATGCATATAGGTTCATAAAACTCAGTTAAAGTGTGTGTGTAAGGCTGCCTCTCTGCAGGCTACATGGCCAATCTTTGTCGTTTCATATGATGAAGATGCAGTCTTATAGCAAACAAGGTCACCTCCAGTTGCTGTTTCTGCTTCCATTACAGTAAAAGGCAGGCCCCTGTGGCATCTCTAGGGCAGGCCACCTGCCTCAAGGCCCTCACTCAACAGCCTCACAAGAGGAAGTAGGAGAAAATATGTTTGAAGTCTGGCCTGTGCCCTGCAGTACCCCTTTGGTGGTGGCCACAAAGGCATTTTGTCACCTCATTTGCTTCTGAGAGCCAGGACATTTACAGTCTCCTCACTGCTCAGAGTCCCACCTGGTGGACACTGGGTATGGTGATGGACTAGGCCCTAAGTCACTCTCACTGTCATAGGGAAGGAGACACAGTGAACTTTTTCCTTATTGGCTATCCCCAACATAAGGGTTGAAGCATGGCCCTTCCCAACAATGCCTGTTACAGTTTGAGTCTGATGTCCCCTCAAAGCCTCATGCAGTCATAAGCGCAGCTTTTTTAAAGGTGACTGGATCTAGAATGTGTGACCCTGGAATGGATTCCTGGTGCAATACGAGGCTCAAGGGCACTAGGATTAACAGTGTGAGTAATGCCTGCCCTAAGTAACCTGGATAGGATAGAAGGTGTTCCATGTTGTCAAATATTGACAGCTTTTATACTGGGTGCCTACCCATTAAAAAAGGAAGAATGGCTCTCACAAACGGTTCTTGTTACATTGTTTTATTGATATAATAGTAATACTATATTTGGCTTTTATTTTTTAAACAAAGAACCTAATTTTGAAAAGACTCTAAATTAAACTACTGTTTCCCCCTCCAAAAAAAAAAAAAAAAAGATAGAAAAGGTAGAAATAGCTGTGGGTGGCCCTTGTTGCTTTGCTGCTTTTTGCCCACCATGAACTGTCTCTCCCTTATAATGCCACCCTCCCTTGAAGCCAGATGATTACAGACTGAAACCTCTACAACTGTAAGCTAAATAAATCTTGGGTGATGGATATTTTGTCTCAGCCACGAGAAAAAGAACTAAGACAGCTCTCAAGTGTAACTTGGGGGCACCGGGGACACCTCCTGGCATTTCCTTGGATGAGCAGAAGAGATTCACTGGTCCCCTATGGAAGGGCTCCCGGGTAGAAGGGGACGGCAGTGACCATCTCCTGCTGCCCACTGGAGGCCCCACTGCCTGCCCTGGCCAGCACGTCAGGTTTGAAGCTCCAGCATCCAGCATCCTGGCGTTCCTCCCCACCCCGTCGCCGCAAGCCTAGGATCACCCCCACACACCGCAAAGAGCCTCTGCCCACAACTCCCACACTGACCTCCTACCTGAGCCATCTGGATCTCAAGAGAATGAACAGGCAGGAGCCCAGATGCAGTGGGACCCAAGGACCCGCGGATGTCATGGGCAAATGAGGCCACCGCTATGTCTCCACCCTCTTGGCTCCCCTGCCAGGCAGGGGAACACAGACCCAGCCTCAGCAGGCGGCCCTCGGCCCTCCCCTCCCCGGCCCCCGGCCCTCCCCTCCCCGGCCCCCGGCCCTCCCCTCCCTGGTCCCTCCCACCTGTGTCGCCGTGGCCACGCCCCATTCGGCTTGTCCCGCCCGCCTGGAGCTCTCCCTCCCGGGGCCCCGCCCCGACCGCCACCTGCGCAGGCGTAGCGCACGATTTGAAAGATGGCGCCGGGCTCGCGGCTGGTTCTGAGTGAGGACATGGTTCGGGAGCGCAGCGGCCTGGGGCCCCACCGCGACCTGGGTGCGCCGCTGGACAGACAGGAGGGCGGGGGCTGGACTGGGCTTCTGCAAGGCAGACGCGCTAACTGTCCGCGTGGCCTCACAGCCCTGCCTAGACGTTCAGATGCCCACCCTTCAGTCTGTGTCACTAAACCGTCTTAGACTAGCGTTGAGGGGGGGGAGAGGGGGAAGGGCAGCGGGAAGTCGGTGGGCAGCAGGGTGAGGAGTCGTCTCCGTATCCCTGCCCTCCTGCCCTCCTGCCCGCCCTGCCTCCCCGTTTCTGGTTTGGGGGAGCTAGGCTCCAAGGGTGGGCGCTCCCTCCCTGCGAGCCTTCCTCTCACGTCCGCAAGCATCTTCTCTGTCTTCCGGACTCAGCTCGTTTTGCTGAGGGTTTTCTGTGTGTGGTTATGAAGGATGGAGATTGGGTAGTTTTCTTTGGGGGCTGTTTTTGGCACCATGATCTTGTTTTTTGCAGAAGTGGTTCTGTAGAACTTGTGCTACTTTGAAGGTTTTGTGGAATTTTTAAACAAAACTATATGATTGTGGAGATTTCTATTTGTCTGGTGGTTTTAGAACAATTTATATTGTCACTACCATCAGGGGATTTTGCGAAATTGGTTCATTTTAAGTTGTCAAATGTAGAGTTGTTTATAGCATGCACTTACTTATGATGCCTGGAGTCTATGCAGAGTCCTTCTTTTGTGTATGATATATTGATAATCTGTACTTTTTTTTTTTTTAGTTTTGTAGAAATTTATGGATGTTATTTATTTATTTATTTATTTATTTATTGCAAAACTGGGGAATTGAACCCCGGCCTTCACACCGAACTGTATCCCAGCCCCTGAGATAAGGTCTCACTAAATCGCTAACTATGGAGGCTGGAATTGTCTAAACCTCCTAGAGTGCTGGGATTATAGGTTTGTGCACCATGCTGACTTAAGTTGATGGAAGAGCAGCTTTTGAGTTGACTTTTCCCCATTGTATTTTTGGTTTAAATCATTTCTCTTTTTGGTTGCTTAGCATTTATTATGCATTTTTCTAGATTCTAGACGCAAAAATGTAAAATATTGATTTGAGACTTCTTATTTTAGTACTATAAATTTTCCTCTAAGCACTGTTAGCTGCAGTTTTGTTAATGTCATAGTTTCATTTTCATTTAGTTGAATGTGTTTTTAAAATTTCTTTTGTGACTTCTTTGAGCTATGGATTATTTAGAAGTGTCATTTTATAAAGTTTCATGTGTTTAGAAATTTTCTTGATATCTTTTATTGATTTTCATATAATTCCATTATGATCATAGAATATACATTACTCTGATTTTAATTGCATTAAATTTGTTACAGTATTTGGTCCGTACTGATGAATGTTACCCATGTCTTTGAAGAGAATGTGTATTGGGCTGAGTGAAGTGTCTTGATGTCAGTTAGATCCTCTTGGCTGATGGTATGGTCTGTTAAACTAGGAAAATTTTCTGTCTAGTAGATCTGCTATATTTTTTCATGTGATTTAAAGCTCTGTTATTTGGTGCTACACATTTAGGGCTTTCCTATCTTTTTCATGGACTGACTCTTTAGCATGTGATATGGTCCTTTTTGTCCCTGGTTACTATTTTGTTGAGGCATTGTTATGCCTCTCCCAAGCCTGTGTGCTCATAGATGGGGATTTTGGGAGTGACTGGATCGTGGGTGTGTGATACTGGATCAAGAATTTGTCATGCTGGATTAATACATTGATTGGTTTAGCATAATTCTGAGTATATCTATAATGGGAAGATCCACCCTTGAGTGGGGTAGCACCAACCAATAGGCTTTTAGCCTGAATGGAATAAAAAGAAAATGAAAGAAGAAAGGCTCCTTCCTGCCTTCTTCCTGTCATACCATGAGCTGTTTCTCCTCTACCATGCCACCCTACCTTGGAACCAGCTGTGAACTGTAACTTCTACAAACTGTAAAGATAAACCTTGCCTCCTTTAACTTGTGGATGTTGAATATTCAGCAGTGACAAAGGAAGACAAGTTTTTGTACCAGAAGTGGGGTTGTTTCTGTGACACTACCTGACTATGTGGTTCAGAAGCCTCGTAAGAAGGGTTTGCAAAAGTGTGGAGATGCTGCCTGGAGAAGCAAACTGAGAATGCTTGTAAGCAGAACCTGATGGAAAATTCTGGTCAGAGCTCAGCAGACCAAACTGTTGACTGCAATGCAGCTGGAAAAGATCAGGCTCAAAACGTATCATTTGGGAACAAGGACTATATTGGCAGTTGGATTCAGGAACATGTGTGTTATGTTTTGGCATAAAATTTGTCTACGTTTTGCCCATGTCCACAGACATTGCAGGGGGCTTGAGAGTAAGGGCAGTGGACTAATTAATCCGGCAAAAAAAAATTTCAAGATAGTCTAATGCTGACACAGCATGGCTACTATTGGAGATTTTTAGCCAGCTCTACCTTGAGAATCAAAAACAAAGGGCCCAGCAGAATGAATTAAGAAGTTTCAAGTTTGGCCAGAAAGAAAGCTCCAGTAAAATTGCCTAATAGAGGAAAACTTGGTTGCTGAAAGGACTGGCATTAAAAAACCAAGTTCTTTGGAACTGGACAAAAGAAAAGATGAGTACATCACAAGAACCAGCAGGACTCTACTCTTTGCAGTTACAAATGTAAACACTTTGCTTTGAGAAGAGAATGCTAAAGTACCATGTTGCAAAATGGTAGCAGCTTAGAAAATTTGTTGTTTGGGATTGAGTTCACAGTCTCAACAATCTAGGCCCTCCACCCCTATAAGCCAACAAAAAAGGAAGCCTGACTACTGCTCCAGCTGGCAACAGACCCTACCGTCATCCACATGGTACTGGTTTTAGGCACATGTAGAATGGAGGAATTGTGGATCAGGAGGTTCCCAACCAGATTTCAGAAGGCTTGGGAGGCCAAGCATTGTGCCCTTGTGAAGCTGTGAGTGTGAAGCTGAAGATGTAGTAGAGACCCCAAAAAGTTGGAGAAATATATGAAGAACCAGCTGAGAAAAGCTGCAAGGAATGATCAAAGCTGGCTGGAGAGAGAAGCCATGAGAGCTGCAAACACCAGTGGTGCCATAGGGGCAGGGTCATTCAAACCCTTTGGAGTTCACATCTTGCCCCAGATGCTGGCATGGAACTGAGGGATTTAATGTTTGCCCTACTGGATTTTGGTCTTGTTTTAGTTCCATTCCTTTTAGTTCCCCAGTTTGTGCCTTTTTGAATGAGAATGTTTATCTTGTGCCCTACATTAGAAGGATTTAACTTTCTTTATATTTCTCTAGGGACTTGCAGGTAAGAGTATGCCCTAAATCTTAGAGAAGAATTGAAGTTGGACTTTTCAGTAATGCTGAAAGTGTTAGGATTTTGGCAACTTTTAGAGATGGATTAAATGCATTTTGATTAAAATAATGTGTAAGACTTTTGGGGACCAGAGGCAAAATGTTATGGCTTGTACCTAGATATTCCCCCAAAGCCTTGTGTGCTCATAGTGACTGGATCATGGGTATATGATACTGAATTCTGGGTCCAGTGACTGAGTTAGTCCCCTCACTGGATTAGCATAGTTCTAAGTGTGACTCAGTGGACTTACTGAAATCAGAAGACTCACTTTGGATATGAATGGCACCAACCAATAGGCTTGTAACCTGGGTGGAACCAAAAGGGAACAAAAGAAGGAAGGCTGCTTCCTGCCTCCAGCTGCCACACCTTGAATTGTTTCTCCTCTGCTGTGTCCTTCTGCCATGCTACCCTGCCTTGGAACCAGCCAACTGGGACTAAAACGTCTACAAACTATAAGTTAAATAAACCTTTCCTCTAATTTCTGGGTGCTAGTTATTTTGTCCCAGTAGTGAGAAAGTGAGAAAGTAAGACTTTCTTTGGTAATTGTGTATTTCAATTTCACTTTTTTCCTGTGGTACTGAAGACTGAATCCAGGGTCTTGAGGTTCATGCGTGCTAGGCAAGCACTCTACCAAGTTCTGGCCTGTTTCTTTAGCTGTCTTTTGATGAATATTTACCTAGCAAGTCTTTTCCCATCTAGTTACTTTAAGCTTTCACATGCCTGTATCATATTTATCTTGGTTCATTATTGTTTATCTACTGTTTATCTCTGTATCCTACTAGTATTTTTTGGACCACTTACATTTATTATAATTGTTATTATAGCAGAAGTTAATGAGCCTTTTTACTTTTTTTAAAATTTTCTTTCTTTTTTCTTGTTTTCCTACTTTCTTGTGGTTTACTTACATATTTTTAAAATCCCGTTTTGACTTACCTTATTTCAGAGTCTGTCTCTTCATTTGGTTTTCTTAGTGGTTACACATTACAGTATGGATATTTTACCATGTCCAAGTAAAAACCATTATTGAAATTTCTTTACCATCCCCATCTTAAAATTTAGTCTTGAATAGTCCCTTTACATACCTTGAGAGCCACACTGGTGATATAATGTTTTTTTACAACCACCTCATATTTTAAGTAACGCAACCATAGACACTTATCCACATTTACCTCTTCTATCATTCTTTCCTGAGTCCTAATGTTTGAGATTTTCTTTCTTTTTGGATATTGGGAATCAAACTCAGGACCTCATGCTTGCCAGGCAGGCACTGTGCACCTGAGCTAAATCCTTGCCCTATTTGTTTCATGTTTGAGGAACTTTTTAAAGCAATTATCTTAGGGTAGATATGCTGGTGTCAAGTTCCTTCTTCTTCTTCTTCTTCTTCTTCTTCTTCTTCTTCTTCTTCTCTCTCTCTCTCTCTCTCTCTCTCTCTCTCTAATCCTGAATACTATTTTTAGGATATTCTAAGCTCCTTGGAAGTTTACAGCCATTAGTTTTTCAAATTTTAACCATTTTTGTCACCCAGTCCTTTTTTTCTTTTTGAAGCTCCAATTAGAACACTGTGAATATTATGAAGGAATGTTGGATCTTTTTGACCACAGTCACAGAAGTTCTACTTATTTTTAGTCTTTTTTTCTGTATTGGCCAGACTGGATAGTTTCAGTCAGTCTTTGTGTTCACTATTTTAGAATTTTTTTCCCTGTGTAATTGCCTGCCTTCTTTGTATCTTCTGTTTGTTTGTCAAGATTCTGTTTTTTATTTGTTTTAGGAATATTCATAATTGCTTATTAAAGTAATTTTATGGTATTTTAGTTGTTAGATCAATTCTGGCTTCTCTGTCATTTCATTGTTGGTGTCTGTTGATTGTGTTTTCTCATTCAGATAGAGATTTTTCTGGTTCAAGGTCATTTTTCTTATTGTGAACAGTATGACCCCACTTCCTCTTCAGAGCTTTTCAGTCACTGCTGGGTCCTGCTGCGTGTGTAGACTTATCGCTGAGCTGACAGCCAGGCTCCAGAGACGACTTGCTATGCTCCCCTGGGATGTAAGTCAGGTCCACTGACCTAGGCCTATGATCTCTGTGTCAGCTGGCAGAAAGCTAATGTCTGAGCCTGTCCTTCCTGGCCCTTCCTAGGCCTCAGACCACACAGAACAGGCTAGGTCTGTGTCCTTTGGTGTTTCTGGAGTGTGCTTAATTTGGATGTACAGGAGGCATACACATGTGCACACACATACTTGGTCATTTCCTGAGACCTGTGATTCCCGGACAGTCAGCTTTCTGACCCTCCAAGTTCAGCACTTTCTTGTGCGTTTCTGTGCAGGGTACCTGGTATTAAATCAGGAGGTACACAGTGCAGTGCATGTGGAGCTACAAGTCCTTAAACCACATTGTAAACTTAATTATTTTAACACCTAACTGTTCCTGGAAAAGTGTTTGCTTATTGAGCTCCAAATTGTCTTTTTGATTATAGAAACTTTTTGTAATGGCATTTAGTTAATGAGTGTGTACTGAATGTGCCTTGCAGAGGCAAGCTGCTGTGCCAAACATTTGATGTCTGCCCTAGAAGTAAGGGCTGGTAGTCTCAGGTTGTGGTCCCTGTGTGGAGGTCATGAAAGGCTGGAGCTGAGCAGTTAATTAAGAGTGCAAGTGGAGCTGGAGAAGGATGCTCTGGGAAGGAGGCTTAGAAGAAGGCAACTGGAAGGTGGGGTGGGCTAGAGTCAAACTGGTGAAAACAGAAGCTGAAACTTGAAATCAGTCCCTCTTCTTTAATGTTGATATTCAAACTCCTCCTCCTCCTCCTGCTTGCCCTCTTTCTCTTCCTCCTTATTATTGTCAGTACTGGAAATTAAACCCAGTGCCTTTGCACTGAGCTATATTCCCAGCCCTTTTTTATTTTTTATTTTGAGACAGGTTTTGTTAAGTCAGTAAGTTGCTGAGGCTGGGCTTGAACTTGCTAAGTGACTTCATTCAGATTATGAGATTATAATAGTTTATTATAAGAAAACATGGAAAATGTCTAAGAAGGAAAATGAAGAAACTTATTCCAAATGGATTAAGTGTTAATGTTTTATTTTACACCTTTTGACGTTTTTATATTTGTGTGCCAAAGAAAAATATTATTCAGTAGCATTTATTAAAGAATGGTAAAGAGACTGTTCTGGACCATTTGGATAGCTGTAAGGACTGCTGTAATAGAATTTTGCAGTCTGAGAGAGGGATTGAGTTCAACTCTGGATACAGTGTAGATATTTGTAACCAAGCCAGGAGGGTGAGGGGAGTCAGTGGGCAGAAACAAGGGATCAGAGGGAGTCTTCTGAAAACAGGTGGAGAATGGGGGATCTGGACAGGGTTTGAGGGTGCATGGATATAGGCAGTGGGTGTATTGCTCATGCAGCTTCAGGGGACTCTGAGACCAGGAAGTACAGAAACGGGCTCAGGAAAAGGTTAGATCAGCTACTCTTCATATCTGTTACATTTCCAGAAGCTAATTTGAACTCATAATTGGACTTTGGTTATAATATTTATTTGTTATAATATTTATTTTCAATTTAAAAGGATTATAATCATAATTGTCTATTCTTAGCTGAACTTGAGTCATTATCTATTCCTGGAACATACCAAGAAACTATTTCTCACCTGGGAAGTTCTCTGATGCATCTAACAGGTCTAAAGTCTTTAGATCTTTCACACAACTCTTTGGTTAGTCTAGAGGTGAGTTTTAGGTTTATTTCTTAAAAGAAAATTTATTCCTGCACAATCAGTAGAAAATATATTTACAGTAATTGTAATATATTTTGTAACTATGCATGTAATAGTTATAAACTGTATTCTTACAATGATGCACAAATTTTGTATCGTTTACTGGTATTAAATATTTCATCTTTAAACTACTTTGAAGACCAAAGTTTTAGCTCTCTGAAGAAAATGCATTATCTTTAAAGGGAATGAAACAAGGTCCCAAAGATCCAAATGCAGGTGTCCCTACCTCTCCATCCCTTCCATAGGCTTGGGACTTGCTGCAGCATGGTATCCAAGTGTGATTCAGAAATCACCCTAGTGACCCAAGTGGGAACACTGTATAAACTCTGCTTGTAACTTGATTCAAAGAGGGGGCTGTTAATTCAGAGAGGTTTTTCACAGAAATGCAGGACATTACAGCTCCAGAACATGGGGCCATGCCTGACACAAAACTTTGAAGCTTGGCACAGTCAGATTCAAGCTGCAACCTAGGCTGCACCCAATGCTGATTCTTCCAGTTCCCCCTTCCTTGATTTCCAAACTTGTAAAATGGGAGCATTAATAATTCTAATGCTGATGGGTTGTGTATAGAATAAATGAAACTAAATCTCTTCACATGGAGCATACTAAGGCTCAGAAGATTGTACCTGTGCTTAGTACTAGTAAGACTAGCAGACATGCATTCAAACACCATTTGTTTGTTTGTTTGTTGTTACCAGGGATCAAACTCCCTACCTACCTTGGCAGGCAGGCACTTACCCTGCTGAGCTAAATCCTGTCCCCCCAACACCTTTTGTTTTTAAGCTTTTCCTGGTAACAGCATCTGTTCATTGTAAGTGTATCTAAGTTGATCCGTCAGATGGCTTCTTTTGCTGTGTGTTTATTTTTTAAAGCATGGGTTGATGAGCATGCTTCCCGTTAACAGGGCATTCAGTACTTGGTTTCCTTGGAAAGGCTCAACCTCTACTACAATTGCATATCTTCCTTAGCGGAAGTATTTCGGCTCCACACCTTAACTGAACTCCAGGATGTGGACTTGCGACTAAACCCAGTTGTGAAGAGCGAGCCTGACTACCGACTGTTTGTGCTGCACATGCTCCCCAGGCTCCGGCAGCTAGGTAGGCAGGGTGGCCTTGTGCGGGCACCCTCACTCTGGAGCTCTCTGGGGGACTGAGCTTTGATTCCCTCGGGAAAAGGAAGTGGTTTTTCTACTTTCTTGAGTCCTAAATAACTGGAGACAGAAGGCACTAGGCCCTGTGTCCTTACAGGGTAGTTCTGGAAGGGGATCTATCTAGGAAGAGGATCAGGGACCACACTGTCCTAGCCAGCCCACTACCCTATTCTTACAGACAATTCTCCACTTTTTGTTGCTTGTCTTAGTCACTTTTTGGCACTGACATCCACATTTAAGAGAGGAAAGATTTACTTTGACTCACAGTTTGTAGAAATTTCAGTTGGCAGTTGGCTGGCTGCAGCGCAGGCCAGCACGGCACAGGAGTGTGGGGAGAAAGCTGCTCATGGCAAGGTGGCAGGGAAGCAGAGAGAGCGAGGAGGAGCTGGTAAGGAGATAGACCTTCCCAGGCCACACCCTCACTGACCTACCTTCTGATTAGACCCTGCTTCCTAATTGCAAATGAGCTGTAAGCCCCCATAATCCATGTACCTTCCAAAAGTCCCACCTTTGAGCACAGTGAGGCTTCGGGGTGGATCTCTGAGGATATGTGCTGCTGAAGTGAGAACGGGGATGGGGGACACTGTTTCACTTGGGCAGCTTTCTGAATTTGCCATCTTCTCATGGCTCTCAGGCATCATCTTGCGCTCATCTAGACAGCTGGATTCTCCCTGGTTTTGTAGCCATCTGAAAGACACAGCCAAGCAGTTCATTATGTCTCCCCAAGTGACAGATGAGATGAAACAAGGAGCAGGGACCACTTTGCTTCACTGCCCAGTATTCCTAAAAAATGTGGGTTTTATCACAGCTGTGTGGGCAGAGCTGCCTGGGGCCCACAGCTCTATCCAGTTAAGGAGGGTCCTTTAGCTGGAAACAGCCACGGGTCACCTCTCCACCTGCCTTCTGGTAGGCGTCTTCATCCTGTGTGGTATATTGCTGGCTCTGCTGATGCTGCCACATGCTGTGCTTCCAGGGGAGAGAATGGGACCGTAGCCTGAGGACACATGGACCAGAAGCCCTTCGAAAGGGATGGTTTGGGGTCTCTGAGCTCCATTCTGCTGTGTGGAGTGGATAATAACCAATGCTGAGCTGGACCGGGGATATGGCTTATTGGCATAGCACCTGCCTGCCTTAAACCTGCCTTACACCAAGTGTAAGGTCCTGATTTTGATTCCCAGTACCAAAAACAAAGAATGCTGAGCTTATATGGTTAGTTCCCAGGTTAGCACCTGACTGAATCAGGGCTTTGTAAATGTCCCTTGGCCTCTTATTGGAATCAAACTTTCTATGTACAATCACTGTTGGAAACATGACCCTTTTTTTGAACCTGGAAGGTCAGTCAAAGAAATGAAAGAACCAATAAAGGACAAAACATTTCTCCCATAGCAAATGCCCACACAAGGCAGTGTCCTGCAGTTGTGGGTAGTACAAGATTCTTTTGGAAAATGGAGAGTTAGATGTCAGCATTAAGCTTATAGCAGCAGAGAGAGGCTGATACAGTTTGAGGATGTTCAGGCCTGTCTAGTGACGTATGCCTGGCTTTTGTGTGTGGTTATTCGTGGTCTGGGCATGGGTAAGAGTAGCACTGGTTTTGTATGCGTGAGACAAACCCAGGGTGGACATCTCATCAGCCAGCCTCATCAGGGAAGGTCTTCAACATAACTGCCTTGCACAGTCCTTCCACAGCCCAGGAGGGTGTTACTGTGTGAAACCCCTTCCTATAGATGGAACAGTAAGCCATGGAGCCTCTGACTGCCTTGGCAAATGGTTGCTGAACTAGGCCTAGACCAGGCCATCTAGGCTGTTGTATTGTCACAATTAGGACTGAGATGTTTTGACCATAGAGCAATCTTTTCTGTGTAAATTGTGTTGACATTTTAAATTGTAATGAGTAGACATTTCTGGAGGTGCTAGAAGGGGCTGTTGTCAACATGAAATGCACAGCCGCTGGTATTTCAGCCCATTTTTATAAAAGATTAACAGCAAGAATGCCAACATCTCTATACTGGTTGTTTACAGAAACTCGCCTGTTTATAACTCAGTCACAACTGCTTTTTCCAACCATCTGAAAGTAATTTGAGGTCTAGCGTAATAGCCCAAGCTCTGACTGCCTCCGCAGCTTAGTAGGTTCCATTCTGGCTCAGGTTCAAACTGGTGGGGAGCAGATGGGCAGATGCATCTGACTGGGTTGGTGGTCTGTCTTCTGCCCCTGTGGCAATGACCATGTGCCCTCAGTCCTAAGTTTCATTGTTTGGTAGGAGCCAAAGTGTGCTGGGTGTCTGCATCTCCCATGGACTGACCTACCAGCACTCAGTGACCCCAGCTCCAATATACTGTGTGCATAGATAGGGACTCTCTGGTTCCCACATAGCAGGTGCTGGGGTCATGGGTGCCCCCAGGGGCTCACAATGTCTGGAGACCTCAGGTCCTATAGTGCAGTTGTGAAAATCTCAGTCAAAGTATGTGGCACTGGCCTCCTGGGAATTTGGCCATGCTGTTAGATCATAGTGCTGGGCTGTGTGCCTGAAGCACGCTACATAGTTTGAAAACTCCTTGAAATTTCCAGGTTTTGTTTGAAGACATTTGGACAGAGTGAGTGCTTGTGTTCTATCTTTTATTTGACTGTTTGAGCAAGTAACTTGTAAGTAGTTGGGTTTGACTCTTTTTTTAAAAACATTACAGTCACTATGGGTAGCTTTGGGAATCTTCACTTTTAAATCATTGCTTTCTCTTTGTCATAATAGTGCTAGATTGAGAATGTTACAGTGTTTAACATAGAGAAGGAATGTGAGTCTTCTTGCACATGAAGATACAAGACATGTCATTAGAATCAAAAGTCATTGTAAAACTCTGTCCAGATCCACTCTGCTACCAAGTGCCTGAGAAGAGCAATCCATCTCCTTTGGTAGCTAAAAGACCCTACGGGAGTGTGCAGAGGAAGTAAGGTGGGTGGTGCAGTCTGGTCAGGGGCTGCAATAGTCAGGAGAGGTTATAGTGTGTAGGGCCGGGACCTGGCTTTGGATATGCTGAGTGGTTCAGGGAGATAGTGTTGGAGTAAGGGGCTTGGAGCTGCTCAGAGAGTAGATTGGGTCTCCAGCGTGGGAAGGGTGCTCTGCTGGAGGTGGGAAAGGCTAAAAACTGAGAGCTAGGGGTGAGAGAAGAAGGCTTAGGAAAACAGTAGAAGTGGGTGTCACATACCTGGGGCATTGCATGAAGAAAGAAAAGAACAGTCCCAGCTTGCAGGTCATCTGACCTGGCACTGGTGCATGACCTTCAGAATTCTGGTTTTTCTGTTTTGAAAACTGTATCACACTATTAAATTTACGCATTTCTTACTAATTGTATAATTTTTAAGGTATACAGTTGGGCAAGTGTTCTTTGGAAAGTAGCATGGGAATTTAACCACATTTACAGCATTAGTTCTGTGCTAAAATGTGTGGTGAGTTCTGACAGTTGGGGACCTTTTCATCCTTATTTGTATAAGGGGGCTCTAGGAGCTTTTGGAAGAAGCCTCCCGAGTCCCCAGGCCTACATTTGGGAAATTGAAGTCTTCCTGTCTCTGTGGGCCACCCTAAGGGCAAACACACACTATAGTTTACTTCACTGTGCTTGTTTGGGGTTCTCCACCACAGAGACTCGTCAGTATGCTGTGTGATGAGGATCTCATCTGGTACCTGATGTGCATATGTAAGGTGTGAGTGTGTGTGCACCTTACACATATGCTGTTTGTTCCTACAGGCAATAGCCTATCCCAGAACAGGTTTGAAAGGTGAGCTTCTGGGGAGCTGGCCAGCCTCATGGTGCTGCCCTTGGTATCTGTGTCATGGGAACCAAGCACAGGCCCTGGAGCTCAGCATCCCTGGATAGGGACTGTCTCCTGCTGGCAGGGGACACTGTGGCAGGTCAGTCCTGGACGTGCAGAAGTTTCCTGTGCAGTATGCTTCAGGAGTAAGGCACCTGTTACCCACCCTGCCGTCCTTGCAGTTCTCTGGAATTTTCTCCCTAGATGATCGTCTGGTGAGAGAGAGTGAACGGAAGGCTTCCCAATGGCATTTTGCCCTGGAGGATTCACTCGACTCAAAGGAGAGCTTACCACCTGCTTTGAAAGTTGGAAGGTATGGACAGACATGGTCTGGACACTCAGACATTTTTCAAACTGGCCTGTTGACAGGATGTTCAACCATAGTCATAAAAACCTATGTGCACCAGCCACCCTCAAAGAGCAGATTTGTAGGAACAGAAGCAGGAGGTTCCTGCCATGACTAGAACTCCAGCAAATGGAGACAGGGTGTCTTTGCTTGTTTTTCACATTTCCTGTAAGTTAGTTTTTAATATTTAAAAATGGTCATTACAGTGGTATGTGTAAAAGTCAAACACTCAAGATGGCTCACAAAGGGAAACAGCAGTCCTCCTCCTGGTCCTCAGCTGCATCACTTCTGTGACTAAGGCTTGCAGGTTCTGTGCAAGTAACTTCCTTATGTCTTGTGCCACCAAATCCTGCTCCTGCACGTGAATGTTTACGTAGGAACCCCTTCCTGAGTGGAGATTGGGTGCCTTGCAGCACCCACGCCCCAGACAGAGTAGGTCATGGATGTGCCCTCTCTGTCCTTTCTGCTTCTGTGGCCAGTGCTCCTGGTCTCTCCTTGGTTGGTTCTGGGTGCCACACCTGCCTCATCCCACTGTCCATGCCACAGATACTGCCATCTGAATCTCCGTGTTTGATTCATATTGTCAGGCTGACAGTATTTAATGTACTCTGCAGTCAGAAAGAGCCTTCATGCTTTGTGTATGGGTAGCTTCTAAAGAACAAAGTTCTATAAACCATGTTAAAGTTGCAGAATGAAGAGCTTGAATTTTATCTTCTTTCTGGTTTGCCATTTTGTTTTCTCTAGCTTTTAATAGTATTTTTTTCTTGTATCATATAACTTAGCTCAACCTAAATTCCTTTAATGCAGGGTTGGCCAATTTTTTTTAAATGAACCACCAGAGGAAGAATGTTCTAACCTCTGAACCAAATAATCTTTTTTAGCTTCCCAACTCTGTGGTGTGGAAGTAGCCATAAGTGATATGGAAATGATATCAGTGTTCCAATAAAAACATATAGTGAGCCAGATTTGGCCTATGGGCCACAGTTTACCTACTCTGTTGTATCAAGAATAGTTCGAAATCCTTGGGATCTCCTGAAATGCCTCCCCTGCACCTCTGTTTCTATGTCAAACCAGAATTGCTGCATAGACAGCTGTACCATGGTACCCAGCAAATTTTGAGGGTGGAGATAATACCATATATCATAGTGTCTCTTGTCTCGGTTTTTCTTTCATTTTGCTGTGCACATTACTATTTAGGGAGCAGCAACCTACTTTCAAAAAGCTCTGGCCTAAAATTATGGTTTATGGATGAAATTGTAAAGACAGAGAATTAGCTGAGTGCATGTGAGCCAGCCCTGAGGCTCTCAGCCCACAGAAAGGCAAGTCTTGTCATGGAGAGAGAGTAGACTCTGCCTGCCTTTATCATTGCAGGAAGGGGAGAGGACCATGGGGTGCTGGTCACCAGGAAGTGACCTGAAAGGGAGGGAGCTCCTGGAGTGCACATGGCCTCGGCTTCCTCTGTACCTGATGCAGAATGACTGGCCCTGTGGCTTGCTCAGTGAAACAGGAGTCTCAGAGCCACTCCCCCTCCTGCATGTCTTCAGTCATCTTCCCAGAAGAGTGTGTGGAAGTGTGTAGTACATATGGTGGCTTAGTTCTCACACTTGACATATAGCGAATCCTCTCCCAGGGAACAGTATCTTAGTTCAGGCTGCTAATGAAGTGCTGCAGACCATGTGGTTTATAAGCAACAAACATTCATTCCTCACAGCCTGGGGACTGGAACTCTAACATGTTTTCCAACATGGCTGGGTTCTGGTTAAAGCTGTCTTCTGGACTGCAGTCTGTCCAGTTCCCACTGTGTCTTTACAGGATGGAGGGACATTGGAGCTTCCTCGGGACCCTTCCTTTAATGGCACTAACTCCTTTCATCAGAACTCTGTCTTCATGACCTAGTCACCTATGAGCCCACCTCCTAATTTCACACTGGGGGTTTGGGTTTAACATGGAAATTTGGGAAGGACACAAATACTCAGTCTTTTGCAGGAAGCTTTATATTTGATAGTAGTTTAGGTTTACAGAAAATTTGACTACAAAATACAGTTTCATCTATTAGCACTTTGACCAGTACATGAAGTCATGTATCCTTACAGTATCACACAGAATAGTTTCACTGCCCGCCCTGAAAGTCTCCTATGTTTCATCTATTTCTTTTTCCTTCCCTCCTCCCAACCCCCCCCAAATCTGTTCTTTTTTTATTATCTCCATAATTTTCTCTATTCCATAATACCATATAGTTGGAATTTGCAGTGATTTGTATATATAATTTATATGTGTCCCATAAAGCTTCATTTTTGGAAGCTGATTCCTTACTGTGTTGCTGTTAAGAACTGGTGGGACCTTAAGAAGTGGGGCCCAGTAGAAGGATGTTAGGTCATTGACAGAGTGTCCTCAGAGGATGACAATGAGTTGTGATAAATGAGCCCCAGCCCTGAATCACTCTGGCTTCCTGCACACACCATCATAATGTGGCACAGCCAAGGGGTCTTCCCCAGAGACCAGCACACAGTGTTTGGACTATTATACTGCAAAGCATGAGCTGAGTAGACCTTCATTCAAATTCAGCTGCTGCAGGACACCTTGGTTGCCTTTAAGTTTTGGCAGTTGTACATAAACATTTGTTTGCAGGTTTTTATGTGGACAAAAGTCATCATTTCATTTGGATACATAGCAAGGATCTTGCTTGTTAAATATCACTTGACTGTGTGAGAGTTTTCTGGGCTCTGTTTTGCTCCATTGATGTGTTTGTGTTTTCACCTGTGCCACACTGTCTCGGTTAGCTTTAGGGTAGGTCGGGAATTCGGTAGTTCAGACGTATCACTCTGTTCTTCTCCATCAATATAGCCTTGGCCATTTGGAGGTTTTACCTCTGTCTGAACCTCAGAATCAGTTGTTGATATCCACCAGATAACTTGCTGATATTCTGTTTGGAATTTTGTTGAAGCAACCTGGAAGAACTAATATTTTGACAATAAGAGCCTCCCTCCTCATTAACATGGGCTGTTAATTTAGTTCTCTAATTTCTCTCATCAGTTTTCTAATTTTTCTCATGTTGATTTTGTACATATATTGTTGTATTTATATCTAATACTCATAACATACTATCGTAAATAATATTGCACTATTTTGTTGTCATTGTCATTGTTTCAAATTCCAGTTGTTCATTGTTGGTAATAAGAAAGCAGTTGACTTTTATATACAAAGCCCATGTATAGTTTCCCATGGTTTATTAGTGTAACAAAGCACCATATACCAGGTTGCTTTGAGTAACAGAAATGCGTTCTCACAGTGCTGAGGGATTGAAACACTAGGCTGAGGTATTGGTGGGATAGGAACCTCCCGAGGACTGTGAGGGAGGTGAGTGTTCCACACCTGTTTTCTGACTGCTCGTGGTGTGCGGGTAATCTTTGGTGTTCCTTGGCTTGTGGATGCATTTTCTAACTATCTGCCTTCACATGATCATATTCTCCCTGTGTCTCTTCATGGAATCTTCCTCTGTGTAAGTCTGTGTCCAAATTTTCCCTTTTATAAGAATATCAGTGATAATAAAAGTCCACCTAAGGACCTCATATTAACTTGATTACTCATTAAAGACCTTATTTCCAAATAGGTCACATTCTGAGTAATTGGGGTAAAGACTTTATATCTTTGTAGGGATTTAGGTTTGGGTTTTTGGTTTGTTTTTAGAAATAGGGCCTCACTATGAAGCTTAGGCTGGGCTTGATCTTGCCTGGACTCTCCTGCCTCATTTCCTATATTTTTGGTAGGTGTCAGCTTTTTGTTGCTGTGACAAAATACCTGAGAATAGCAACTTAAGAGGCAAGGCTTATTTTGGCTTCCAGTTTCAGAGGTTTTAGGCCATGGTGCACTAGCTTCATTGCTTCTGTGTCTGTGACAAGGCTGAATCATGGGGGAAGGATGTTAGAGAAAAGCTGCTCACTTCATGGCACCTGGAAAGGGGAGACCAGGAGACGGAGAGGGAGAAGGGGAACCAGTGCTAAGCTTTCTCTTCTATTTTGTTTCATCTGGGCCTGCAGCCTCTTGGGTGGTGCTGTTCCACTCAGACTGAGGCTTCCTGCTCAGTGTGCTGTCCCACTTGCCAGCCATCTCTGAAAACACCTTCCCAGATACACCCAGAGGTGTGCATCACTGGTTCTTCCACTGATTTCTCAGTCTAGTCAAGATGATAATCATACCCTGTATCTTATAACTTTGCTGTAATCACTTATTAGTACCATGAGGTTTTTCAGGATTTTTTGCTTAGATATTCAGGTCATCTGTAAATAAAAAGTTTTATTTTTTCCTTTCCAGTTTGTATATCTTTTATCTCTTGTACGTGTCTTGCTGCATTAGCTAGGACTTACTGTACAGTGCTAAAGCAGTGGCAAGAGTTTGCTTTGTCCCTGGTCTTAGCAGGAAAGCTAGTTTCTTATCTGAAGTATAAAGTGGGCTGTAGTTTTTGTACAGTCTTTGTCAAGTTGAGGAAGCCCCTTCTACTACTAAGTTAGGGCAAATTTTTATCATAACTAGGTGTTGGATTTTATCAGATGCTTTTTCTGTATTTATTGATATGATTGTGTGATTTTTTTCCTTATTGTAATGTTATGTTTTTTCAGTTATTCAAAATATTTTTAAATTTCTCTTGAGCTTTCATCTTCAATTCATCATTTAGAAGGGAGTTGTCAATCTCAGAGTATTTGAGAATTTTCCAATTACCTTTCTATTACTATTTCTAATTTAATTCCATTATAGTCTGAGGAATACATTATGATTTCAATTCTTTTAAATCTGCCAGCATATGGTTTATGGCCTCAAATGAGGTCTATCTGGTGGATGTTCCATGAAGTCTAGAGAAAAAGATGTACTCTTCTGTTGTTTGATGAAAGCAGGTGTGTCCTTACTGATTTTTGTCCATTTCTGGTGGGATGGTGAGGGAGCCTCCAAGACAGTGGATTCATCCACCACCTTTCGAGTTTGTCAAATCTGTCAGACTTATTTTGAGCCTTCATTGTTAGGCACAGACATTTGAGGAATATTAGGTCTTCTGGGAGCTTGACTCCTTTCTCATTACCTAAAGACCTTCTTGTAGGACTCTACCTGAAGTTAGCGTGAGATCCCACAGGTTGAGAACTGAGACCTCAAGACCAGTGGTCCCCAACCTTTTTAACAGAAGGGGCTGCTTTTGTGGAACTCAGTATTTCCACAGAACCGGAATAGAGGTGGGGGATGATTTCAGATGATTCAAGTGCATTACATTAACCATGTACTTTATTTCTACTATTAGAATATCATAATGTATAATGGAATAATTACACAGCTCACCAGAGTACAGAATCATTGGGAGCCTTGAGCTTATTTTCCTGCAGCTAGGAAGTCCCATGCAAAACTGAAATAAAACAGATGCCAAAGTTAGTTGCTTTTGTCCAAGCAGACCCGTAATCTCATATTGGTTGCTGTCACTGCGGAAAACACTGCTTTACAAAGATAGGATGTTGGAGGTAGGCTTTTTTTTTTTAAACATTCTCAGAATGTTCCTGTAACCCAGAACATATGGAGATTGGAAATTGTCTCAAACATACTTTTAGGCCACTGTCATTTGTGATCTGAATCACTTGATCCTTTTCCATTGTCGAGAAAGTTGATTAACTAGCTTATTTACAAAGAGGTACAGATCCATTCTGTCTTGGTTTGGGGGTCTTTTGTGATTGGGAAGCAATACTCAAATTCTTTTGAAAACTAAGATAGGTGATCAGGCACAAGCTAGGAGAAAGAAGGCCCTGGCTCACTTGGTCTGTTTCAAAATCTCTGCTAATGTTTGAAACACATCAAAACCCCAATGTTTACTTACCACCCCTATAATGCCTATTTGGCTTTGAATTTACCACTTTATCTGCTGACTTGAACACAGTAGTCCTTCTCCCCTAAAGTGACAGATTGAGTCAACCTGTTGAGAGGTTGAATATGTCTCACAAATAGGCAAGTTTTATGACCCATTCTGGGCCATTGAAATGTGCTACTAACGATAATTCTTTTTCTAAAAGAAATCTGTGAGGCACAGTGACTGGCCAGCAGTCTTCCTGTAAAAAGCTATCCTCTTTCACCTTACATAGGGTGGAATTTAAAGTCTAACCTGCTGATCCTGCCACGGCCTCTGGCAACAGCGCCTCCTGATCTACCCAGGGCCCTGCCATCAGCCAGCTCAGTGCACACATAGGACTCTGGTCACTGGAGATTCCAAGGGTTTGGGGATCTGTGTGAGGAGACTGGGTGAAGGAGCAAACACATGCTTCATGGTATCATAGTAGACAAGCTTTTCACCACAACGAGTGGTCCATTATGAAAGCTTTAGTTGTGGATATTGTGATTGCAGATAGTGTCACCTGTCCTTGATACTTCCAAGACTGGGGTGTCACAAAGACTGGAGGTAAAGACCTAATAGGTGACCTAGGCCAATTTACTAAGCATCTAAAGGAGACCGTGAACATGAGTGGTTGTACTGTGCTTAGACATTAGGGCAGCCCCAGACTCAGGCCCTGGGTCACTTTCTTCGGACTACACTCTGCAGAAACCAAGGCAGTGACTGGGCTCTCAAAACAGAGCAGCAGTAAAATATCATACATGTGAACTTCCTCCTCAGAGCATTCTTCACAGGGTTTGCTTCACAGAGCATTCTTGCATTGGGTTTGTTGGAGAGAGGACCCTTTTGAGTGTGTTCACCTTGTCTAGAGGTGTTATGGTAGCATTTTGTGACCTTACTGTTGGCCACCAATTGTCCTGGGTCAGTCCCTTCTCCCAGTCACCTGGTAGAGGGGTGAGGGCCATAATCCTGCAGTATCACCAAGCTGCTTCTGACAGCTGTGCAGATGTGCCTCTGGGCCAGGGCACACCACAAGCTGGGATGTACCACGGAACAGGTGATGCTGATGAGTAGTCTGCTTCCCTTGCAGGCCACACCACTCTAGGTCCAGGTGTGCTGATACTTCAGCCAAGAAGTGCTTGGCCATGGATGCAGATGACGAGGCAGTCCTGAACCTCATTGCTGAGTGCGAGTGGGACCTCACCAACCCTCCCGGGAGCATGAGCTCCAGCCAAGAGCAGGAAGCCACCTTCCATCGCACCCAAGGTGTGCTGCTGAGCCCACAGCGAGACGAGGGGGCTGCAGTCACAGGCGCCAGTGTGCGTAGTTGTGTTGTTAACAAGGCTCACTCCAGCGATAGGACCTTTACGAAGCCTGAGTAGCCTTGGAATGCCAGCATTGCAGACTGAGGGATTATGAGGAAAGTTAGCATATTTCATCTGAGTGTAGTGATTGGTTGTCCAGATTACCTGAAAAGTTAAATATCTAAAATAGAGAAGAAAGTCTAGTGACTGGTTACTAGTGGAGCTGACATTAGCGTCAGCATGGGTTGGTGTGGCCACTCCGCCCCTAAAAGGCTGCAGCAGTCAGGCCCTCTGACCCTACCAGCAGTGTTGTGAACTCCTCACTTAGGGCAGGAGCTTCACATGGTTTGCTTGAGGTCTCTACTTCTTACTAGGATTGTTTATAAATGTTAGCTTCATTTTTTTCCGTACATTGTTTTTCGTGAAACCAGTCGCATCACTTTGAGGCCTCAGGGTGGGCTCAGAACCCAGGTTTGCCTGCAGCCCAAGGACACCCGCCACGCAGGCAACAGCACCCAAGCCCTAGCCTCCCAATAGGACTGTCCTCAGGACTCTTAGTTCTAACTCATGACAGTTTTAATCTGCAGTTTTCTGTAGAATAGTGCTGTAAAATAATCAGTCATTTGTGTGTCTTCTGGACACTTCTGTTCAAAGTCTGCCCACTCCATTTCATGGGGCTGTTTATCTTCCTGGTCTCAAGTTGTGATAACTTCTTATGGTTTCTGAATACAAGTCCTGTCTAAGATACTATACATATACTGAGGGAGGATTTTCTCACATTCTGTGGTATCGTCCCCATCCTGTAACATCATTCCTATCCAGTGGCATTGTCCCTGCCCCATGTCATCCACATCCCATGGCTCTATATCTTTGTTCTGTGTCCTCCTCACAACACCACAGCATTGTCCCTGTTGTGTGACATTAACCTCATTATGTGGCATCCCTGGCCCATGGTATGTTCCCCATTCTTTAGCATTATTCCCCTCCCATGGCATTTTCCCCGTTGAGTGACAGTATTGCCATCCTCTTGCATTCCTGTCCTATGGCATTATCCTTGTCCCGTACCCTCATTCCTATCCTCATTCCCATCCTGTGCCTTGTCTTTCACTTTCCTAACAGTACTTTGAAGAGCATGTTTTAACTTCAGTGAAGTCCAGATTGATGTTTATCTTTAATGGTTTGCGCTTTTTGTATCCTTTAAGGAAATCTTTGTCCACCCATGCTTGAGATGTGCTGTTTTCTCACAGACATCCTGCAGTTTCAAGTATGTGGGAACAGAGTCCATTTCTTAGAGGTAGTTTTTTGTTTGTTTGTTTATTTGGTAGTTGTTTTGTTTCGCTTTTTGAAGCAAGTTCTCACTTTGTAGTTCAGGCTGACCTTGAACTCGCTGTGCATCCCAGGCTTGCCTCAAACTCAGTGATCCTCCTGCCTCAGTCTACCACATGCTAGAATTAGAGGTGTGTGCCATCACTCCCAGCTGCAGCTAATTTTTCTGTATGGTATAAGTTAATGGGTGATGATGACCCTGTTCCCTCTCGTACAGATCTGTTTGTTCTGATACCATTCATTGAAAGGACAGTTTCTGTTTAATTACCTAGGCAGACTTGTTCAAAATCAGTTGACTACTCTGCTTGTTCTGTACTCTGTTTTATAGACCGATAGAAGTTTCTTCTGTGCTGCCATCTGTGTTGTTGAGGTCAGATCTTGTCACCCTTAGCTCTGCTCTTCACTCACCTGCAGAACTGCCTGGAACTCACTGCAGTGCTGGTTGCTATATAATTAACCTCCTCAGGCATCTAAATCAGTTTACAGGAAGTACGCTTATAGAAGGTATAGACTCTCACAAACTTAAAATGTAATTTTAATGAAATAAAATCTTAAAAGTATTTTTAATAAAATAGAGTCCAGACATCTGCTGAGCCCTCCATCTGTCCAGCACCAGTGTGGGGACCCCTCAAGGAGGGGTCATGATAAGAGGAGAGCCAGCTCCAGTGTGTGCTACCCCAAGCAGCCACCTCCACACCAGCACTGTGGGGACCTGTCCCTGCAGCACGGGGAGCCCAAGACCTGCTGTTCCCACAGCTCACACCTCAGCGCCAGCACCTACCCAGGTAATGCTGCTCAAGGTCTTTCTGAGCAGAAGTTTCCCACAGGGTTGGCTACGGCTCTGACATTTCTCCTGCTGTCTGTATGAAGTCAGTTATATGTAGAACTCCCTAACACAGCTCTTTATCTCTGTGTTACAGACTCTGCAGACATTGAAGACTCTTCTTCTTCTTCTCAGAAACCAAGTTTGTCATCACAAAAGCTGTCGAAACCTTTGCCTGTTCCTGAAAGGCACAGAAAGTACAGGATGCCGGGTGAAAGAGTACAGATGCTTTCAGACCAGGCATGCCTGAGTCATCCGGAGAGGGCTGTTGGGCCCCAAGGTCTCACAGAAAGTCTGAGCACACAGGACAGCTCAGGTTCAGGGGGCCGCAGCCAGAGGGCCTTCTCTTTCTCCGGGGCACCCGAGGCCGAAACCAGAGGGCCTTCTCTTTCTCCGGGACACCAGACATCTCGCAGCATGAGCGACTCCAAAGTGGTGAGTTTGGAGCCCTGGTGGTGGCTGCCAGTGCCTGGCCTTGTTTCTTTGACTGGGCAGTAGAGTGGAGTGGTCATTAGATCTTTATAGTACCAGCTGGTGCCTTTCAGTATTGACCTGACCCCACAGTGAAGCAGCTATTAGTTTAGTTTTCCTTTGTATTTGCTCCTGAGCTCCACCCTATCTCTTGTATTCTGTGTTTGAGGTGGAGGCCTACCCAGGGATTGGAGGTGTTTTTATCTTATTTCTTTATGTTGGTCTCCAAGGTTGGAATCAGTCATCATAACCACCTGGAGCCACCACTGACTGTTATATGGACAAGCAAAGTGTGTTGATTGGTTTTCCAGTAGGCTCATCCCAATTAGATACTGAGTTCTTCCACCCTCAGAGGAACCTAGAGATCCCATGGACAACATTGCCATTCAGTTAGAGGCCTGAGACGTGAGCAAGGGACATCCCGATAAGCTCAGGAAGGCATGGACCCAGAGCCACTGGAGCAGGTGGTTGGCTGCCATCCTTGTATTAGATAGCCCTGGAGGCAGACTGAGGAGTGGGGATGATTCTGAGTGGAAATGGTAGCTGCAGGGAGCACAGCCCTCCACCTGGGGGCTGGAGGTGCTTATGGGAGGGCTTCTGCATGGTCAGGGACATGTCTCACTTTCCCTGGTTGGCCCTGAGCTGGGCAGGAGGTAAGAACCAGAGAAACATAACATTGCCCACACTCTGGTTGTTCTGAGCTCATGATTGGGATGCTGTTGGATGTCCTGGACATTGCCCAAGACGGTAGTCTGACAGCCTGTCAGCTTCACAGGTGGCAGTGAGGCGTCCCTCTTGAGGCCAGGGCCCCTCCTTGAAGGGGGTGTGAGTTTGGTATGCTGGTGCTGGAGAGCTCATCTTTTCAGTGACTAGTCCTCTCATGAATTGAAAGCTAGTCTCATAACTTTGTCTCCATCATAGCCACCTCCCACATCACATTCGGCAGCTCCACTAGGGAAGAGGGCTGTTCTGGAGATGATGCTCTTGGAGGCATTCCTTGACCTGGTGGACAAGTACTGGAATGGCTGCAGGTCCCTGCATGGAAATCAGGCATTCCTAGGTGAGTCCTGAGCTAAGGTGGTTCCACCCTCCTGGCAGCATGTCTTGACAGGTACTTCTAATCTGCCACATGTTGGGGCATCTGGAGAATCGTGAGTCATCCCAGCATTTGGACATTGACATGCTCCTGTAAAGATGATGTGGTCTGTGTTCCAATAGGGTAGCAGGCTTTCATCAGGCCCCAGGCAGGTCTGTGGCTGTGGGCTCCCATCTGCCAGTGCCAAAGTGCCATGCATAGTGCAAGGCTGTGAGTGATCTGTCTTCACATGGGGGTTTGGAGGGCTGGAAGCTGCCTGCGGTCTTCTCCGAGTCTGCTGTACATGTTTGGCTGTGTGCAGGTCCCGGGGAAATGCTGTGGGCCCAGCAGGGCAGTACCTTCCTAGAGAGGGTTTGAGTCCCTGCCTCCACAGACTGGACCTGGTTCAGGCGCACTCTAGGGCCTCTGCTATCAGGCTTTCACTTAGAGCCCAGCAGCTGCCTTCTCCTCCCTGTATCCTGGGCTGTGTGCTGGTGTTCCCTAGGTACTCACTCACCAGTGGCAGACCCTGAACAGTGCTCTACTTCAGTCAGTGTTGTGATCCTTCAGGTCCCCCAGATCAAGACAGTCTAAGGAGCTGTAGCCCCCTGACCCCACATCTCTGTCCCTCATGTCAGGGCCCATACTCTTGTTCATGACAGGGGGCTGGTTTCTGACACCAAGGCCACTGCCTATCATGGAGCTTCCACCGTCCCTCATAGCATTCTAGATGTGACTGCCCAGAGGTGCAGACTTTACATCAGGGTCTCCATTTTTCTGTTCTCTAGCCCCCACACCTGCCCCTTGATGACATCAGGGAAGCCTGAATGAAATAACTTTGAGGTGCTGATGATGTTCCTGGGTACCCCTCTGTGTTTTCCAGGCACGTAGACACGTCTTGCTTGCAGTCGTCCATCCTTCATTGTATAATAGAGTTCATTTTCCTCCTAGGCCAGGCCAGGCACATTCTGTCATCAGTCCAAGAGTTGGTAGCAGCTCAGGGCAGCACAATGACTGAGGATGAAGAAGTCAGCTACCTGGCCCTTGAAAATCAGTCTCTGCACCTGCGGCTTGCTGAGCAGCAGCAGCAGTATACCACAACCATGACTGAGGTGACAGCAGAACTCAGTAGCACCCAGCGAGAGATGGTGAGCAAGCCTGACAATGTTTCCATCTCTTCCTGGAGTCCCAGGAAGAATTCTGGAAGAGCTCCTAGAGTTCTGGAATCGGGTAAAGGTAGACCTGTGACTTCACAAACCCACACTGCCCCTGACTATTCTCAGGCTACTGCCCAAGCCTCCCTCTTCCCCTCCAGGGCCTTGAAGGTCTGCCCACCCAGGACTTTGCCACCTCAAGAGCGCTGCCTAACTGTGCATAGCAGACCACAGGTGTGGTGAATTGAGGGTGACAGTGTCACTGGTCGTCCTGGCTCTGCCCATTGGTTGCTGTCTCTTACAGGTTTAGATGGGAGAGATGGGGGTTGGGGGATGAAGCCATGATCAAGGCAGCATATTCATCCCCATTCCTGATGAGTGAGCTTGCGCAGGTTACCCTGTGTGAGCCAATCAACCATCTGCCACCAGGTGGTGTCGAAGGGCAACCAGAACTGGACAGGACCCTGGGAAGGTCCTGTGGTGTTTGGAGGATTGGGGATACTCTCTCTGTTTTGTCAGCATCCATACCTATGAGCTATATCTCCAAGTGGGAGCTGGGCTGCAGAGCTTCCCCAGCCCTACCAATTGAAGTGCTGACCCACAGGTCAGCTCTTTATGGTTGTGCAGCACTGCACTCCAAAGTGTACATCTGAGACCTACAGATGGGAGAGCTGCTGAAAGTTGCAGAGCGGGGCACCCTGCCAGAGGGCTACTGTCTAACCTCCCAGGAGACCTCAGTCCCTCTTAACGTGGGAGTCCTCATGATGTGGACAGCATTCAAGATGGCAGTCCCAATCTTTGTGACCTCATCTTTGTGTCCTCTCCCATGGGGAAGGCGCACAAGGGTTTGCACCACTGCAGCAGTTGCCTGTCTTACCCTCTGGATCGGTGGCCTCATTTTGAAAACACCAAAGGATTTCTTGGACAGGGATCTGAAATAGCAAGACAAATAATTTCTCTATTTTATTTATGAGGCAGTTGAACCCAGGACCTTCACACTGAACTGCATCCCTAGGCCTTTTTAAAAACTTTTCTTGAGAGAGTCTTACTAAGTCACTGAGTTTCCCTGGCCAGATTTAAACTTGTAATCCTCCTGCCTCGTTCTCTCAGTGTGCTGGAATTGCAGCCTGTGCCACCACATCCAGCTAAATCCTTTATAATAGTCTTTGTGAGAGATCCCATGCAAAGCTTCATATTAGAGGAAAAAAAGAGAAAAGGCAGTGAACTGCTGTAGAGAGCCTCCGGTCCTGAATGCACCATGAGTGTCCTGCGTGCACTATTAGGGGTCTTCATTTGGAAAGGGGCAGAGTCCAGTGTGTCTGGACTGCAGCCCAGAGAATGTAGACTGTGTGGGACAGGGTCAGCCTGGGGACAGACCTCTGTCTGTGGTGAGGGGACAATGCCAATGCAGAATGGGAATCTTGTCAGATCAAGACCTGCTAGTATATCCAGAGCCCGTGTGAGCTTGGTGCTACTGCCATGTAGAAATCATGCACAGAAGTGTGGTCTTTGTGGGGGCCTGGTCCCTCACCTTTTCAGTCTGAGCAGCACTGTTTCAGAGAGCAGTCTCAGCTCCAAGACAAGTGCAGGCCAGAGTATCCTGTCTGGGCAAGTGACCAAGCCCTGCTCCTAGTCTTCCACATTCAGCCCTGGATGGCCCAGCTATAGGAATGAGGAGCCAGCCACTGTGGTCAGGAGCCCATGTGCCTAGGGACAGTTGGGAGCGTTAAGAGGAGCAGCATGTGGACCCATCACCAGTCCCCGGCTCTCCCTGTGAAGTGCTGGCTCCATGGTGTGTGTGCCTGCATGGTGCTGCTTGTGGCTGCTGGCATCACCTCCTGGGAAGAGACCTGGGCAGCAGTGGAGGCTCTGCTCCTAGCTTTGTGTGTGGCCTCCAATATGGACACATTCTGTCCCCTGCCACCTGTGCCCACCAGCCTGAGCTGTAGTTGAGAGCCAGGAGCCACATGTGGCCAGCCACTGACAGCTTTCTGTGTGGCCCCAGGGTGCTCAGGGAAGGGAGAGCCTGTGTGCTGGCTTCAGTACAGGAGGAATGCTCTTGGGTCCAGTGACCAACCTTCACCACACAATGTCAGGGTTAGCATTCATCTGTGCACCAAAGGTGAGCTTGCTGTGTAGAGAACAAATGAAACAGAGCTTCCTGAAAACCAGGGCTTGCATCTTGGCAAGGCGCAGGTTCTCCTCTATGGAAGCAAGGTGGGACCCCAGACCAGCTGCCTGGCTATGCCTTCAGGTACCTAGGATGGGCAAAAGAGACTGCAAATCTGTGGAAGCCCTGGACCACCTTGGATAGCTGCATGTCACAAGGGACCCCAGGCACAGGAGAGACTGTCATCCTGGGCAAAGGCTGAGGGCTTTTGGAGAGGGAGGGGGGACCCACAAGCCACACCTCATGCTTCTCCTAACAAGGCCTGATGCTCCCTGGGAAGGTAGACTTGTGTGTCTCTTGGGTCTGGAACACCTATTCCACTCCCTTCTGGAAGGACGTTGCATTGCTCAGGCAGGGGTGGCTTTTCTCATTGTCATTTAGAATTATGTAGAAGAGAAATTGCTTGTCATCAAAAAATTTAATTCCTTTGAATATATGTATTTTACTAAATTTGACTTACCCATTTAAGTCTGTTTTCTGTGCCCTTAGGATACCTTGAGACAACATTTAGACAGATCTTTGGAGGAAAATAATAGCTTAAAATCTCTGTTGTTTAACATGAAAAAAGAAGTAAAAGATGGAGAAACAGCAGCAGCATTGAATGCACAGATCTCTGGTGAGTTTCTCATGTCTTTGGTAGTAGTACTTGTTGAAAGTCAAGTGTTCTTGTGCACGTGGAGACCTCTCCCTAAACCATCGTTGCCAGGACCCGGAGGTCGCAAGTGCTGTCTGAGCAGAATAGGCGACCCTCCCTCACTGGCCCTTATGCCAGTGGCGCTGGCCATGTTGGCAGAGTGCACAGGCACGGCTTGCCAGGACCACCAGGGCACTGCTCACAGTTTTCTTTGGCTCTTAGAGCTTTGTATGCGTCTTCCATTGCTGTGGTGCTGCCCAACCTGGGTGACATCCTGGCCCTGCCATGGGGGAGCCACACATTGTGTTACTGACCCCAAGAGGGCACTCTGCGGTCCATTCTCTGATTACTGTTTCCTCCAGGTCTGGATAGCTTGCCTTCCCACTCTTCACTTCCTTTGGTTCTATTTTGCCATTCTAAGAGGAGTGCATTTTGTATTTAGGTTCCAGACTTCGAAAAGAATCATTGCTGCTAGTGTTTCCATGAAATGTCTCTGGGTCAGTTTTTCCTTCACACTGAAGGACAGTGTGCATCCTCAGGCCTTTCAGGGGGGACTTTAAAGGGCAGGAAGGAAGTGTCTCAGGCCTGGTGGCCTTTGCAGCAGGAAGGACTGTGGATAGGCATGCCACCATTCTGCCTTTGGGCACAGTACCTGCTTGGACCTCTTGTCCACTTCCTTTAATTGGATTGTTTTATTAATTGGTGAGACTTCTTTGTATTCATTTTCCTTTTGTAACTATAGTTTTCCCCCTTTTACTTTCTGTTTCTGGGAAACATTATTGATGTTTACTTATGCCTGGGTTCCTCCCGCCTTACCCTTCATTTCTGATGTGACTCTCTTTCCTTAGTGCTAATTCTTTCCTGAGTTTTCTGATTCTGACTCAGACTGCTCTTTAATTCCTGATTGTTCTTTCTCATTTGAAATGGGTGGTGTCTGGATTCCCCCATGGTCTGGATGTTATGCCTGTGAGACTTGGTGGCAGTACTTTTCTGTTATTTGTTTTATATGACATTTGTTCCAGTTTCTAAAAGGAGACAGGGTCAGGGTGGCTTTTCTGCCTTTGTAGATCAGAACCATTGGTGGCCTCCTTTCTAGGATTTTTCAGGCTTCATTTCCTCCCCTGCCCTCTCTTTGATGCCCAGGTGTACTGCCTGACCTCTCTGCACCAGCCTTTCTCTGAAGTGTGGGCCCTGTTCTAGAAAGAGCTGGCTGGTCAGCCCCTCCAGACTGCATGAGACACCCCTGGTCGCACCTGACTGAAGGGATGGAGCCTCTTCTATATCTCCCAAGATTCCCTTGCCGACCCAGGATACTTGGGGACTCTCCTGCTTCGGATCTGTCAGGTGCCTGCTGCCAACCTCTGCTTCTCACAGATGCAGACATTGTTCATGACCAGGGCTGTCAGGCTAGTCCCAAGGCTCCTGTGTTCAGGGTTGTGAGACTTCTTGTTCCTTTGTTCATGGGAGTTCTGGTTTCTGATCTATTTACTTGGTGTTTGACTAATGTGGGTATTCTGGGGGATGCAACCGCTGCCCTCTCCCAGAATCCCTTTTGTTCATGCCCTTGAGAAGCAATTTGAGTAGACAGATCCCAAGGTGTGTTACCTTGCCCCAGCACACTGTGTGTGCCTTAGTTACTGCTGTGTGTATTGGTCATCCTTTGCCTTGACTTACCCTCTCAGCTAGCTCATCTCTGATGGTGTGTGTTATACAGTCATGGATGGAATGGTGGATTTCATTTCTTCCACTGTTTGGATTTTAGAGAGCCAGTAAATGATATGTCTTTTTCCTTGTCGAGCTGAAAACCCAGAAAGGCAGGAGCTACATAGAAGAAAACCAAACATGTGCTTTGTCACTGATGGGTACCATATCAAAGGATGCTCATCAGACACCTGTGGCCACCATAGGCTTCTCTGAATGCCTCTCCCTAAGTCACAGACCCCCTCAGGCACACTTGGTTTCCTTGTGGGAGAGATACCCTCCAGTAGTCAGATCCTATAGAAAAGGTGCATACTGTTCACCACTCACTCTTGTCTCCCCATAGAGTTGGAGCTCTTCAGGGCCCTGCCCTCATAACACTTCACCCTCACAGAGGCAGCTGGCAGTGGGGCCGAAGCCCATGTTCACCCCCCTCTTTGGATCCCTTGCAGAAGTGTTCGTTTTCCAAGCTATATTCATTTTCTGATGGCCCAGATCCAGTTTAGACCAGCACTGCTGAAAATCTGGTTCACTAAGTACTACTACTTCTCTTCCTCCTTCAGGACTTCAGACAAGTGTCAGGCAACTGTCTGATGAGATTGTGGAACTAACGCAGCAACTTCAGCACTATGACAAGATCCAGGAGCTCACCCAGATGCTGCAGGAGAGCCACAGGTGTCACTGGCTCGGCCTGGGAGCTGGGGGAGGAGTGGAGGCATGAGAGGGTGGGACTGGCCGGGTCACCCTAGACAGGCACAGAGGTGCCGCTGGCATTTGTCTCAGTGGTTAGCATCCAAGACCCACCTGTGTCACGGTGTGGACTTGGAACTTCAGTGAATGTCCCCCTCCTGGCAAAAAGTGAGGTCCTTCATGCCACAGCATTGTGTGAAGTATGACCAAGAGGCATGGCCAGGGGAGCTGAGAGGTAAGAGGCACATGAGTGATGGTGACAAGCAGTGCAGTTCTCTGGGCCATGATTCTTGTGCAGCTTGTGGCTGTCCACTTAGGAACATGGAGGGCCCATCTTTGCTCTCTGGCTGTGTTTGGGTGTCTAGAAGTGGACTGGAGGTGTTGGGATGGTCCAGGCAGAGCCTCAGCCTTTCCTCAGAAAGGTGTGGGAAGCAGGCGGAGGGTGGGTGTGGAGAGAAAGTCAGCCACTGACAGGGAGGCAAGTTGCTGAGCAGGGAGGGCTTTCACACTTGCCCTGTGCCTGTGGTGTGAGCCTAGACTCCCTGGGCTCAGCACACTCTCAACTCCACCCTCTTCCCCCACATTCCCTTCTCTACTTTTCTCCTTGCTGAGGCGGCCTCCTACCCCATTTAGGGGTAGTCTGATCACAAGCCAGGCTGGCTCTTTAAGGGTTAATACAGGCCACAGTACCCCACGAGCTTAAGTTAATGGGGAGAGAGGAAGAGGAGACTTAGCTGAGCCTGGCTGGGGAGAAGCAGAAAGGAGGAGGACTGGCCATCTCAGGGCAGGCAGTGACAGGCTGATTCCTCCCTGGGATGCACTGGGTTTCTCTGCAGATTGGATAGCTTGGCAGTCACACTGTGGCCCAGATGTGGACAGGGAAGGCATAGAGCTTCTATATGCGGTGGGATCTGGTTTGGCCTCGGGGATTCATGCTAATTCTTTCCAGCAGCTATTTCTGTAATCTAAGCAAAGAGGTCCAGTACCTGCTCAGTGGATTGGCCTGTGGCGTGGCCATCTTTGTGACAAAAATGGCAGAAGGCTGCGTAGCCTGCATTATCTAAACAAGTGCTGTTTTAAATGTCCTTTGTCACTGCCAACTCGGTGAACAGGCACCAAGGTAAAGAGTAGGAAAAGCACAGTGGCACTCAGGAATTCCTTCTCCAAGGAAGGTGGTCAGGAGTATAGAGAGGGGACTTTCCTGTGACACTGCTACATATCCAAGTTGGGGTTTTTTTTTGTTTTTTGGTTTTTTGTTTTGTTTTGCTTTTTGTTTTTTTGTCTTTTTCCTTTTTATCGGTACCGGGGATCGAACTCACGACTGCCTGCTTGCAAGGCAGGTGCTTATGCCACTGAGCTAAATCTCCAGCCCCTTACATATCCAAGTTGTTATCGCTGGTTGGGAATTAGAAACACTCTAGAAGATTCTTTTTAGAGGTCGTGTTGTTTTACTGGCACAAAGGGTATCATCCTCTTCTCCAAGAGCCATGCAGGGCAGGACATTGAGGGGGCCAAGCATCCATCATGCCTCCTTCAGCTCATTCATCTTTCACACAGGCAGAGGCATAGGTGGGCGCAGCCCTGCCTGTCTGAAGGGTGGAGCAGACAGGCAGGGGGAAGTAGTGGAGGTGATGAAGCCATGGACAGAGGACTTGGATATCCCCAGGCAATGAGAGATTGTGATTGGCGTGGGGCTCAGGGATGGCTCCACATCCAGAGCTTTGTGCCTGTGGCTGGTGGTGGCAGTAGTGAGGGGCAGTGCTACTGAGGGGCGGTGACCCGCTGATCACTCCCCTGGTGTTTCCAGCTCCCTCGTCAGCACCAACGAACACCTTCTGCAGGAGCTGAGCCGGGAAAGGGCACAGCACAGAGCAGAGGTGGAGCAGATGCACTGGAGCTTCCAGGAGCTCAAGAAGATCACAGCCCTGTTCCCACCTCGCAGAGGCAGCCTTGAGGGTTGCCCGTCCTGCTGATCCTACCCAGGACTATGCATCTCCCATGCCTGTGGAACAGCCCCGTGTGTGCACCCTGGGGCTTCTCTGTTTGCTGGTGAGACTCCTTTGTATTTTATCACATTTTCCTCACTAAAGCACATTCAGGGACTGTGGCTCGGCTCTGAAGCACCCCAAAATGACAGGGAGGACCCCAGCCTTCACCTGTTTGGAGGCATCCTGACGATTGCTTTGTCATCACAATAGCTGAGATGAAAGCACCACAGCGCTTTCTTCCTAATGCACTGTATTGTGTATGCTAATTGAAGTGCTAATTTCTTGTGTGGTAAGCAGTCCTTATTGAATGATTAATATATTCTGAAAAGTTAATTTTTAAGTTGCTCTTTATAAATTCTAAGTTTCTCATTGAGTTCTTTTATAAACCAAGCTATATGCCATGGTAGATAAACAAGAACAAGTGCCAAGACTTAATAAAAGTAAAACTTATAAGATGTAATATTTTAAGTACTGTTTTCCTCTGTTAAAATATCATAATTAAAAATACCTACCCTACCCTGCTTATTCTTTGTAGTGTATGTCTGAAAATTATGTCATAGTAGGACTAGAAAGTAGGCTTATAGTTTGGAAACTTGTTACATATGTGATTGTTGATTGGTAGCACAGGTGATTTTTTAAAACAAACTTTGATTTAAGGAGAGTGAGCAGGCTTCAGGACGGTGCTTTGCTGTGCCTTGGGGTCCTGGCTCTGGGCGTGAGCTTCCTCCCTCACCTTTCCCTTCGGCCCTCCCTGTCCCAGCAGGGTCCCTGTCTCGGTTGTGTCTGACAAAACCAGTTTTGCTCACAGCAGAAAAACGTGTCCCTGATGTAAGTGTTGGTACAGTGGGGTGGGGTTCTTCTATCAGACTGTTTATTTAAAAGTATTTAAAAGATTATAGTTTAATCCATTTTAATCTAGTAGACAATGACCATCGTGCCATTTCTTCATGTTTATCTCATTTGGGTCCTATAGGGACCCGTGATTTCATATTTTCCACCAGATTTGGAGGTTTCAGTTTGAGCTCTTCAGATTTCTTAGCTGGCCAACGTCCCTCCCGCTCCTCTTAGGTCTCCAGTGACTCTGTTAGCCTAGGATGTTGCCCCTAGGTCTCTGAACTCATTTGGCTTCCCCACCCTTTGCTGCCTTGGTGTGCACTTTGGTTGTGTGTCACTTAGCTTTCCTCTCGCATGCTTCATGTGATGTAAGCCTGTATGGAGGTGACTTCTTATCAGTAATTACATATATTTAGTCCTAACATTCCACTTGGTTCTTTGGAGTTATTCCTTTGTGCTCCTGTTTGCTGCAACCCTTAGCCATGCCCTTGGTGGCTTTACTGGCTTACTCCAAACTGTTTACCTCCCCACTAGCCCACCACATTTGTAGTGCCTGCAGTGTCTTGCTTCATCTTCCGGCACTTCCGGGTTGTGGCCTCTTCGTCCTGGAAGGTGTACAATACAGGTCCTTGTGGTTTGAACCTGCCTCTTCACACTGAGCACCTTTGCGTAAGTGTATTGATCATCTGGATTTCTTTTTTGTCCAGTAAATGTTCAGATTTTCCATTTTTCTGTTGGAAGATTTGTCTTTCATCTATTTGCAGGAGTAATTTATAGGTTGAGCATGTGTACTGAAAATTTACTGTGGACCCCTTGCCTGGTACATAAGGTCTTAGGTTCCAACCCCAGTTAGAAATAAAATGGATCTTCACATTAGGGATACTCAAACCCATAGGTCTATGTAAATATTCTGAAATCTGAAACACTTCCAGTCCCATGGATTTTAGACAACAGACACTTAACCTGTAATTCAGAACTGTGTACTTTCTAAATAGCTGCTTTACATTTTTCAGTAGTGTTTCAGAGGAATTGCAAACTTTGCTGTGATTCAGTCTACCACTATTTTTTATGATTAAAGCATTTGGATCTTTTTTTTAACTCCCTTTTCATGGTCTTCATGGTCCTTGTGATACTGTGACATACATATTTAATCTTCGTTCATTTTTCTGACATATATCTCCTAAAACCATTCGAGTCTCTAGTAATCGGGTCATCTGTGTGCTAGTGAGTGTGCTGTTGGCCTAGGTAGCTCAGGGAAAGACCAAAGAAGTGTTCCAGGGCTTCAGCTGCACCACCATGCAACCTCCAGGGAGGAGAGAGATTGGATAGTTAAGCTGCTCACCAACAGCCAGTGGTATAGTTAGCCATGTCTGCAAATGCAGTTTCCACAGAAATGGGGGACAGAATTCAGGGGAGCTGAAAACAGGGAGGCATGTCTGCAAATGCAGTTTCCACAGAAATGGGGGACAGAGTTCAGGGGAGCTGAACACAGGGAGGCTGCCAGAGGAGCGTCTGGAGCAGACCTGCCATACATCACCCTGGTCAGCTTTTCATTTTCACCCTTATTGCATGCTTTATGATAAATTTTTAAGTGTAAACCTCCCCTTCCCTAAATGTGTTCTCATACTCAATCCAGAAAGAAAGGTTTGCGGGAACCCCACAGGTGGAAGTGTTTCTTGGGGATGGGCCCTCAACCCATGTGGTCCGACACTGCCTCCGAAGACGGTGACTGGGAATTCCCTGTGCAGTCTGCTGCAGAGCTGCCTGCTGCTGGTGGGGAAAAGTCCCCACTCTTCAAAATCACAGTGTCTTCTGTGTTGGTGATTCGAAGCACTCGAGACATTGAGCTTGCTCTTTCTTTATCTTCTGAGTTATGAAAATGCCTTGCTGTTATCTTTTAGAAGGTTTTATAGTTTTATTTGGGATTTTGTACATATTCTATCTAGAGTTGATTTTTGTGATGCTGTGAAGGTTAAGGATCTGATTCCATTGGTTTCCCCAGCTGAGTCCAGTTGTCCCAGCCCTGTTCACAGACAGGACCCCAATTTCTCTTCCCAATCCTGCCGCATCTCCTTTCCTACTGATACTGTACTCTGGGCCACATCCTTCCACCTCACATGCAGGGTATCTGGCTGGGCTTGGGGTTTTTTGTTGTTGTTTGTTTGTTTTGTGTGTGTGTGTGTGTGTGTGTGTGTGTGTGTGTTTTGGGGGGACAGCGTCTCACTAGTACAGGCTGGCCTTAAACTCACGGTGATCCTCCTGCCTCAGCCTCCCAAGTGCTGGGATTACAGGCATGTGCCACCACGAAGCTGTCTGGGTGTTCTTGACCCTTTGCAATTCACAAATTTACTAAGCTCTGATTTCCTGAGTAAGTAGATGTGAGTAAAATTCTAGGGTGCTATCTCACACATAGGAAGCACCGTGTAACCACTTGCTTTAATAACATCAGTGTCACTTCATAAGGCAGCAGCTTCCTCGGGGTGCCATGCTTAGCAACCACGCGTCAGTGCCGTGTCATGAAGTGAGCCGGGAGGCACACAGCTCTTGCTCACCAGGAGCTTTTTATTGAAGCACTCACCATTTCGTCCTGCTGTCTGGGGATGCTGGCCATCGGCGCCTGGACCTGTCTGTGGGAAGGTTGCTCAGGTAGCACAATGGATGTTTAGGGTGGGCAGAGCCTGTTCTAAGACTGGCTTCCAAGTCGGGCTGGGCCATGTGGCTGGTCCTGCCCAGCAGTCTGAGGAAGGAAGAGAGCAGGGGCACTGTGCCAGCGGCCCTGCCCCAGGGACCACAGCAGTGACCACAAGCTCAGAAAGCTGCTGCTGCTGCTTTTGGAAAAGACCTTGCGTAAATGAGAGCAAGTTCCGTGCGTCTGGCTGCTGCGGTTTGGGGACCTCACTGTGACTGGAGAGGTTTGCCCTCAGGCACAGCACTGTGCAGGCTTTCCATTTCTTGAGGTTTTGCAAGTTATGATCTCTAGAAATTGGTTTATAGTCTTAATTTTCAAAATTTTTTGCCAGATCTCTTTTAAGAGCATTTTAATAGCTTTCACACTTGAAGTTGTATCACTTGAGTCCACTTGCGTTCTGTCAGGAGTACAGGACAGCTGTGGCAGCTGCTATGCCACGGCTGCGCTCAGCTTTGGCACTTAGGGCATGCTTATGGCAGGCAGCTCTGGCCCATGCCCAGCTCCATCCGCTCTGCCTCTAGAAGGTGGCTTCCCTGTCCTCGAGTCCCTGCAGGTGTGGTTCATGGGCATTACCTGCCAGCAGACTGCTGCAAAACCATCCCTGCACCTGCTCTCATCACCTCTGCCACTCTTCATATGTGTGCCTGAACTTTCTCATTGGTCAGTTTCACCACAAGTCTGCTACGTTTATCTGTCTCATTAAGGAAAACCTTTATCCCCACTTCCTTTTCATTTTAATTTCTGCTTCTTTAGTCATGCTGAGATTACTAATGTGGTGGATTAAAAATTAATAATTATTAATGTTCCTGTTCTGTGTGTCTTTCTCTTGCTGCATCAGCTAGGAGAGTTGGTGTACCTTTGTGGGACTCTGCCGTGTCATGGGTGCTGCTGTTGCACTTGTGAGTTTCCCTTGCTTCAGGATTGTTGGGTTGAGGCTGTATCTCATCTCCTGAACCTTTCTACCCACGCTTGCTTGGCAGCTGTGTGCCCCTCTTCCCTCTCCACCTATGCCTGCTCATCTCAGCAGCAGTGTGCCATCCCTGAGGCTGTACAGGAGCTGTGAGCACTTGGCTCCTTCCGCTCTTTCAGGCATACCTACGGTTAATTACTTCTGGGTATTTTAATGAAGTATATTTAATCTCACAAAGTATTTATGTAGTACGATTTGCTGTCCAGTCTCTTTCCTCTTCACACCACTCAAAACATTCCTATTTGGGATCACTTTCTTTCTGTATTTGGAATTTGTTTCAGGTCTGCTAGTGGCACATTTTCCTTTCATTGCCTAAAAATGCCTTTATTTTATCCTTTTTTGGAAAACAGCTTCCTTAGGCTGGCATTCAGATTGGCTTTTTTATACAAGTTTTTTGGCAACCTGCTGATGATGTGCACTTGTTTCTGGGCTGCTGTGGTGGCGTGGCACAGTGCACAGATGATCCCACCCTGGAATCTGACACCCCAATAGTTGCACTGCAACAGAACCTGATGAGGCCTATCCACCAGCCCCCCTCAGCCTGGCCAGCAGCGCTCCTAAACCAGAAAGCCAGCAGCTCTCTGGGGAGCAGGGGACTTGAGGCTCCTTCTTTGAGCCCCAGTGCAGCCCTGCCTCCTGCCATCCTTTGTGGGGGTCTCGTGTGGTTTGCATGGTGTGCCTGTGGGGACAAGGCCCAGTTGCCTAAGCTGAAGCCTGCTAGCACAGACAGTGTATGCCTGCAGTGAGGAAAGCAGCAGTCTGTGTTTTTACTTCTTTACTCATCACTTTACCAATTTGACACACAATGTTAACAGCAAACACAAGGAGCAGTATGCGCACAGTTTCACTAATGGTTTACAAGCCAGGCTATGACAGCAAATCCAACAGGTGACACAATGCCTCGAGCTCTGCGGGAGGGACAGAGGGGCCGCTGGACCCTATAGATGTTCCTGGTGAGAATGGTCTGGACATCTGCAGAAGTGCCTTCCTGAGTCGGAACACCCAATACATCAACATTACTCAACACGCTGCTAAAGTGATGCACTCAGGATTCCCTGACATTAATAAAATAGTGTAAAAATATATTGCATATATATATATAAACTTGTTTCCCTTTCTTGAAAAAACTTAGTACAAACTAGTAGTATATTATCCCTTTCAAGTTTAAGTTGTGCAAGTTTCCTTTGTTGTTTGGCTTGGCTTAGTTTTTTAAGAGGTCTAGAAGAGTGAGTGAGTTAACTTAAGCATCTCAAAATGCCTGTTGTGACTCCGTCACATGCCCATGAACAAGACCACACCCCTGAACCACTGGAGTTCAGAGGGCTCAGTAGTAAGCAGAGGAGGAAAGTGGCTGGGGTTCAGTGTTTGAAAGACAGTGTAGCCTTAGTAATAACTTCACAGTACAGCTGAATTGTCACCCTTGTATCAAACAGATGACAAGGTATCCCCACGTGGCATGTGCTACGGGGCCAGAGGGTAGCCAGCTCATACATGATTCTGTAGGAGGAAGTGAGCCAGACGGGCAGGCACGTTTCCCCTGTAAAGAGGCAGGTGGTAAATATCGTTGATGTCTGGGCACAGCCTCTGTCTCAGCCTCTCCCTGTTCCAGTTGCAGTGCCAGAGCAGCCATGGGCGTCGTAAACCCATGGCTGCGGCCATGTGCCAATAAAACTTTATTCATAGAAACAGGTGGCAGCTCTAGCAGCCCAGAACTACTGCGGGTGGGAGGAGTGAGCTGACCATGCCCACCGCAACCCACCAGCCCCTGGGGTCAGGGCTAGGCAACAGATAGGCAGGGGTAGGAGGCAGGAATGCAAATGGAACCACTACACATGCCTTTCCAAACTCACCTGTATCTGTGTGGCTCTCACCTGCCCCAAACAGAAGACTTAAGGATATTAAAAGGTGTAAAAATACTCCAGTATAAATATAAATTTTTGCTATATTTTAAACATGTAATTTGAGCTTTCTTTTCATAAAGCTAACAGTTATTGACCACTAACTAGTTGCTTATGTTATAGCATTAATAAATACTCTGCTAGGATCAATATTCTCCAACCTCCTCCTTCCCCGATACTTAGACACCATCTACAGTGCCCTCCCCTAACCCCTCTAATTTGTCCATCTCCTGGGTGTCCTCCCCACAGAATCTGTCCCTGCTCTGAGGTGTCACCTCCTGACAGAGCCTGTTCCTGCTCTGGGGTCTCAGCTCCTGACAGAACCTCTCTGTCTCTCGAGGGACAGATTCTCCCTGAACCTGTCCTTGCTCCCAGGTGACACCTGGTGGAATGTGTATGTGTCTTGGGTTGCATGCTATGCAGTTTCTCTTACAGAGAGACATTTAACTATTGAACCATGTTAGTAGAAGCTGATTGGTATGACATAAACATGCAACACACACACTCCTTTGTGCTGGCACTATTCACGGACTGAGAAAATGCTGTGTCTGTTTTGTGTAGTGGAATTGGAGTCCAGATGTTCTGTGTTCAGCAGATATGCACGGATGCCACGATGAATTCTATAATTTAAACTAAGTCTTCGCAAGTCTTTACCACCACTTTCTTACTAAATGATGGAGATGGAGTGTGTGTTTTCAAAGCTATGCTTTGAAGCCAGCTGGAGAAGGATGCTGTCCTTACCCACACATGTCTGAGGAAACCTTGGGTCCTGCTGGGGACCGGGAGGGGACACAGGGAGACTAACACATGTATCTGATGTACCCAACTGCCACGCAGTGAGAGCTTGGATGGGGGCTCTCCTTCCAGAACCCCAAAGGCACTCGGGTTCTGGGCCAGCACAGGGAGAGCCACCAAGGCAGAGCAACTTGATTTTCACCATGAAACTGAGAGGAATACATTCTGGAAATTCTCTAGAGATGAAGAGTCCTTTCCTGTCAAGGAGCTCACCTCAGAGGCCTGAGATGAAACCAGCCACTCAGCTTCTCCATGTGGCTCTGGGCAGAGGGCATTGTGAGGTGCTGACCATAGGGACCAGGTGCCCAATCTGATGGGACCTCCTGCCAGAGGCTGGTGGGCCTCGTATCATTTCTTTTGCTTAGATCCAACTTTGTCCTTTGTGCCAGGCAGCAGCTCTTCATGTGGTCTGGGTCCTTACAGAGCGATCATTCTTGTCCAATGAGGACCCACTGAGCAGGAGACAGGTCAGTGCCCCCCATCTCAGTTCACCCTTGCCTCTAGGGGTGTAACCCTATCTGCCACACTTCTGCAGCTCTCAACACCACCCTGACCCAAGCACACTAGCCCAGCTCTAGGAGCTAAGGACCTGCTGGGTTTACATCAGGTCTGTGTGACTCAGCTGTGTTGGAGGGAACTGGGCTGTGGACAGGCAGAACACAAGAACAGCCTCGGACCGAGAGCCGTCAGCCATGGTGGGGCCTTTTGGGGACCATGGTGCCACAGAGGGCAGAAGCCATGGTGTGTGGGAGGGATGCAGTGGATGGGGGCCTGTTAGCACTAATGAAGGTCCCTGGCATTGGGACACAGGGCTTTGGTGGCTGTGAGATTAAACACTGTGCCTTCAGAGTTGTCTCATATGTTCCCAAGCATTATTTTTGCCTTTAGCTTTTACACAGGAGCCCAGCCTGGGTCAGCCAAGGGTACAGCCTGGGGTCTGTGGTTCACCTGTCTTTCCCCAACCCAGTAAGCTGGCACCTGCCTGAGAGCCATGACTCCTCAGTCTCCTGTGCCAGGCACCATGAACTCCTGTCTCCAAGGGAAGCTGCCTGCCCACAGGACCACTCCTTTTCCAGATGGCCCCTCAGGATGCTGCTCTGCTCAGTGGGCTGGTGCACAGCCTTCTGCAGAGCTGCTGCTATGGCCAAGCGCACTTGGGCCAGGAAGGTATGTCACATGCTGTGGCAGTAAGGAAGCCCGCTGCCGCTTGTGCTGTGGCACAGGCCCATGTTCAGGAAGATGGTGTCTACCTTAAGCAGCCACCTGCCCTGAGTAAAATGAGACTGACCAAGGGCAGACAACAACTGTGAGGCATTTTGATGCCATGTGGGCCCTCTCCGGGGCCACAACCCCACAGATCAGAAGTAAGACTGTGGGTGGCCCATACCAAGGCCTCCTTGGGCTAGGGATAGAGGACTGCTTGACCACATATTGCCCTTGCAGGGGGAAAGGGGCAGTGAGCGGGGCCCCACTGTGCATGGCAGCTGAGTGGGCCTAGGTATCTCTTCTGGGCTGGTCCTGCTGCCTGGCATGCTGCCTTCTAGGTGATGTGAAACAGGTTGTGGACTTGGACTTCCAGAGGGCCCAGGCAGTGGCTAAGGGAGGCCAGTGAGCTCAGTGGGCAGCAGCACAGGCCACAGCATAAGCAGCTTTGCTCACCCTGCACCGACTGACTCAACATCATGTGCCTCCTCACTAGGGGTCACAGGAACAAGTAGGGAGGTCACAGCACTTGAATCTCCCTGACAGCTCTGAAAACCGGCATGCAGTCACCATTTCTTTTCACTTACAAAAGCAAACAAAAAACTGTCCTGATCAACCAAGGAGCCTTCCCTTGTCCCTCAGCATGGACCTGGTCCACAGGCACACATGTGTGTGAAAGCACACAAGTATGTGCCCTTGTGATCTGCCCATGGCCACCAGGAGACCTGGCTGAGCCCTCTGTTCAGAAAGCACGAAGGACACGAGGTGTGGGCCCAAACTGATCGTGCTGTTGGTTAGTTCATCAGCTCCTGCAGCCCTAGAGGCTCCTGGACAGAGTCTGCCTGCCAGGGTCAGTGTGGCCTCTGCCCACCCGTCCCACACTTGGCCACTCCCACAACCCTTTTCACCCGTATGCCAGGTGGCCAGTGTGGCGAGATCCTGGGGAATGGTTTGGAAACTTGAGGCGCACAGGGAAGGGTCAGGTCTGACAGAGGTGTGGGTGCTCCAGTGGGAGGTCTGGGGTCAGGCCTGGGTGTCGTCCCCAGTTGCCCCAATTGCCTCAGCTTCCTCTGAGTTCTGCCTGCTGAGCACAGGAATGTAATGAAGTGTGATGGGTGTGAATTCCCGGCTGGCACCTGCAGTGTCCACAGCATCGGCGCAGGCTACTTGGCCCCCTGTACCTTCTGGTCGTAGGTGCCTGCATGCTTGTAGCCGGGCACGTAACCCGACTCATCCACCAGGTCCACGCGGCCAGCCTTGCCCTTGCCCTTGCCCGATGGGTCAAAGCGCTCCTTGTGGGAGCCGGTGAACTTGGTTGTGTCTGTGAGCCGTGACACAGTGGGCGAGGACACGGCTTTCTGCAAGAGAGGAGTGCAGAGCAGAGTTGCTGTAAGCCCGTTGCAGGAAGGGGGAGCCCAGGACAGGGAGAGTGAACCTCCTTGGCTGCATGTCCAGAGCAGTCTGCCTCTCCTGGCCTATGTCAGCCCTGAGCACGCAGGCCAGCTCCTCTGCCCATGTTGCTAGTGATTCATGCATGCTGACCTCCAGGGACAGCCAGGCCCCACCCCATGTCCCCACACACTCACTGTGACCCCCGAGATGACTGGTGACCGGCCCTCAATGAGCCGGTGCACCTCCTGCACAGCCTCCTCTTTGCTCTTGTCCTTGAAGCGCTTTGTTGCCAGCTCCTCAAGCGCCTCCTGGAACTGCTCGAAGGTGATAGTACGGCAGGACTTCCCCCTGTGGGCATGAGGCCTGTAAGCCAATGGCAGAGGCCTAGGGAACCGACCTGCAGCCTAGCCAGTGTCCCACCCCATGCTCTGCTCCACGGTGACCCTAGCAGGCAGTGGCCATGGTGACCAGCAACTGCAAACTGTGGAAAGCACTTTGAGGAAGCCCCCAGATCCCAGGACAGTCCTGCTGGGGCACAGCACTACTGCCTTCCACTTGAACACAGACACAGTGTGAGAGGAGCCTATCTTTCCCAGGGAGCCGGAAGAGTCCAGGCACACTCTGGGGCTGCTGGTGGAGCCTGAGGGCAGAAACAGGAGGGGCTCTCTTCCCCACTCAGGGACACTTGAGGCTGCAGTAGCCTGAGTAGGGACTACTGGTTCATTTGAACACCTGGCCACCACACATCGTCCACCACGTCCCAGGGTAACACAAGCCCCTCCCTTTGGAGGTCACAGGCAATTTTTAAAAAAAACTCTGAAGTTGTTCTTTATCTTAGGAGAGTTTTGTACTTTGACTGGACCCAGCCCAGCTGGTCCACACTGATGAGTTTTCAGTGTTCAATATAAGGTGATGAGGGTAAGGTGCCATCTACAAAGCACTGAGGCATTGAGGTCCTTGGGGTCCCCCTTCCCAGGGCCACCCTCGGGCCCACTCAGGCCCTCAGCTGCATACAACCCCAGCAAGGGCCTGGGCGACCAGCCTCAAGCTGAGGACCTAGCACAGCCGAGGACTTGCATCCAAGAACAGAGCTAGAGCACTGACGCTGTGGGATTCCCAGATGCGCTGCAAAGCTGTGGTAACAAGATGGTATTGACGAAATCCAGAGTCCAGCGGCCACTCCACCACGCAGCCAGCTCATCTTCAAAGGCGTGGGGCAGGCCAGGAGAAAGGAGTGTCTCAGCACACAGCAGGACAACTGGGGTCCCTATACACACACACACACACACACACACACACACACACACACCACACCACACCACACCACACACCACACTCCACCCGGCTTGCAGAATGAACCCAGAATAGGTCCCAGTCCTGATGCCAATTTGTGGAAGGACACCTAGGAGAAAACCTCTGTTTTCTTGAGTTAGACAGAGGCTTCTTTAGGAATGACTCTATATGAAAACAAAACAAAAAAATGGATGAATCAAACTTCACCAAAATTTTCAAATTGTGCTGTTCAAATAGCATTAAGAGGAAGAAAAGGCAAGTCATGCATTGGGAGAAAGTATTTGCAAAACACAAACCTGATTTTTAAAAATTAAACTTGTATCTAAAATACACAAAGAACTCTGTAAAAAAAAGAAAAGAAACTCAGAATGAACAACAGGCCGTTCTCGGACATTCACCTCTCATGAGGAGCCATACGGGAGGGCAGAGGCTCGCAGGAGCAGGCAGCACATGGCCTGACATGGAGTGGTCAACCATCAAAGAACCAGCCGGACCTCAAGCCTGTGTGTTCCGTTCCAGGGCACTTTGGAGGACCCTACAGCCCCATCCCTGGGTTCTTACTCAGGACAGAGGCTGAAGTGCTCACATAAACCCACATGAGAATGCTATCCTGATTTTACTCGTGTCAGGCCTGAAAACAACCTACATGTCCTTCAACTATGGCTGCATAAATGCTGGGTTTCATGAACCACTGAGCAACCCAAGGACAAACCAATGGTGTGCACAGTGACACAGTGGACCCCAAGTGGCTGGGCTGGGGGTGAGACATAAAGATGCTACCACGCAATCCCCAGCAGCCATGCATGTTCACCAGCAGCTGGAGGATTCACCAGTGTGCTGAAGACCTGGGACATTCTCACCAGACACTCCATGGCCAGGCCAAGAAGAAAGTCCTGGGAATGCCCCCAGGGAAACCCACAGGCTCTGTGGAGACCTCACACTTAGGCCCACTGGCCATTGGGGCGCCAGGCCTTCAGTTCTATATGTGCCCCTGGAACATTCTAGAGCTGTCTGTGATAAGGCAGAGGAGCTGTCACAGGATGTGAGGGTGGGTCCAACTCATTGGCTCTGAGCTCCAACACACACCAACTGCTTTCTGTGACCACTGGGTGGCCCTCTATTAGAGCAGCTGGCCCTGCAATCCAGTAGTGCCTGGAAGTGACAGTCTTTTCCCCCCTCTCTGGGCCTTAGGGTGGGGTATTGATATAAGGCCCCTGGGGACATTCTGTCCTGGGCCATCAAAGGCCTCTTGTCTCCTACTCTTGGCCCTCGCCAGGCCAACATGGATGCCAGGCCCAGCAGCCAGCCTAGTGACCCTCCACCGGGACACACAGCCCTCCAGGCAGGCAGCCCCTGCACCAGGCACCACCAGGCGGATGGGGCGCTGGCAGGGGTTCCCCCATCAGAGGTCACATTCAGACCAGACTTTCAGCCCTGAGTCCCTACAAGTGCAGTTGTACTGCTAGGGAGAGGGAGCCCTCGTGTCAACTAGGCTAGCTGAGAGTCCACCCCCTAACCCCGAACAGGCACTCCTGCTCAAAGCAGTCCCCACAGAGTTCCAGGATGACAATGCCTCTCTTTTTCTCAGAGACATGTGACCTGCGGTAGGCTCTCCTGACACCCAGCCCTTCTTCAGTGCCTCAAGACCAGGGACATCCTCAGGGCTTGAGCCACCCCTACCCTGGCTCTGAGTTCTGCCACATGGCCTGGCCCACAACATGTGGTCTTGCTCACACAAGGCACTCACCCGACCTGGGTCTGCTCCCAGGACCCTGTGTCCTTGGGCCAGCACTGTGCCTGCTTGGGCTCTTGTGGACATGGGTCCTAGCAGGGGCTTCAGAGGACAGATCCTGAGGACAGAAGTATGGCCCAGGGCCACCCACTGAAGCTACCCCTCAGCCTTCCATGGCATCTTGCAAAGGAACCCAGCATCCAGAGACTGGATGATTGAGAATGACTTGGGAGAGTTTGGGACATGTAGAAGTGGCCCCCAAATGGACTCCAGAGGGGAAACCTGAGGCTCCTGAGGGGCAAAGAGCAGGGCTGCCCCAACACAAACCCAGGATAGTGGGGATGTACTTTGTGGGAAACTATTCTGGGAGACCTGGGGGACCTGACCTGGCCTCATGTTGTCATCCCTGACCTGTGGCTCTGAACTCTTCCTGTGCTCCAGGAGACCCAGTGTCAGCACGCAGAGTCACACCTCTGCCTCCTGCTCAGTGAGCCCTGTCTGCAGCCTGGGGCCCTACCAGGACAGAGCTGACACAGGGCGGGGTGCAGGGCCTGGAGGGTCCTCATCTTGGGAAATAGCAGAGGGATCCTCAGTATGGCTGATGGGGTAATGTCCTCAGGGCCAAGAAGCCAAGCAGCCATGGCCCTGCTCTGGCCCCAGAAGTGGCAGACCCTAACCCTGAGGTCCAAAGGCCTGACTTCCAGCTATCACCAGCCTGCACAGAGGACACCTAAGACCATACCATGGCTGCCCTCAGCTTGGAGCACAGACATCACCTTAGGACTCTTCCTAAGGTCTCATTTTCCTTGTGCCTTTGTTTTTATAGGAGCCAGGTCAGTGTCAATGCCTCTCCTCGGTGGCCTGGGGGTCAGGTGCCTCTGTCCACCTCCCACACCAGCATAAGCAGAGATGAGGTATGGACACACATCTGAGGTCATGCAGACGATACCCGGTGGCTGGTCTGCATGCAGATGGATGGAGAGACTGAGGGGCAAAGAGCGGACACCTATCACCATAACCTCCAGGTCCTGTCTGGTCACCGTAGGCTCACAAGAACTGGAGAGGCCTTGGCCACAAGGCTACAGGTTCCCAGCCCACTGCCTTCCAACCAGAGATGCTCCTCATGGCAAGACTGGCGCCCAGTGGAGGTCAGAACCCTGGAGTCTCCTGGCAGGCCAAAGCCTTGGCTGTCCTGCACTTCCACTTGTAGCCACCAGAGGACACTGCAGAGCAGGCCTGCAAGCTCCTAGCCCCAGGACCACAGCACAGCCTGCATCCAGGTCCCTCTAAGACTGAGCTGAGGGCAGCTTTCATGGGTGACCCTAAAGGCCATAGCTCTGTCCTCAGGGGCTGTGCTGGGCTCTGAGGCCTCTCACTAGAGGGCACAAGGGTGGCCCAGGTGTCATGGTGAAGATCCCTGTCATTTGGCTTTTCAGGGATATCCTGACAGTTGGCTTCATACACAGCACCCACACACATACAGCCGCTCTATATACGTGCTGGCTGGGCCTCATGTGCTTTGTGCCAGGCATGGAAGACCACGGGAACAACTTCTGCATTGAGTTGCCCCAGCTATCTGTTCCCTTCAGCTCCTGCCAGCTGCCCTGGCCTGGATCAGCATTCTGCCTCTGCTCTCCACCAGTGGCTGTCATTGTGGCTTCCTTCTAACCTGTGATCATTTGTCCACTCACCTCTGGCGGCCCCTCAGGGTGCAGAGTGTTTGCAGAAAATCAGAGCAGTCACTGTAGAGGATGCCCAAGATCTGGCAGACACACCTGGGCCCAGAACCCGCCACCCAGGGAAGGCCTCCCCATCTGATGGCTTCAGATCAAGGCAAGAGGCACGGGGGACACTGGCCCAGCCCAGGTCCCTGTGTGTCTCCTTTCCCCCACCCCACACAGACACTCACACACAAGTACACATATACACACACACACAAGTCTGTACAAACACACAGGTGCCCACAGGCACGACACATGTACACACGACATGCTGCCTGTGGCCTACAGTTTCTGTGGCCCCACACCAGAGCTGCCCACGAATGTCCAGCACGGCCCTCTGGTCCCTGCATGAGGGGCAGTAGTCTTCCATAAAACTTGGTATAGAGCCACAAGAAATTTGTTTAAAATTTAACACATAGTAACATCAAAACAAACAAGCGCTACCATGGCAACAAGGACCTAAACAAAGGCTTGCAGATACCCCAGCTGGCGCCACGCCTACAGAGCCATGGCAACCTGCCCCGAAAACAGAAATAGTTGGACTTTTTCTCCCTAAGTCTGTCAACGTCGGCGACTTCCTGGCAGTATCTAGGTGACTTCCTCACAGCCTCCATTCCCCCCCGCCCAAGGAAGCGAGGCCCTTGTGGCGTCCCTGCAGTCCCCTGGTGGCCATGGACACCCACTCCTCAAAATGACCAGTGGCCATTGCAGCCTCATTTTCCCAGAAATTGAAGGGAAAGCCCTGGTGGCCTGCTGCCCTGAGCTTCCAGCTCTTCCGACAGGAACCCAAGGCCCTGGATAGGTCACCATTTCCCAGGACCCCATGACCTTATTGGGGTCACAGTCCTCCAGATCCTGTGCAGGCACATTCCCCTCTCCCTGGGGACAAGGATATATGTTTGGGTCTCCTGCTTCAGCATACCTTAGGGGTCAAGGGACCCCAGAACAGAGAGGCCTTGGGGAGAATGAGTCACAAGGATGCAGGTCAGGGCGACCTTGCCAGAGCTTGGGGGAGGGATCACAGGGCCCCAGTAATCCAGGTTCAGGAGGGTAGGCCAGTGGTGTAGGAGAAGAGGACACCACCCCAGGGAGAACCTGGGGTCCTGAGGGATACCCAGCCAGACTCCTTATCCTGGCCACCCTGTCTGCACTGACCAGGGGCTGCCTACCTGTACACCTCCCCCATGTGCCCACAGCCCACTGGGCACCAGGCCCAGCAAGGCACAGCCTGGCTGCATCATGACTTGGCCCGGGCTGGCCTTCACCCCAGCCAGGATCCACAGAGGGGAGTGGGCCACACCTCAGCCGCTAGGTGTCTGCGAGCCAAAGCCCCAAAGTTCTTGGAATGGGACTCACACTTGGAGGCCCAGTGCCCCCAGGGTAAGAAGCACACATCCTCCAAGAGAACTAAGACCTAGCTGCCACCTACAAGGACAGAACAGGAGTCAGTGCCACGTGCAAGGGCGGAAGGCAGCGCTACAGAAAACACAGGGTCCTGGGGGGCCGGCCCTACACATCCACTTCTGCTGAGCTCCCACCAGTCCTTCTAGAAGCTTTCCCAAGGACAGAGCCTCGGGCCTCTCTGCTCCCGGGAGTGGACACCAGTCAGCGTGAGGACATGGCCTCATCACTTGCACACACCACCAGCTGCTGGGAAGCCACCAGCCACCACGCAAGGGCTCTAGTCCCTATCATTCAAGCCTGGGCTATAACTGTCCCTCCCCCACAGCTGCCTAGGTGGTCCATTCACGCCCATACGTAAGGCCAGAAGCTACTGGAGGCCATGCATTTCACTGCAGGGGACAGGATGGACAGCAGGGCTAGTCTGTCCCCCAGACCCACACCACAACCAGCCTGAGGATATGAAGCACCGGGAGGCCTCCACTTGGCACAGGCTTACAGGCAGACCTGTCCCCAGAGTCATGTATCACTCACCAAGGAGTCTCAAGGCAGCACGCACCAAGCCTCCAAGTGGATCCACAAAGGGGCTACCACCACTGGCAGTGTTGAGGCCCTGGTTGCCCAAGACCTGGCCCCGCTCTGCTTGGCATGGCTGTAGGTAAAGCCAGGAGAGGAGGAGCCTGGCAGTGATGGCGAACCTCTTAGAGCTTCCAGGGAAAAGGCCCAGCTGCGGCCCTCAAGCACGGGTTCACCACCACCAAGCTAGGAGAAGCCCAGGGCCATGCCCCAGTGGGTATGGGGTCCCCAGCCGATCCCTCCCCAGCGGGACTGGTGCTGGCAGAGGCTCCTGAGCCCTGGGGCAGGGGGACACTGGCCAGGGCAGAGGGAGGTCTGAAAGGCAGGCTCAGCCCAGGGGTCACCATGGTGGGCAGGGCCACTGGCCGAGCCACATTCCAGCCCCAAGCATTTGACCCATATACGATGGAACAAGAGGCCAGTGATAGCTGGAAACACAGCAAGGACTGCACGTGCCAGGGCTGATCTGTCCACATGGCCTCTGGTCCTCTCCAGTGGCTCATGGGTGCCAGCCTTCCAGGTAACCAAAGGGGACATTCTGGCTCAGACACTGCATGTAGCCACAACTGGGGACCTCCCTGGGCAGGTTTCATCCCATGCAGCACAACACCCAACCCTGAGTCACCCTCACCCAGCCCGGCCACCTCCACCGGCCCGGCTGCCCTGTGCCTCCTGACGCTGACCTGTGACCTACAATAAGAAGCTGGGTCTCACCACACCTGGGAGACCCTACTTTGTACCCGCAAAGTAGTGAGAGGAAGCCATAAAGACCATGGCACTCAACGTAACTGGAGGATGACACCCAGCTGGCACCCATGGAGAGTGAGGCCCGGCAGGACATGGTCTGACTGGCAAACCAGGCCTGCAAAGGCCCGGCCACTGGGAGGGAGGCAACAGTCAGGCAGGCACAGCAGCAGCAGGCACTGGTAGAACCAGGCCGCAGTGGAGTCATTTCCACACTGGACAGGTCTGGGCAGTGGCCTAGGGAACTACGGATTTTCCCATATCATGGGGCTCAGAGAAGCCCAGGAAATGTGACAAGGGTGAGGGCACCTCAGCATGCTTCCAGTGTGCAGGATAAGAGGCATGCGCATGAGCCCGTGATACTGGGACACACACGTGCACACTCATGACTTGGACACATACATGAGCAAACACTCCCAGGGACACACACGTGCACAGACACCCATAACCCAGGGACACATATGCACACACACCCAGGACCCAGGGACATATGCACACACACCCAGGACTCAAGGACACACGCATATGCACACACATCCAGGAGCCAGGGACACTCGTGTATGCACACATATCCAGGACCCAGGGATACTCATGTATGCACATACCCAGGACCCAGGGACACTTGTGCGTGCACACACACCCAGGACCCAGGAACACTCATGTATGCACACACACCCAGGACCCAGGGACACTCGTGCATGCACACACACCCAGGACCCATGGACACTCACGCATGCACACACACCCAGGACCAAGGGACACTTGCACATGCACACACACCCAGGACCCAAGGACACTCGTGCTGCATGCACACCCAGGACCCAGGGACACTTGTGTATGCACACACACCCAGGACGCAGGGACACTCATGTATACAAACACACCCAGGACCCAGGGACACTCGTGTATGCACACATACCCAGGAGCCAGGGACACTCGTGCATGCACACACACCCAGGACCCAGGGACATATGCACACACAGCCAGGACCCACGGACACACGCACACACATCTGGAACCCAGGGACACACACGCAGACCCACACAGCCCAGGGACAGGTGCACTCACACAGAGGGAGCAGGGTATTATGCTGTGACCCAGGCTACAGGTGTGTGGGGGCCTCTTGCTCCTTCTGTTGTTTCAAGCCCAAGTCTGAGAGAGGTGTGCAAAGGGCTGGACAGGGTGAGAGGCAACAGGAGTGCAGGGCTGGGCCCCCATACCACCTGTGCCATGTGGCTCTCTGGCAGCACCATCCCTTTCCGGTCCAGTGCCTGGTTGCTGACTGTGAGCAGGTGCAGAGTCCACCCCACAGCCACACCCAGGGCTCGGGAACCCCGCCCTCAGCCTGACCAGGAAGCCAGTGCTGCTGTGCGTGCTGGGCCCTCCACCCTGCTGTGCCCTCTGGCTGCTCAACCACCAGCCACTTACTTGATCTTGCTGAAGACGATGTCCACGTCGGTGACAGTCACACTCTTCCCGTCGATCACGTGGCAGTCCCGGCACAACTTGGACCAGTTCTTGCCGTGCATCTCCCGCCCTGTGGCTCGTGTGTCCCCGTGTACGGCGAAGCGCCGGAAGGCCTCCTCCAGGGCACTGAGTTCCGGGGCCGCAGCTGCCCCCTCGCCAGCACCCTCCGACTCCTGTGACAGCCTCTTGGCTGCCTTGTCCTTGGTGGGGTCCCCTGGGGACTTTGGGGGTGTCCTGTTGGCGGCTTTGGCAGGCTTGGCCTTGCCGTCGGCCATGGTGCTAGAGAGGAGAGAAGAAAAGAGCTGCTGGGCTCCTCACAGCCCCAGTCCCTGCGGGGCGGTCACAGGAGGGGATCTACACATCACAGTGGCAACAAGGGACAGGATAGGGCCAGCTGGGGGCCAGCAGAACTCAGCAGCCACCATTTGGTGGCCTCCCCTACTGACACTGCACTGCTGCTCTGGGGCCATTGGGGTCTGTGAAATATTGTCCACCTCCACACAGCCATCCAGATGACACCTGCTATTGTCCTCATGGCCAACTCATGGCCAGGGGTGGGGTTCGCCCTGGGAACAATGATGAGCGTCCAGAAACCCAGTACCCAGGCCTGGAGAGGGGACCCATGTGTCAGGGGTCAGGGAGAGTCCCGCTGCTCCAGACTGCACAGCTTGGAGATTGCAATGCAAGTAGACACCCCCTGGGGCTGAACAGACTAAGGGGCTGCATCCCCCCCAGAGGGCTCAGGAGCTCAGGGCCACACAGATATCCCCACCTATGAGCACCAGGTGGGTTAGGTATGTGGTCAGCATCTGCCCAAGGAAGGTGCTCCCCAACATGAGTGCCCACAGAGGTCTGTGAGAGGAGGTGTCATGCCTGCCTTCCAACCCTGAGAGTCACAGGCCCCCTTCCCACCTAGCACCAGAGCAGTCAAAGCGTGACCTCCATCATCAAGGGGCCCTAGGATATGACTCCTGTGAACTCACGATGGTACCAAGTCCAAGGAACAGCCAGCCTCGCCCAGAGGAGCCTTTACCACTAGGCAGGGTGCTGAAGGCCAGGTTCCCACACCTGGACCTTCCTAGATTAGAGGAGTGCAAGCGAAGGTCAACCTGTAACGAGGACCAGACTAGGACAGAGGAGAACAGGAAGCTGAAGCTCCGTGGGACCAGGCACCCAGCACCCCCTGGGAATGACCAGCCCCACCTCCACCACACACTGGCCCCTGAGGACTGAGCAAGCCACATGGGCAGTGGTGACATCAGGCAGGTCAAAGGGTATGAGCTGAGTTGGAGTGGTAGAGGACACATGAGCCAGACATTCCCTGCACCCCTTCCTTCCCAAGCCCTCCCTGTGGCCCACTCCCCCAGTCAGGCCACACTGCCCCCACAGGCTCCTGTCTCTAGCAGTGGGCCCTGTCCCCCCGGAGTGTACCCTGCAGGCTGGATGTGAGACTCTCTGCAGGCTATGGGCCTTGCTTCCCAAGAGTGCCCCTGCCCCTGCTGTGCCCTGGTGCCCCTAGCAGTGTACCTGAACCCCTCTCTTTTTACCTATGACTTCAGGGGTCCCTGTGCATCCTCTGCCCTGCCTCCAACCTGCTGGCAGACTCCTTCCTGCCCAGCCCTTGCCACCATTTTCATGGTGGCAAAGGAGAGCAGATGACGTGGGAGAGGACAGTACCAGTGTCAGCCCAGGCCAGGGCCCAGAGGCTCAGCATAGCCACCTCCCCTTGGGTAAAGAGGGCAACAGAGGGACATGGGTAACTGATCCACCGGGTGTGGGCCAGGCTGAGTTACCAGATTGGCATCAGCAGCAGAGGGCAGAGAAGGCCAGGGCAGGTGGAATTACAGCCGCGCACAGGAGGGGAGGCTCTAGGCAGGGACCCCTAGCCAAGCAGACTCTCATACCCCATGTCTCCCCAAGGCCATCCTCGCCACACAGGCCCCAGTTCTCAGAATAAAAAATGCTGATGTGAAATTTACCTTTATGAAGCAAAACCTGAAGAGGGGAGACTCCACAGGCCAGGCACTGGCTGCCAATGGCCTCACAACAGAAGGACCAGAATTTGGGGTACAGGGAGCTGTCCCTGTCTGCAGCAGGTGCCTGTGAGCAGCGGAGGGATCTGGGGAGGGCAGAGGCCTGTGACTATGGCCAGATGATGTGACCAGGTGCCTCCTGACTGGGGCCAGATGCCCCCGATTGGGACAGGGTGCCTGAGATCAGATGACTTCCCAGGGCAGGCTGTCATGTGCCCTGTGCATGGAGGTGCCTACTGTCCTGCTTTCCCCGCCTTCCTGTGCCCCCACCTGCTGGGGCCCTGCCCGCATCCCACACTCTCCTCTCACCATCAAACCCCGCTCTCTGCCTGCCTCAGGCTGGGCTGGAGCACTGCACAGTCAGGGTGCGAAGAGAAGGCTAAGTGGAGGTCGGGACCTTGCAACACCACAGGCCGTCGCCCCTCCCCAGGACTGCAGGACCCAAGGCTCTGTCCCTGGGTCCAAGGACACCCGGGCACTACTGGGCCAGACCAGCTGAAGGGTGCTCCTGACCCCTGTCCACCTTGGGTCCTGCCCTAGAGGAGCCCATGCCAGACAGCCACCTCTAGTCAGAATGTCCTCCCCAACAAGTGCCAGTTAGCCCCAACCCCAAACACCCTGCCCCAGGGCGTACCTTGTAACTCTAGCAGTTGCCCACCAAGAACCTAAAGGCAAACTGTCCCTTAAGAAATAGCCAGGTTGGGGACATTAGCAAGCACGTGGGGACCCCAACCCTAGACCTGCTGAGAGGGTGGGTGCCCAGTGGCCCTCCTGTGTCTGCATGGCAGGAGTCAGACCGTCTCTGCCTGGCAGTCCTGCCTGAGGATGGGGAGGCTGGGATTTGTGACCTGGAGGCCAGGGTGGGTCTGCCCCTGCTTGTGGCCTGGAAGTGCTGTCAGAACCTGCCTGCATTTTGGTCAGATATGCCAGGCCTTCATTATGTCTTCCTTCGATGGCCACACACGGGATCAGGTGGAAGGAATCCCTGTCATCACCCCCAGCTTCTGCTGGCTGGACCCTCGGGGATGAGGGCTGGCTCTGGAAGCTGGTAGCAGGGAGCTTCTGGGAGGTCACCTGGCAGGTGGAAGCTGCCTTCGCCCCCACCTCTGCAGGCCACCAAGCTGGGCCTCAGCTGTCCACCTCAGGCTCCTTAGCAGGCTTTTGGGGAAGTGAGGATTCCCAGAAAGGGCCAGGGGCCCCAGTCCCTTCAAGTCCCTAGATCCCCACCCCTGGGCCCCTGGGCCCGTGGGCCCCATGGAGACAACCAGTAATATTGCACCGATGCCAGAGGCATGTGGTTCAGGACCATGCTGCCTGCAGGAGGCTGGGAGGCCGCAGCCAGAGTGGATACTGCCCCAAAGGATAGTAAGTCAGCCCTGGCTGGAGCCACAGGACTCTGGGATGAGGAAGAAGGTGGGGGCACCTCTCTTAAGCCTCCCAGCACATACAACCCTAGCTGGCAGCCCAGACATAGCCTCTCCCCAGGCCCAGCTCCAAGTCAGTCTGGTCCCAGGAAGCTGATGGTGACAGGGGAGGGGCAGAGCACAGAGAAAATGACCCACAAACAAATCCCAAACACAGTCCCACAGACCTCTGAGGGATGCCTGGCCTACCAGAAGCCTCCTGTGACCACCAGCCAAGATGCCTAGTTCCCAAGGCCTAACCAGCCGGGGAGACCACGGCAGCCTGTAGACTGACAGAGAAGCGCACGTCAAGAAGAAGAATCAGACAGTGTCCCCAGATTCCCCGCTCACATCTGTGCCCCAGGATCAGAGACTGGGGTCACACAGTGCCCTGAGCCCAGGCTCTGACAGGGATAGTAGGGGCTCAGAGCCCCAACACCAGGCTGCGCTGCCTGACCGAGGGGCTCTCCAGCTCAGCCCACTCGAGTACAGCACAGCCCTTTGGCCATTGTTTATTTTCACTGTGACATGGCCACTTGCCTGCCCCTCCCTGGGCACTTGACGTGAGTGCCACTCGTCCCAGGCAGGGAAAGCTCCCTAGGCTGGCATGAAGCCAGCATTTACTGCCTGTGTGTCCCTCAGGCACAGAGCACATCCCAGGTGCCCAGACACGGCTCCAGCAGCCTGCATGCATAACTGGACTGCCCGGCCTGGGAGCTGGCTTGGCCAGGTCCAGACAGGTCCCCAAGGCCAGTCTGCTGCCCTTCAGGGTGACCCAAGAAGGAAAACAAACCCACCGCTGGCTCCTGTGCCCAGGAAGGGGGAGGGCAAGGCGGAGAGAGCACTATTCACCACAGATTCCTGTGTCCTGTGCTGGGACCCAGGAGCCAGGTAGGGCTGGCCATGGCAGTAGGGGTACTAACCAGTCCATCACCACCATTCCTCAGGCAGGAACTGATCATGTGCCTGCCCTGCCCAGGCCAACAGTGTCCCTGGTGTGGGCGTGGGTGTCCTCTGGGTGTTCTGAGTCCTCTGGGAGTGGCACAGTTCCCTTGGCCTGTGCAGCCTGGCTTTAGGGTCCAGAGCTCCACAAAGGCTGCTACCCATCACCTGACACACAGGGCCCTGTGAAGTGCTTCCCACCTCCAGGCATGGGAGGACGCATACCCCAAGGGACACAGCAGCATAGCAGTCCTGGATGACAGCTGCCCTGCAGCAGACAGCAACTTTGTGGTGCCTGCACTGTGAGAAACACGATTCTGCTCTTTTGTCACTGTTCTTACATTACCTCCTCAGGGGTTCTGTCCTAGGAACACAAGAAGCCAGAATGGTACGGCCACAAGCCAAAGACAGCAGGCCCACCAAGAGGTGGTCCTGCCCACTGTAAGAACTGGCCTGCTGGCTCCAGGGAGAAGGGTTTCTGTGGCGTTGAACCATTTTGTGTGTGTCTTTTTGTCAGTAGCCTCTAAACTCTGATGCAGTTTGGTGATCAGGAGAGGTGGCAGCCTCTCCAGGGGCACAGAGAAGGCCAAGCCTGTGAGGGGAAGGTGCAAGTGCCAGAGGTCTGACAGGACAAGAGTGAGTGTTCTCCAGGGGTCCCAGGGTCAGCCCAAGCAGGCTGGGCTTGCAGCAGGGGCAACCACAGGACACCTGTTACTATGATACTCCATGTCCAGGCACAGAGTATGGAGCAGGGGAAAAGCATACACAGAGAGGTAAGCAAAGACCCAGAGCACAGGGAGAGGACTTAGTCAACTGTGCTCCTGTGCAGTGGGGTCCATGCCCAGAACACGAAACATATTCTAAGGGTCCCCTGATGAAAATCGAGAACTTGTGTCCACCAAAACAGAGCATCAAGAAGTTGGCAAACTCCAGGGTAGGAGACACTAATTGTTATACACGATGAATGCTGACCTGCCCAGAATACATCAAGCACTTCCACGGATAGATAGGATAAGAGCAGACAACTCAGGGGGAAGGCATGGCCAAGTGCTCAACAAGCAGAATCAGGAAGATTCTGATTAGGCAGAAAAGCCCAACCTCAGAAAGTATCTCCCACCTTCCAGGGTGGCTGAATTGTACAGGCACAGGAAAGGTGGAAAGGCAAATGTCCAGCCCCTTGGAAAGTTGCTGGGCCCTGTCCACTAAATCGGAAGATACCTATTATTGGAGGCCACCAACCCCAATTGCAAATGTACCAGACAGAGGCACAGCCACATGGGCCAAAGCACCTCAGAAGGCCCAATGGCTGGACGGGAGAACAGCCAGAGTTAAGAGCAGTGGCATGCTCATCAAGCAGTGTGTTGTGCACAGACACAGTAGCCACAACGAGTGATCATGGCAGGACAACAACCTGCACAAGGACCTGGAGATATGGGTGTATGTGAAACAACTGTGCCCATGAGCAGAACCCACCCCACTCTGGGGCAGATGTGTGGGTGGCAGTGGAGGGAATGGGAGCCACAGGACCACTAGGCATCAGGAGGAAGGCTTGGAGGCCTTCCTGGCCAGGTAACCAAGGGAAGTGGGTCTCAGGAGCAAGGCGAGGTGAGATGAGCTGCCTGAGGCACCCTCATCACTCACTGAAAAGACTTTTTCTACTTCTCCCCCAAGAAAGTTGTGCATTTGGACATTAGGAGATTACAGCTTACCACCAAATCCTGGCTGTTTATTGCTCATGGAAGGGAAGAATATGGACCCAGGCACGTTAAATCTTTTTTTGCTAAGTTGTGTTTTTGTGTTTGTTTTGTTTGTACCAGGCATTGAACTCAGAATCTTTTGCTTGTGAGGCAGGTGCCTGCGCCGATGTGCTAAATCCCCCACCTGGCACATTAAATTTGGATCTGGAAGTGAGATTGGGGGAAAGCCACTGCATGTATCTATGGGGTTTTCCCTGGTAGCAGCAAGCCATCTTCCCGTGGAGAAGGGCTGTGGGCAACAAATCCCACTCTCCTGCCCCAGTAGAACCAATCAAAGCCATGTCTAGGGTCTCTACAAGGGTGATACTGAGCTGGGATGGGGGATGCAGTGGAAGGGAAGGGGGTGCCCTGGGCAGGTAGTGCCTGGGGTCCATTGTGGTGGATGGTGCTCTGGGGAAGAGATGCCTCAGGCAGGGATCCTTGGGTGAGAGATGCAGAGGCATGGGCGTGGTGGCCACCTCTACAAGGAGGGCACTGGCCACTGCCAGGAGGGGGTGGAGGACCTGTTTGAGCCCCAGATGGGCCAGGTAGCCCCGCCCTTCCTTCCTGGGAACAGCTCTTGCTGGACAGTGGGAGACAGCGGTGCTACTCCAGGCTAGCTGGCTGGCTGAGGGCACTGGGCTCACCCCAGGGTGCTCGAGAGCCCCAATGGACTGCAGCCTCCTCCCTGCCTGTCTCACCAGCATCGGCTGCTAAAAATAGGTCACCGAGGTTGGCAGCCTCTCTTGTAGCTGCTTCTCAACGTCTGGGGACCAGGAGGGTGTCCAGGAAGATGGGTAGCTCACGACTGCTCCCCAAACTTCCCAAATTCTCCTGGGATCTGCACATTTCCCAGGAGATTATGGAAAAGAAACAACAGCATCGGCCCCACCATACCCAGCCTGACCCCCACTTTCTACTCCCAGTCAGAGGTCCGTGGATTCCACCTCTGACCCCGCAGCCTCCCCAGGCGGCATTGGCGTCGCGGGCACCTGCATGACCAGCGGGGATGACAGCTGCAAGCGCCTCCCCGCCCCCACTCAGCGCATCGCCCACCGTTTACATAAGGAGCGCGGCGCCGAGGCTAGGCTGGACTCGGCAGCCGCGCCCCTACCTCCCCGCTGCAACGGCCGATGCGGCAACGGGAATACAACCAGTCCCCACACGGCCCAGCGCAACCGAATGCCCAGGGCTCGACCGGCCTACCTGCGTCCGTCCTCGCCCGCCGGGCCGCACCCCGCCGCTCACCTCGGAGACCAGCGACTGCGACCGAGCCTCGGTCTCGGCCGCGCGCCCGACCGGGATCGAGCGCTCCGCCACCACCGCCCCGCCCCGCCCCGCCCATCCGGCTAGGCCCCGCCCCTCCCGGCAGTCGGCCACGCCCTCGGACCGCATCCCTGCCCTTCCCCACAACTCGGATTCGCTGAAGACCCCAAGACCCACCCCAACCCGCCCCTTGGCCCCGCCCAGACTCCCAGGCCCTGCCCACTCCCGCCAGTCGGACCCGCCCCACTCGGCCTTAAGCCCCGCCCCTGAACCACCCCTCGCGCTCCGCCGCCTTCCTTACAAGGCCGCCCGCGCAGGCCTAGGTACCCCAGTCCGCTTGGCGCAGGGCGCGGCCGCGCGCTGAGCGTGGGAACTGGGTGGGGCAGGGGCACAAGGCATGGCGCACCTGGCCCTAGGGTGTAGCGCCGGGAGGGGGCCGGGGCGAGATTGCAGGGCCGCTCCACCCCAGGTACGGGTTTAGAAGGGCGTCTTCATGCAGCGGCAGCATCATCCGGGACACCTGGCCCAACTCTGCCCCGAGCGTCTGGTGGGGAAGGAGCGCCGGCTGGGTGGGGCCAGAGGTTGCTGAAGAGGCTGGCTCGGGGATCTTCGACCCCAACGAAGAGGTCAGCGTTCAGGATGCTGGCCCCAGGGACCGCCCAGGGTCGCCTTCAGCTTTCCTGGTGTGGCTCAGGTGAAAAGCGGTGTCCCTGCAACCACCACCGTTGTTTCCCGTTCAGGTCCCGGTGTTCCCTCCCCTGTCTGCCAGTCCCCCTCCCAGTCCCTCTCCCGTTCCCCTTCTCTCAGAGCCTCTGGTTCCTTCTGCTCAAAAGTGACCAGTTTTCTTCTGCCTCTTCCTGCTCTACTGAAGAGCGCCCACTAGACGCAGAGGACTCAGGAGAGTTCAAAAGATTAAAGCTCCCCTGTCAGCAAGTCCCCCTCCCGGGCCCTATCCTCCACCTCTGGCTGCGTTCCCTGTATCCTACTGTTTCCAGGCTCCTCTGGGGCTCAGGCTCCTCTGGGACCCTGTAGGGGCCTTCTGTGGAACTCCGGTTTTTGTTTGGATTGAGGATCTGACACTTAGGCAGAGTCCGTTGAGCCCTAGGCACAGCCATAGTGGAAATGATCAGCTCTGTGCGCAAGGCCCTGAAAATCTCTCTCACTGGAACATTCCTGCAGCATGTAAGCTGCAGCCAGGGATTCTTCCACCCCAAAACGGGTGTCAAATGCACCGATTTCACCAATAAAAGTGCAGGGGGAGATCACAGCAGCTTCAGAAGCAGAATCACGAAGATGCCTTTGAGAAGAGGGGGGGGGGTGCTGGAGCTGCTCCTCCAGGTTGCCAAGGTGGTCTGAGCACAGCCCCAGACAAAGGAAAGAGGACACCAGGGCTGGACCTCTGCTCCAAACACAGCAGCATGGAACTGGCTGCCTCTGGGCCTGGGCTCATCATCTGGAGCTGATCAGTTCACGAGGTTGTAAGTGAAGGCTGAAGACACAGGCCTGTTACTTCATAGCAGGCAGCCCTTCCGCAGTGATGATAAAGCACCTCGGCATGGCACCAGGCTGTCCCAAGCTCAGAAGTTAGGTCCTAGTTTGGGGTCGGGAGGCCTCTTCCTCCTGCCATGGCCACCTGGCCAGTGAACTCTGTCAGGTGGTTCTGCCATCCTGCAGAACTTCATCCCCAACCAGGGCCTGGACTGCCTCTGCCCTGCTGTAGTACAGACCAGCTGCCAGCAGAGGGCACGTGTCCACACCACTGTCTGGGGACACCGGTTACCTGCCTTCCCACAGCTGCTAATAAGCCCCTTAGATGGGGTGGCTTCAACAGAGACTCAGACTCAGGACACAGTTGGGGATGGCACACAGCCTCCTGTAGAGCTAGGAGCCTCCCTGCCTGGAGCTACTGACAGCAAATGACTCCTGTGGATGGCTGGGCTCCTGGCTTCTCTCTGCTAGCAGAGCTGTGGCAATTCCTAGGCCCTGGGTGTCAGGTTCAACAGGGACCTAGAGAACATTACAAGCCCAGTTGGGGGCAGGCCTGGGTCTGAATTCTGCTGCAGTGGGCAGGGTAGGCAAACAGAAGCCTTTGATGGGAGCGACTGCTGACCAGGCCGCAACCTCATGCAGCAAGTGTCAGGCAGGGAACCAGAACTCTTTCTCAGTTTAGAATCTAATGGCATCATGGAGTCGGGCTGCCAGACAGGACTCAGCCTTGGCATTGACAGTGCAGAGGGGATGGGTCTACTCAAGGTGCAAGCCGGGTGTGTGCTAGATATGGGCACATCAGACACAAAGGGCAGAGGGGCTTTTGAGGACAGCCTTAGGTCCCTGGGGACCCGCTTCCTGGCTTGGATCTGGAGTGCAGTCAAGGCTAATTCTGCAGGGCATGCACTCCTGAAGCCAGTGCAGGTCTTTTGGGGAATGTGGGAGAAGATGAGCCAGCTCTTGGTCCACCCACCTTCATGGGGACTGCAGGCCAAGGATGTGGAAGGATGGTGCAGAGCTGGGTCCTGCCTAGAGGACAAGAGTGGATGAAGCCCAGGCAGGGATCTTGCCAATTGACAAGAATTTTTCTGAGAGGGGCCTGGGGATTTAGCTCAGTGGCATAAGCTCCTACCTGGCAAGCACAAGGTCATGGGTTCAATCCCCGGTACCAAAAAAAAAAAAAAAAAAAAAAAGAATTTTCTGAGAATGTCTTCAGTACAGGGACAGACGTTAGCCAATTTTATGGGGTTGTGGCAGGGGTGTGGTTCTGGCCCAGGTCTTGTGCACAGCATTTACCATTGGCAGGCTCTTCCACAGGTCTCATCTGTTGCTGTCCATCCTACATACACAGTCCTGCTGGGTTGAGCTGGGACCAGCCATGGGCAGCCTGCGGCCTATTGGTCATGTCCTGCTTCAGAGGAAGAAGAGGAGGAAGAGGAGGAGGGGGAAGAACACAAGGAGAAAGAGAGGAGGAGGAACAGAGGAGGAGGGGACAGGAGGAAGAGGAGGAGGGGCCTGCAGGGCCTGGCTGGAATAGGTACTGCTTCCCCCTGTGATGCTGGTACCTCCATCCTGCCCTAGCTAGCCCTCTCCTGCCTCCACTAGGCCCTCTCAGGGTTCATCCTGTGCCCACAGGAGAAGGAAGACTTACTAGGACTGGCTTCACCTTTATTGCTATCAAAACTTTTACAATTTCCTATAAAGCATTCTGAAGTTTCCTCTGAGATTAAACTCCTGCTACCACTAATGACCTCACAGAGTCCCTGCAAGGCTGCTTGAATGCAGCTACAGACATTTGGAAAACTGAGTCCTGGTGAAATAATCACCCTGAAATAACCAGCACAGAACCTGTGCAGCTCCCAGAGCACCAGGCCTGCTCCAAATCTGCACCTTGGAGACCCTGAGATGTGCTTGCCCCTCAGGCAGCCAAGCTCTCCAGGCACCCTGGCATTGTCTTGGGAGATCATCTGGCATCTAGGTGGGCCCCCTTTAGCACCTGGCCATAGGCTCAGAGGCCATACTGACCACTGCCGCCTTGAGCGTCTACAGTACATGCGCCTCTTCCTGAGCACTGTTTCTCAGGCAAGGCGAGGGCTCTGTGCCCAGGACCCAAGTGGGTGCCACTTTCAGAAACTTCCAGCCGCTCTGGTTCCCTGTTGCATCAGGGGCGTCCCCCATCCAGTCCTCAGGAGTGTGGGTGCTCAACTTCTGCTCTAGGAATCTGAAGCCCCTGCCTTCCTCCTGCCTACAGACTTGGGGCTCTGGGTCCAGGGCATCACCCGGGTGAAGATACAACCTTGTTCCCAGAGGGCTGGTGCAGTGTCTGCAGGCCTCCTCACTCACCTGCTGGCCTGGTAACTGTCTCGCCAGTTTGTGGACAACTTAGGGATTCACAGGGCCAGCACGCATGTACCACCAGCCCTCGGTGGTATCCCAGTCACCAAGCCTGACGGCTCTGACTTCCCCCTTCTCATTTCTGCTCTGTCTGTATTTTATGATCTTTAAACTAACTATATCTTAAATCTGAGGCTATGTAGCCACCAAATGGCTTCTAGGCAGCACCCCCTTTCTGAAGATAAGAAGTGCCAGGGATACTGACAGACAGAAAGTACACTCAGGAAGTGCTTCATGCATGGCAGTGACACCATGGTGAGGTGCCCACACTGCCACCACCAGCTGTCCAAGGTTGAGGGCTGCTGCTGTCCAGAGGAGCACCCTGACCTCACCAGTCATGTCCACAACCCTTCTGCTGGCCACACAGGAGGACAGGGCAGCCTGGTGACCAGAATAGTGCTCAGGAGTGCAGAGCACATGTGACTTGGCCAAACTGCAGCTGAGCAGGCTTCCCATGTCACCCCCCACCTCCCCTGTGACCTCAGTGCCCCTGTTTCACACTCTTGTTTTCCAGCCTCATTCATCGCCCTTCAGCCCTGGCTGGTCTGCTTTTCATCTTCGCCTTTTCCACCTAGGAGTTTGGTACCAGCCCCTCGAGAGCCCATGCTATGCACTGGGATAGGGTCCAGGTGTCTAAGGACAGGCTTTCTGGATCTGCTCTTTCTCCAGTGTGGGTGGTGAATGCCACTTCCCAGTTTTTAGAATTTGCACTGCATTCTCACCCTCCAGGTCCAGTCAGATCTGCTTAGGGTCAGGCTGCAAAGTGAGATAAGAGCTGACCATGCAGAGCGCCGCAGTATCTGGACCCCAGGTGACTGCTGTCTTCAGGAAGTGAGCACCACACTTTGCTCCTGAGCAGCAGATGAGATAGTGCCAAGTCCACTGATGTGTGCTGTGCCTCAAAATCTAAGGTACACAGAGAATGTACACAGAGGATGTGTGTACATTCACAGAATTAGCACAAGTTCCAGACCCCAAGTGGCTGGGCTACTCTATCCCATGGCAACCTGGATTTGCTGTCTGTGAGACAGCCAATCCCCTGCCTCCCACGAGTGAAATTACTCCCTGAGCCCAGGAGGGATGGTCGCTTGCATTGCAGCAAGTACTCAGGTGAGCCCGTGGATCTGTGTATCAACAGAAAGCAGAGTCTGGCCAGGGGCTTTTACTCAAAACCACTTTAGAATTGTAGGTTTTCATAGTTTGAAAAGATCTAATGGGGGGAAAGAATTCTAACACAGATATAAAGATGAGTTATAAAAATGCCATGGTCGGTGGCATTTGGGGTTACCCTGGCATAGAGAACAAGGAAATGGCCCAGACTTTCCATTGGTATTTCTTTTTTTGTTTTTTTTATGAAAATATTTAACACTCTAGAGACTCAACCTCTGGTAGACTTCACCGCCACACACATCACATTATCTCCCCAGAATTTAAGGCTTCAGCCTTGACATCGTCTTCTTCAAGGACTGATGAAACTTCCCTCTTTCCTCGGGACCTGCAAGAGGGGGGACACAGGATTAGAACAAGATGATGCAAGATGACACTTTAGAGGTCAGCAGTGGGGTGGCCATGACTTCCCACCAAGACTGCTAAGACTTTCACCTGTGGGCTGGGGACAGTGGTGTGATGCACTTGCTGTGCTGCCTCTGCTCCTGTATGGGGAGGGAGCAACAGGGTTCAGCTCACCCCCTGGTGACCCCTGTTGCACCTCGGTTCCATTTGTGCCAGTGGTCATCTATGATCTCATCAAGGGCTCCACCCACCAATGAGCCCGGCACACCATGGCCCAGTCATCTCACATCCCTAACGTGTGGGAGTCTGGGGGACACTCTCTATATATCTTTGACAGGAAGGGGTGATGTGCTGCAAAGGTACAGGAATCCTGGGACACAAATACCATCTGTGCCTCAGGTGGCCCCTTCGAAGTACAGCCCTCATGCTCCTTAGCACGTGGAACTCTGGAGCCTGAAGAGCATGTAAAGGAGGGGCAGGTGGCCACCCTCCACCCAGGCAGGGTACACGGAACTGCCACCACCTGCCACCCCAGCCCTTCTCATGTGCAGAGAAGCCAGTGCACCTAGATGGCTGGCACATGTATGGGGTGCTCTCCAGGAAACCAGCTGTGCACCGTGGTTACCCAGATGGCACTGTAGCCTGACAGCGGGCTTCCCACCCACAGTGTCTGCTGGAGGACCAAGAGGGCCAGGCCTTACCAACATATCCTGGCAGTTTGCTAGGAAGAGAGAAAGGAAACGATAGAAAAGATGTGTAATGAACGATGGCTGGAAACTGGCCCTCTGATGAGAGACATGGATCTTCACACCTAAGAGTCAGCAAACTCCCAAGAAAATTCTATTCTGAGAGCTCCAAAAGCACTACAGTCAGATTACCCAGATCTAGCTCATAAGAATGTTCTAGAAGCAACAACAATAGAAGTATCAAGAGACAGATCCCAAACGAAGAATCCTCACTAAGGAAAATGGCTAATTTCTCATCAGAAATTGTGGACGCTTGAAGGCAAGGGACAGCACCTTAAAGCCTCAAAAAGAAAACACAGAAACAGAAACAACAACAACCTGTGAACCCAGAATTCCAAGTCTGACAAATCTACCCTTGAAGAATGAAGAGGAAATTTAACACATTTTCCAATAAAAGCTGAGGGAGTTCATTACCAGAAGTGCTAATGGGATTCTCTGGGCCAAAGAGGAGCGAGCTGTAACTGATAGCTTTAAATAAAGAACACCAGTAAAGAAATGAAAAACGTTGGTAAATACCAAAGGAAATTAATATTCCAAGTATTATATTCTTCATTTGTAAATTGTCTTTTTTCCTACATGATTTAAAAGATAAATACATAAAACAATACTTCCATCAATGAGCACATGAAGTATAAAATGTCACCCATGACAAAGGCACACAGCAAGGGACACAGGCCACGGTGTCCCTCCAGTATGGTCACCACTCCTTTCCTACTTTTACTTGTCAAAATTTGCTCTGCAAAGCCTGTTTCTTTTCCTGCCTTTAATAAATGTAACCTCGCTGTCAAAAAAAAAAAGGAGGGATGGGGATGTACAGGAGCGAGTGGACAAGCTGAAGCTAAGCTGGAATCCCCCAAACTAAGTCACTGTAAGGTGAACATATTAATTGTAATCTCCAAGCTAACCTCTAAAAAAATAACTAGAAAGTATACAGAAAAGGAAAAACAATGGAATCGAATGGCACACTATAAACATTCAATTAAATCTAAAAATCCAGTAATTGAGGGATGAAAACATAATCAGAAAACAAAAAGCTAAATGGCACCGTAGCAGAAAATGCCTCCTCTCCCAGTCAGTGCACTTAGTTTCTTAGTTGCCTAGGTAACAGTTCCTGTTCAGGTGCACCTGTCTCTTAGAAACAGCTGTCACTGTGATGCACATTGTAAGAACCGATCCCCAGTGGACAAGCCATTCTGCTTCTGTACTTCTGGCTTGCTTATCCCATATAAGCCCTAGATCACCGGAGATCAGGGCCTGATACTCTGGGAGTGATCCTGATCCATGGGGAATGATCCAACAAGAAGCCAAACTATGCTTTCCCATGAGCCAGCTTGCTTGGGCTGGGAAACCAGAAAAGCATCCCCCCCACCCTCCCTGTAAGCAACTGGCTGATTGAGAGGCACTCAGAGTGAGATGATAGCACCTGAGGCAAAAGGAATAGCTTGATGCTTGTGTTGTTTGATTGATTTTGCAGGCCTGGGGCTGGTGGTCTGGTATTTATTTGGAGGATGGCAGTGTACATTGTACAACTGTGGGGGATTTCCTTCTGGCTTGATTTTGAAATCCAATGTTTTGTCCCATTTTACTGTTTTGTTTAATTCCTGCATCTGGTAACCTGAGCAAGTATTTTGAAGATAGCAATATGCAATATAACAACCATTGTTAAATTCCTATTGCCTTGTTTTGAAAGCCTATATAGCTATTGCTGTTTTTTGTTGTTGTCATCATTTGCTTTTGTTGTTGTTATTCTTTAGGTTTGTTTGCTTCTTGATTTTTCTAGTTTTTCTTTTTATTCTTTAAAATAAAATTAACAAAAAATTGATATTATACAAGGCGTCCTCTTTTCAATCACAGTGTAATGAAACTGAAAAATCATTAACAGAGGGAAAACAAGGTAATTCACATCCATGTAACATCTACATAGAAATTAACACATTCTTGTTTTTGGTTTTTTTGTGGGGAGGTTTGTACCAGGGATCAAACTCACAGCCTCGTGCTTGCCAGGAAGGCACTGTGCCACTGAGCTATATCCCCAGCTCGGCTGACACATCCTTAAACAATCAGTGACTGAAAGAAGGAATCCCAGGGAAATGACACAATACTTCAAGATGAATGGAAATGAAAACAGTGTACCAGCATTTTGGAGGTGTTCACTGACACAGAGCTAACACTAAATAGCCTGACTGTACACTTGAAGAAAAAGAAAAGTGAACTAAATCCAAACCTAGAAGGAACAGAATGATAAAACTAGAGCACAGAAAAATGAAATACAGCAATAGATGAATTCAGTGAAACCAAAAGTTGGTTGTTTGAAATGATCAACAAAATAGGAAGCCCTGAGCTTGACTCAACCACTGAGCCCGGAAATCAGAGATGGTCCTCCTTCCAGATGCTGTGCAAATACCAGGATGACCAGTGGAGCCATGGGCAGCTCTGTGCCAACCACTGCAGCCTGGGGACAAAAGGAAACAATGACTAGAAACACACAAACTACCAAAAGTGACAACAATTTTCAAATGCAGAGATTATGTGACTTCTAGTAACACACAGCAGATGGGACATACCCTCTACATTCCCCAGAGACCACAGTGTAGCGTGTGGAGAGCAGGTCAGTGCCGGACACACAGTGAGGAGGGGCAGCTTGGAGAAGTGCAGAGCCCCACAGGGACAGCAGGGGCATGGGAGCTCAAGCACAGGTGCTCTGCCCGTGGCCGTGGGCAGTAGGGAGCCTGTGCTGTCAGATACTGGCTTGGGTGGGGCTGGACAGGAGGGATAGGGCTGGTGACAGTGACACTGCATGGCGAGGGCCCTTCATGGACAAGAATGGCAGTTGTTCGTCAGCCTCAGGAGCTGTGGGAGACGCAGTTGGCAGACAGGTTGATCTGCGCATGACCTGGAGAGTCTAGAAGAGCCTTGCATGCATACGTGTGGGGCTCTGGAACAGGATAGATGTGGCTATTAGGGACCCAGGAGCAATACCGTTCCATGGATGGAGTAAAGGCACTCAAATCTACAGCAGAAGATCAAGTCAGACATCTGCCTTGTGGTCCACACACAAATGAACTAGAGGCGAAGAACTCACCTTCCACAACAAATACTTAAAATTCCTAGTAGCGGGAAGAGATGCTATCTTTCAAGATATTTGGGCTGAAAGAAAGACACTGAGGCCAAAAAGTATTAGCTGTAAAACATGTACAAATGTGACCTGCTGGAGCATAAGGCTCTGGTTCACTGAATGACACACTGCCAAAGGAAACTGTCCAGCTGCACACCAGAGTCCCTGTAGTTTACCCAAATGACAACAGCTTTGTGTCAAGAATACATAGACAACTAACGTGAGTTGGCATGGAAAGCACAAAGAACCCCATGAAAAGGTGGGCTACAGACAGGAGCAGTGCCGTGCATCACAGAAATCTCAGGTGGCGAGTCCAGCCTCATTAGTCCCGAGGCCTGTGGTGGAAGAGACCCAGCCAGCTGCCAGGGGCACCACTGTCCACAGTCTCAGAGTGCAGAGGGTAACCCCACAAGACTGCTTACTCACTAGAGCAAATGCCACAGCCGCTTGAAAACAGCCACACAGTCAGAGGCCCCACACCTGCACCACCAGGCACAGACCAGGAGGGGCCTGCACACAGACAGCAAGACACCCGGGCCAGCCCAACACCACCACATCAGGGAGGTAAAGAGACATGGTGTGGGGTGAAATGTCCCAGAGCACAAGCAAGCAGTGTGCAGTGACATGGAGCATGGGCAGATCTTGGTCATTTGGGGCTAAGGAGAAAAGACGACTTGCTCAACATTGCACCCCCATGATGTCCTTTCTGCAGAAGTCACCACTGTACACAACCTTTCCAACACCACGCAGGCGGCCAGGGTGGAGGAACAGACAGGAGAGAGCAGACATACCATCAGGACGCTGCTCTTGCTCTGAGTAGAAATGTTTCTTCCATTATCAAAAATAAGCACTTAAAGTGAGACATGGAATCACACACCTATAATCCCAGCACTCGGGAAGCTTAGGCAGGAGGATTGCTGTAAGTTAGAGGTCAGCCTTGGCTACAAAGTTGAGTTAAAGACCAGTGTGAGGAATTACATAGGGATACCTTATCTCAAAAAGACAAAAAAAAAAAAAACCCTAAAATATGCTTATCCAGGAGGTCATCCCACAGATCTGCCATGCATCTGTGTCTCCCATTGGGGATTTCGAGGAGCAAGGTCCACAGTGAACCGGAGGAACAGCTGTCTGGTGCCGGCAGTGCCAGTGCTCTGGGTTCCTCTGGTCTCTCTGCAGGGTAACAGCGGCACCCTTCAGGACTTGGGAGGAAAGAGCAACTTGAGGAAGGCTCAGAAACTTTAGGGAAGATCGGTAGCAAACCTGGGTCTATGTGATGCTGAAGCCCGAGGCCACTTTACCGGGCTCCCTGGTCCCCAGCAAGGAACTGCTGCCCTTGCTCCCCTTCAGCTGGGAGCAGCGGTCTCCACAGTCGGACTCCCCGGGGATAAGCACCAGAGCCGGTCTGAGCTGCAGGGTCCACAGCAGGTTCTTCCGAATGGCTGCTGCCACAGAAGTACGGCTGGACCCTGCCGTCCCCCTTACCCTGCACCCTCCAGGAAAGGAACTGCCAGGCGTCTGCCTCAAGGACCTGCTCAGCCTGGGCCCTGCGGCCCTTGCCTCCTGCCCCTCCTCCTCCGAGAGTACACCCAGCTGCTCTGCCTGGCCCATCCTCAGCTGTGGGTGCTGTCCATGACCTCGTACCAGCCACCCCCCAAGTCCTCACATGGCACCACACACACTGTCTCTGGCCATCAGCCGCCTAGAATCCTGTCCCCTTCCTATTCACACAGGTATTCCCCAGCACCACAGTGGGAAAATCTCCTAGGATGAGGAAAGCTCGAAAGCACCATAACCCACCGCCTAGACTTCACCACATTTGTCCTCAATCATTTGTTAGGCAACTGCCTGCCTGTCACTGCCAGCTGGCGGCCCACACCCTCGCGGGAGCGCACACAGCGCCCCCTCTGGTGATAGCTGCTCTGTATTGATCTGCGCTGTCACGCGGCCCGCGCATCAGAACCTTTTTAGCCCCTCGCGGCTTCTATTGCACTCCGCGCTCTGTCGCCGGGAGCTGGACCTGTGGGGACCTGCTGCACCGCCCCGCAGCTCTGTGTCCCCACCGCAGTCTGCACCCTGAAATCCCACCCCGAGCGCGGGTCTCAGGAAGCGGGCCTTTGGGAGCAGGCTGAGGGTGCAGCCCCGGCGCTGGGTCACACCGAGGGAGGGTGGCCGTGAGCGCTTATTCCATCTCTCACTCCTTGTCCTGGGCAAACAGGGAGACCACGGCGTCGGGGAGCGGGGCAGCGGACGCGACTCAGGCCCCTGCATCTCGCCTTCCCAGCTACGGAACCGTGAGCTACCAACGAGCTGTCTCCAGTCTAGGATGTTTGTTTCAGCAGCTCGAGGGAACTAAAAACATCTCCAAACGCCAACAGTGAGTGCACGGAGGACTGAGCACACCGCCGTGACTCCGCGGCAGGGTCACTGGAGCCGCTCGGCGCCCCTCACCTCTCTCCTCGCGGCGGGTGGCGGAGAGCAGAGCGCTCCGGGCTGACTGGCGGCGAGTCACTCTGCAGGCTCAAGGAATGGGTGGAGCTGGGACTGGAACACAAGGAAGCAGGCAGGAACTTCTTACGCTTCAGTCTGGCAGGAAGGAAACGTGGGATCAGCACAAGTGGCCTTGCTTTGGGACGGGCGCCTGAGGACCCACGACGGCCACCGGTGCTGTCCTGTGCTAGCCTGCAGAGCCCCAGATCGGGCCTCCTGGGCGGGTGCGTGAACTCCAGACCTCGGGGGTGAGATGCATGGGAGAAGGAGCCTGGGTACTCATTGATGGGGCAACGCGGAAAGAAGCTTCCTCTCACCAACAGGGAATTCTTACATGCCACGGAGGGAAACCCTGAGCATCGGTCTTCATGGGTGTGATCCTGCTCCCATCCTGTTTTCAATCTCTCTGGTCAATTTATATGCATTGGCTCCACTTAACATCCCATAACAAATAAGCAATAAATGGTCAAGTTTGTCTGATGATTATCACTGCAAAGGGAACCTTCCTAAAGACCTGCAAGCGTCCTGCTTCCATGTGCCTAAAATTAACCTCATCACCCCCTAGGCCTAGGAGTGGATCTGCCCAACACCTGTGTCATGTGACCTGGAGGACAGGGCTCTGGCCACCAGAGGCTGCCGTGCCACCGCTTTGTTGCGGTGCTACCTGCAGAACAGGCCCCAAGGGCTCCACAAAGGACCTCTCTGACCCTTGGGAAATGAAGCCTAATGGTAACTTCTTGCCTGTCCCATTTAGAGTCTGAAAGTTTGTATCAGTGTAGTACTTTTCACACAGTTAATCCATTCATTAATCTAGGTTAGCTCTTTTTTCTGAAGAAGATTTAAAATGGAAAACTATCCCGTCAAAAATATGATACATTTCAAAGATGAGATAGTTTACATCCATCAATATCATATCATGATTTTTAGTTTAACGATTCTCAAAATGTATAGTTTTCTCAAAATGTGTAGCAGGCTTCCGGAGAAGTAGACAATATTATTATAATTTTATAAGATAAAATTTTGTTCATAATACACAGAGAAATATGGTAAAAGGGAAGATTTAAAAGACATCAAAATAGCAACAGGTTATTGATTGGTAGTGAACCACAAATCACTTACACATTTATATCAGGAATTTTTACAACTTCTATATTTTCTGTAGTTAATATGCATAGAGCCGGGTGTGGTAGTTGCACACCTGTAATCCCAGCACTTGGGAGGCTGAGGCAAGAGGATTGTTGCCAGTTTGAGACCATCTTGGGCTATAAAGTGAGCTCAAGGCCAGCCTGAACTGCATAGAGAGACTCTGTCTCAAAAAGACAAAAAAAAAGCATAGCTAGATACACATTTTCCAGGTGAAAGTTAATGATCTTGACTCCAGCTGGATGAGAAAAAATGACCTTTTTACTTTATGTTAGGAGAGAGGCTATACTTTGGAGTAAATTTAAAGGGATTTAGAGTTTCTAAGAGACATCAATTAGAAGAAAAATTACTGAGTTGTTTGAAAGATTATGACCTTTTCCCACTAAATTATATTTACTCCTTTATTATTAAAGCAAAAATCTAAAGTAATTCTTGGATCGGAGAAACTAATGAATGGTACCCATCTCCTAAACTGCCTTTTTTGCTGACCCATGAAAGCTACTTGCTTCTCTAGGTTTCAGAACAGGGCTTGTGGGGCTCATACTTGTGGTCGACGACCCAGAACCTTGGAAGTGCCCACGGCACCCTTCCTGGAGGATGACGTGGAGAAGCTGCCCAGTAGGATGTGGGTCTGGACCCCCAGCCTGGCCCACCAAGGGGAGCCTGACTTCCTGGAGGGTCTGAGCAGGGAGCAGGAAAACCGCTCCGCCTCCCTTACTGAAGCCTGCACGTGATACAGCTCTGCTCCAGTCCCAGAGGCCAGGGCAAAATGAAAACTGTGTGGGAAAACTAAAGTCCTAAAGTTGCCAACATTTTTAGAAATAAAACAAACTTTCCAAAAGCAGGTGAGATTTATCTGTCCGATAGTAAATCAATTTGGATGATTGCTATTGGAGAAAGCAGGATGGCGTGAACGGAATGAAGGTGTAGAAATTCCTAGGAACAGTGGCTACGGAAACTGGGGTTGTATCACAAGAGCTGTTTCCATGGGTTGGGGGAAGGGATACAGTAATAAATGAGGTGGTCCCCAGCAGTTCTATCCCTGGGACAAAGGAAACTTAGGTCTTACTGTCCACAAAAATAATTCAAGACCAGGAGCGGTGGTGCATGTCTATTTCCAGCACTCTGGACACTGAGGCAGGAGGCTCACCGTGAGTTCAAGGTGACCTTGGGCTACATAGTGAGTTCAAAACCAGCCTGATTAGGGGCCAGAGGTTTAGTGAGACCTTTTCTCAAAAAAAAAAAGTAAAACTCAAGGAGGCTTGAACATCGAAATGTAATGGAGGCACAAAATTCTGTAAGACAGCAGAGTATTGGAAACTATCTGGATAGCCCTTGAGTAAGGGAGGCATTTAATTTATTTTATTTTTGCCTTTTTGAGAAAGGGTTTCACTATGCAGTTCCAGCTGGCCTTGAACTCACTTTGTAGCCCAGGCTGGCCTCGAACTCATGGTGATCCTCCTTGCATCAGCCTCCTGAGTGCTGGGGTTATAGGCATGTGCCACCATACCCAGCAAGGAAGACTTTAAAACAAAAAGAAATTTAACAAATTTAACTTCAGAAGTTTAAGACTTCTACATTACAGAAGACATGATAAAAAATTACTTTTTTAAAATAACAAATGCCTTTTGTTATTGAAGCCCATTAGTGGTGTGCCCCAGGGCAGCTGGGTCTGAGGCAGGACTCCCCTGGGTTGGGAGGCCACCCTTCTCCCAGTCCTGTCCCTTCCAGAGGTTGTGTGGCTGCCCCTCCCTGTGCTTCAGATGTGTGTTCCAGAGATGGGGGTCTGTAGAGAGGGGTTAAGGTTCATTCAGTGAGCCATGAGCTGAACACTCGTTCAGTAGGACTGGGGTCCTTAGGAGACGACCAGGACACAGACAGGCATGGAGGGGTGACCCTGTGAAGACACAGGGGAAGACAGCACCTACCCGCCAGAAAGGGGGGCATCTGGAGGAACAGCCCTGCCCACAGCCTGGTCTCAGACTTGGCCTCTGGGATAATAAGAAACAGCTTCCTGCTGTTCAGATTGCCCCAAGTGTGGTTCTTTGCGGCCATTACCCTGGTGTAAATTCCCGTGGCTCTCTGGGAGGAGGTAGGAGTGGGACTCCTGAGTGACACCTTCCCCACTGCTTTGGGGGAGCCTGGAGCCCCACTACTGCCTTTGGATGTCACCCTCCAGTTCCTACAGCTTCCGGAGAAGACCTTCAGCCTCCAGCCTAGGCTGACCTCAGGGACTGCAGTGAGCCTCTAGGCCTCTGACCTTCTTCAGCAACTGACCTTCTTGCTCTCCAGCACACAGGCAACCATTCTGGATTCTTTGGTTTCTGACTCTGCAGATGTGAGACTCTTCCTCTTCTAATCTTGTGAGGCTAACTATAAATCCCTTGTATAATTAAACATATACTATATATTGATTCTGCTCCTCCAGTGAGCTCCTTCAATTGTTTTGTTTTGTCATCTATGTTATCTTCTCTGGTGAACAGTTTGTTCAAATCTTTTGCCAGTTTAAGAAATTAGACTAGCCTGAGCCTGGAAAGGGGGCCGTTAACATCACGGGGAAGGTGAGGTTCTTAATAAAGGAAGTGTTGGCCAATCATTATTCTGCTGATGTGACATAACTTTAGTGCCTATCTCTCAAGATACAAAAATAAATTCAAGAGAGCTTGCAAATCAAAACGTAAAGGAATCAGATGAAAATATGATAATATTGACAAAGTACAAGAGAAGGTGTTTGTATAACCTTTGAGTAAGCAGGACTTTCTGAGCAAGAGAAAAAGAAAGTCTTGATAAACATGGATTCAGGAAAGTTATGACCTCTACATAGTAAGAGGAGACCGTAGAGAAATTCTGAAAACTATGCCCTGGAAAAATACAATTTGAAACAGAAAAACAAATACTCAACACACAAAAAGCTTTTAACATTTCAAATATTTAAGTTTTTTATACAAGGAAAAATGTAAAATGGCCCCAGTTTTTTAACTCTTCATTTGCACTGCTAGCAAAGAAAAGCATTTTGAAATAGCATTTTTTTTTTTCATTTTTATCGGTACCGGGGATCGAACTCACGACTGCCTGCTTGCAAGGCAGGTGTTTATGCCGCTGAGCTAAACACCCAGCCCCTGAAATAGCATATTTTATTTGGGTAAAACTATACTGCAACAGTGTTGAATTAAGGCTGACATAAGCTGTCTGTATATATGGTTAATGATGCTTGCCCACAGGGCGGCCTGGGCACATTGTGAATTTCAAGCTGGTTCGATGTGTGAACAGGTGTACCCTAATCTAACCTAGAGGCACACACTTGTAAGGAAGCAACTGCTCCAGCCAGCGGCCAATTAGGGACTGAGAGCTCGCTGCCCACAGATGGGACACAGCTACTCGGACATTTGCAGTCAATTCCTCTCCTCTGACTATAAAAGAAGCTGCTCTGGTAGGCAGAGCTTTCGGAACATTTCAGAAAGTCCTGGCCGGTACCAGAAGGTAGAAGAATCCCAGTCGAAGCCAATTAGGCCTGGAAAGTTACAGTAAGAGAACGAAGAAGTCAGAACTGCTCCAGCCTCTGGGAGCAACCTAAGGAAAAGAACTCTAAGGAGATTTAAAATACACAGGCCGTGTAGATATCCTCCCAAATAAACACACCCTCACCTGACAGGAGAGACGCAAAGATGCTTTGTGAATCTCCACTGGCAAAGCCCATGCTGGCCACCACCAGAACGAGCAGTGGTGACCCGGGGTTGACTACACCATGGGGAAGCCTGGTCACACGCTGAAGACCAAGAGTCACCAGGGAGAAGGAATGAGCCTACATGTGGTGTCCTGAGGAGATATGCACGACAGACTACCAGGAAGCTTTAAGTTTTTGCATATGAATAGAAAAACGGTGACATGCAAGCACCCTGCTGCTGCTCTAACGTTATCCCTGAGAAGTTACAGAAAGTGAACACAAAGAATATTTCTATTTTACATGCAGCTGTTGCATAACAATCAGAACGAGTGAGCATATAGCAGTTTTGGGTACATCCTTCCCTCATTAACTGTTGTCCTGTGATCTGGACAGTTGGGTTGGGAGAAAGAAACCAGCTGGCTCCCTGCCCAGTGCACACTTGTGGCGGGGGCCCAGGAGCAGGGACATCCTTGTCCATCTGGCCTCTGGGCTTTCCGGGACCCTGGAGCAGGTCTCAGGACCACAAGGAGTGACTACTCTCTGCCATGCAGGGAAGGCCCCACCGACAGCCTCCTGATGAGCCCTGTCTCTGGGTGCTGCCTCCTGTGTTCCCCCCACACCGTGTTTGCAGAATCACCTTCCCAAGTCATGGCAAAGACACCAGGAGCTTGCAGGCAGCTCCTGGAGGGGTCCAGAGCAGCCTGGGCAGCTTGCTCAGCAGTTAGGGTTTTTCGGCGACCTGGGAAGGACTAAAAGAGAGGGTGCACTGTATGTGCATGTGTGGAGGCACATGTGTGTGCATGGTTCTGGATGTATTTGGCCAGGAGCTTCAAATGAATTGAATTTTCAATTTCTTTTTATATTTTGAATTATAAAAATGGCTCCAGATGCAAGTGAGTAAGATGCAGGGATGCAACATCGTAACACTGAAGGCTGTGTTACACGCTTTTTAAAACAGGAAGTCATTTGTACCCATTGCAGGCTGAGGAAGATACAGTGGGAGCACAGGTAAGCCCATGGCGCATGACAGCATGTCCCCTCACTGGGTGTGAGAAGGCGCCTCTTCTGGGCCACACAGTTCACCATGAGGACGGGGTGCGCTGTGACCCCCGGCATGAGCTGGTTTGCCTATGGGTTCTGGTGTGAAAAGTCCTATGTGCTGGGGAAGGTGTGCACCCTGCTCACCCATGCACACACTGGCACGGCTCAGGCGTTGTCCTCAACTCTGCATCTAGACCCAGCGCCACCGGAGAGCACAAGATGGGCAGTCAGACGTATGGCCTCCCTCCTGTTCACTTATGGGCGTTGAAAATAAAGACGCACATGCTTGGTTTTGTGCATTAGTTTCAATTAGTTGTGAGAAAGATAAATTTAGTTTGCACAACAAGCCACGTGGCTGTGTTAATAACATGAGCTGAGACAATTGTAGTCCTATGATGTCACCCCTTCATTTAGAATACCTCATCTTGGATGAATCATTTTGCAAAGCTCTTTCAGCTAAGAAGAGAACATAGCTGTTGCACAGACAGATGGGCCAACTCTCACAGGCTCACACTTACCCGGGGGAAGGTGGAGTCAAAGCTGGGGTGCTGTCCTCTTTCCCCTGAAAAGGAAAAGCATGTGATGGAAAGGAGCTTTTGACATGAGCTTCTGCTACTCCAAACTCAAGGCCATTTCAGTCAGTTTTGAGAAATGGCTCCTGAGGCATAAGGGATCCTGGGCAAAGACCTCCATGGGACAGAACCCTCCCTCCCATGTGACACACGTACACCTATTTCATTCCCCTTTGGGTAGAAAGCAGGGGTGGGCTAGCAGTCACATGTAGGGGTTTATGTAAGTCTTGTTTGAGCTGGGGTCTACCCTGGGTTGCACTGGCCAGAAGGCTCCTCCCACCTCAGCCCCCCAGGTTGCTGGACCATAGGCTTGTGCTGCTGCAGCCAACAGCCACTTCCCAAGGACACCCCTGATTTCAGCGGTGAGTCTGCTCTCTGCTCCCCACAGCAGTGACCCTTTGCTTGTTATCAGTGCTCTGTGCTACCTGCTGTCCCGGTGGCACACGATGGCCTCATGTGCTGGTTCCCCAAGTACAGGTGGACATGGCCCCTCTCCTCTGCTGCCCAGTGGTCTGAAAGTTAGATCTTCAGCCCCTGTTGTAAACTGCTTGTTTTTCTTATGACCAACTTTTGAAAGTTCAAGTATATAATTTGTACTTCCTTTATACTTCATTTTCTTAATGGCAACTTTTGAAAAGCAAATATTTTCAATTTTGGTAATGTCTAAATTACTACTTCTTCTTAGTAGACATTGATTTTGGTAATATATTGATGGGAATTTTGCCAACTTAAGGTCGCAAAGAATGTCTTCTGTGTTCTTCCAGAAGAGTTAAAATTTAACTCTCTTAGGTTTCTGATTGACTTTGCTCTGTGTGGCATGAAGTGTCTTGGTGCTGATGTGCAGAAGGCAGTGGTCTTTTTAACGGCATGTGTACTGCTGAGTGTAATGTTCCCGGCTGTTCCAGGACCACTAGGTGAAAATGTCATGTCACATTCCATTACCTTGGGACTGTTGTTAAGTCAGCTGGCCAGAATTAGAGGTTTAATTCTGGACTTTTATTCTTCTCCATTCATCTGTATGTTGATTGTGTATCAGACTCACACTGTCTTTCATGCCATAGTTTTCTAGTAACTTTTGAAGTCTGGCTATGCAAGTCCTCTTTACAGAATTGTTCTGGCCAGTATAGTGACCTATTCTGAATTTCTGTGCACATTTTTGGATGAGCTTGTGATTTCTCTCTCTCTCTCTCTCTCTCTCTCTCTCTCTCTCTCTCTCTCTCTCTCACATACACACACACACACACACACACATATACCAAATAAAAACCAAAAAACATAATAAAGAAAACCCAGATGTCTTAGTTTCTTTCCCATCATTGGGACGTACTATCTGAAACCCACAACTTAGAGGAGGAGAGGTTTATTGGTTCACAGTTTTTGTGGGTTCAGTAAGTGGTCAACTGGCTCCAAGGTAGAAAGTGTACGGTAGAAGAGCCTGGTGGAGGACAGCTGCTCACTCCTTGGCAGCTAGCAAGCAGAAAGAAAGGGGGCAGCTGGGGACAAGAGTACAGCCTTCTAGGTCACATCCAAGTGACCATTTTTACCCAGGTCCTGCCTCCTAACAGCACAGGTAGCCCTGAGCTCACCCATGGATGAACCCACTGCTGTGTACAGCGTTCCCAAGATCCCTATCTCTGAACTTGCAAAGCTTTTAGGGGACACCCAGATCTAAATCACAGCATCAGGCTGCTAGATGTAGTACAATCAGGCTGTACATCAGCCTGGGACATTGTGCTCATGGTAGCTTTCCAGTAAGTAGACATTGTTTATATTCCCATTCAATAAATTATCTTTAGCATCTCTCAGCCACAGTTTGTTGTATTCAGTCTACAAATTTGCAACAGCTTTTTAAAAACATGTTCCCTTTGATAATATTTGGAATGAAATAATTTTTAAAAGATAATCGGTCCCCAGTTGCTAATGCATGGAGATGATTGCTATGTCTTGGTGTTACCCCTTACACCTCCATTAAACTACTTCATCAGTCCAACTTGTTTATGTGGCTTTTAGGGTTATGTTACATGAGCAAAGTCTCTCCTCGTGTTCTGTGGGCCTCCCTTTTGAGACGTTAGTGCATCCAAGCAGGGACAGTGGACACCCTTGCCTTGTGCCAGGCTCAGGGGAGAACATCCAGTCTTCTGTCATGAAGTGAAACTGGCACTATGTGATCTTTGTCAGCTGTTTGCTTTTTGATCCTAGGTTGTTCCAGTTTTTTTAAAAAATAGGTGTTTGATGTTATCTATCCACTTTCTGCATTAATTGACAGGAACCTAAGATTTCTGTCCTTTATTCTATTTATATTTGGTCCTATATAACTGATTTTCAAATGCTTAACCAATAACACACAATGCTAACCCTAACACACAATTTTTATATTTATTGTGGATCTTGTTTTGCTAATTTTCTGAGTGGTTTTTGCCTCTTTTTTTTTTTTTTTTTTTTGTATCAGGGATCAAAGTCATGACCTTGCACTTGGCAAGGCAGGTGCTTATACCTCTGAGCTAAATCCCCAGCCCATTGCCTTATTTCCTGAATACCACAAGTGATATTTCTTTCTTAAAATGTTTAGAAGCTGGGTGGTGACACACATCTGTAATCTCGGCACTTGGGAGGCTGAGGCACAAAGATCATGAGTTTGAGGATAGTCTGGACTCGTGAAAAAAAAATTTCAAGAAAAAAGGCACATGTTACCCATGAGTGCTGGGGACATTTTTATGGGAACCTGCTCTCTCTGTCTGCCTCTGCCTCTGTCTCTGTCTCTGTCTCTATCTCTGTCTCTGTCTCTGTCTCTGTCTCTCGCTCGCTCGCTAATGGCATCAGCTGGGACTATAGGGGACCTTGAACATTATGCACTGAAGAACAGAAGAAAAAGGCGAGAAAACTGACACAGGAGGGAAACAGGGACAACATGCAGAATTAAAACTGGACAACATGGAATTAAAAACCATGCGACAGGTGAATTCTGATGTCCACTCCACTCCCACCAGCAAGGTCCCAGCCACAGTGGGAGGGAGCATCAGCCACGTGGTCAGCCAGGTGTTTTACGTTCCTGCAGGATACTGCTAGAAGCAGCTTTGGCTATAATTCTTTTGTTTTTTCAGTTTTTTACCTCTTCCAAGACTCTCCCTTGCTTCTTAGATGTTCTGGTTCCTAGGATGACCTAGTTATGGGAAAACATGCCAGTTTGCGTGTGGCAAGCCCCTTTCTACAAGCTGGCATTTGAGTTACCCACCACAGGGATGAAGTCTCCCTGACCAAAGCTCAGCATCCCGTCCTCCTGCGGTCAAAGCCAAGGAAGGCCTGGACACATGTCAGCTGCTGTGGCACTGCTCTCTGTCCTGCAGGAATACCTGCTGATTTCGTGACCCGAATGTCAACTGTGATATCTGCCAGCTCATTCAAAGCAATGAGCTTTACTTCCCAGAGGAAATACCTTCTGGTTCCATCTCAGAGCACCCAAAGTGCAGCACCCAATCCAAACCTGACAGAGGGAGGAATCCCCAGAGGCACATACACTGTCTTGGGTTAGAAAGGCCCCACATGTGGCTGTTTGGTAAGCATTTTTTCAGCCTTGACTCTGGTGATTCTGCCAAAAGCCAGGCATGTAGCTCCATCTCTGTGTAGTTCTCAGGTGTGAACCCATCCTTCTTGTGGAACTTTGCTTTATATCGATTCTGATTGCATTCTTCCTTGAGAACCTTGAAGATGCCCTCCTTTGGAAGCTCAGCTCATTGTCTACAACAGGTTTGAAGTCACGTTTGGCAGTGGCTTCCATCCTGGGCACTACTGTGCTCAGCAGCCTGATGCAAAGGGCAGAGGGAGTCCTCTCTGCTGGAGCTGAAGTGGTCAGGTGTGGTGGCCCAGCCTTGCGTCTCTTCTAGGACTCCTCCTTCACACCGAGATGCAATGCCACCCATGGTACAGTTGCCCTCAGTGAACCTACCGGCCTGCAGTGTCCTGAGCAGACACAGACCCCTGTTGCTCCCTAAGGACAGCATCCACTCCAGTCAGTATCAACACCTCAGCTTCAGCTGTAGCTGGCCAGGAAGATCTTGAGCTGGTCATTTGGTCCTGATGCTTGTTAGGTGTCAACTTGGATTTTCTCTCTTTCGGAGTCAGTTGTGACCAAATGGGCCACGTAACTGGAAAGGAGGCTGCCTTCCTAGGTGAGAGGCATGGCCAGGCCTGCGGGCTTCATAAAGAACCAGAGCCATCCAAGAGGCTGATTCGATAGCAGCACTGTGGCTGCACCATCAGGTTGTCTGAATGCAGCATGTTTGATGACCAGTGAGACCTTAAGCTCTGCCACACATAGCAGGAGAGCCTTATCTTTGTCCAGCCTTGGCCCCCATACCTCCCACTGCACAGTGACAGTGGCCCCTCGGGTGATGGATCCCCAAGGGGAAAGAGCCAGCATGTTCTCTGTCCACAGCCTGCAGAAGAGGTCTGGGCTGCTCACCTGACACCAGCTTGTAGCAGGCCAAGTCAGCTTGCATGCCTCTGTCCGTGTCCGTGGTGGTGCCTGTGCTGGACCAGCAGCTGCAGAGGGACAGCTGTGGGGTGGGGCTCTCAGCTGCTCCTCCAGAGGCCCTGTGGCTGTGGCGTGATCACTGTGGACTCAACCCCACTCACAGCAGTAGGTGGGTGGAGGTGCTGTGCCAGATTCAGCCTTCAGTAGTTATGCTGGACTTAAGTCGATCTAGCCCAGTCCTGCTACAGGCCAGCTTCATGTCCTGCTGTGACTGCAACTGGGATGGCCTGGGAGCTTGCTGGACCCAGCACATCCTTCCCGTAGACCTGGTCCTTGAGGGCCTGGAAAGCATACGAAGCCATCATGCAGAACAGGCGGTCACAGGGCCACAAGGAAAATAGGTTCCAGCTGAAGTGATTTGGGCACTGACCAGGAACAGCTCTGCAAGAGCCATCTAGACTGCTGGAATGGGGGGACTCACTTTCTGAGGCTACACACAAGCACACGTGTAAGTACACAGCATGCCACTCACATCACAATGGACACCTCACATGCTACACACGTGTTCATGCTGCACCCTACACACACTACATGCTACATACATACTCACACAGACACTACACATACACGTGCCACATAGATATAAACAGACACTACATGTCTCACATGCCAGTCCCCTCAGACTGAATTCTACACATCACATGTCACCCCACACCGTGCTCACACACAGACAACTCCCCCCAACCAGGACAAGATGCAGAGGGACAAGTGCACCTGTGGAACCGCCTCCTCCACCTGCAGCACCAGCTGCGTCCTCCCCGGCTGCGTCCTCCCCAGCTGTGTCCTCCCCGGTGGCTCCAGACCCTGCTGCAAGCGGCTGTGCCTGATGTAGTCAAATGTGGTCTTGCTCTTGACCACTGGAAAGGAGAGGGCAGAGGGCAGCTCAGCAACCCTGATGCTTGCCAGGTAGTGGCCTCTGTGTCCCACCGCTCAAGGCTGGGGTGGGGTGCAGCAATGGGATGCAGTGGGCCATGAGGCTGGCCGGTCTTTGTCAAGGGTTGAGATCTGGGCGGGTGCCAGGTTACTGAGGCACAAAGGGTTCAGCTCGCACTTCTGCAGAGGGCCCAAATCAGTCTCTCTTTCTGTGAGCCAATGTGTGCAAGGCAGACAAGGCTTGCCATTATTTCTGGAAAGCACAGGGTGCCCACAGAGCCCCGTTTCCAGCCCAAAGTGTGCATGGATGTGGCAGATGACCCTGGACTTGAGTGCACATGCAGAGTCACGGCCTTTCTCCCATTGGTGTCTGGCTTTTTCCCAGCCTGCAGGCTTTTGTGCTGGGTGGGGCTGAGAACCAAATCTGCTCTCCTTTAAAGGTCCCTTGCTGCCTATTTTTCTTCTTTATCAATAGCAGGGATTGAACTCACGACCTCACACTTGCCAGCACTTACACTGCTGAGCCAAATCCCCAGCCCCCTTTGTGCCTATTTGTGCAAAGAGATATACACCAGTCACAATATGCTGTTGGTGGGGCTGCATCTACCCAGATGCTTCCCAAGAAATATCCCTACCAGCTGCCAGGCTGAGGCAGGGGACCTCAGATTCTAGGCAAGAAGTCTAAGGCCTGGCACTGGGTCCTCCCAAATGACCAGGGCCAGTGGCTAGCTCAGGTAGCCTGGGGAGCCCTCTCCTTCCCCACATTCACTCAAAAAGCTGCTTCCTCCACTTTTCCTGGCTGAGCTGAGCTGGGCGCTGCCATGGGCACCTGCAACTTCCCAAGATTGTGCCCTCTGCCTGCTTTATACTGTGCCTCACAACACAGTGCCCTGAGCAGTGGCCGGACCTGGACCCTTTCTCCTCTTCCACACTGCCCTCCTGCCTGCCACGCCACAAGCAGCTCTCCCCAGCCACACCACCCTGCCTTGGAGCCAGCTGACTACAGACTGAAACTTCGACAAACTGTGAGCCAAAATAAACCTCTCCTCCTTTAGGTTGTGAGTGTTGGGCTGTATCCTGGCAAAGGGAAAGTAACTAGGATATATGTCACCCCATCAACACCACCCTCTGACCACCTTCTGCACAGAGGTACTCCTTGGTCCAAGTCTCAGCACAAAGCCCTAACACAGAGTCAGAGCTGTACCACAACACCTAACCCAGCGGTCTGCATTGTTTTTTCAGTTTTTTTTTTTTTAAATCCATGTCTCGGGACTGGAGGTTTAGCTTAGCGGCATAAGCACCTGCCTTGCAAGCAGGCAGTCATGAGTTCGATCCCTGGTACCGATAAAAAGGAAAAAGACAAAAAAAAAAAAAAAAATCCATGTCTCAGGCCAGAGAGCAGGAAGGAGTTATCGTATAGCACCCTGAGAACCAGTGGTGATGCTGTTGGCTGGGGCACTCGGGCCACGTGGGGTCCATGTGAGCACAACATGGTCCAGCAGAGACTCAGGTCTTTGCCTGGCTCCCAGCCTTGGGTGGGAATGAGGTGGACCTCAGGGAACAGCACCCCAGTATCCGTAGAATTTGAGGGCCTCAGAGAGGATTCACAGATGACGATCCCACAGTGGAGGAGGGAGGTGGCCCTGCTGTGCACGTCACTCTGCAATGTCTACCTCGTGCTTCGCTAAACCCACTCAATCTCTTTTCATAGTATACTGTGCTTTCTTGTCCGATGCTCCTGTTCTTTTGCCTCTGACCACCCTACACGCATCTCATGTTTCCTGCAGCTGGACCTACTGCCCTCTCTCCCTGTGACTTGACCCTTCCACATGCACTGGTGTCCTATGGGCTGCCCAAGGGCTAGGAAGAGGTGGGGCAGTGAGGCAGATACGCACGCAGGCAGATGTGGAAGATGAACAGGCGGCTGAGCAGCACGAAGCTGACCGTGCCCACCAGCAGCACCCCACCCATCATGCAGAGGGCCACAGGGGTCTTCACAGGCAAGTGCCACTTGGGCAGGAACAGCAGCCATACAGTCACAGTGCTGATGTCTGAGAGGCAGAGACACAGGCGTCAGCATCATAGAAGTAGCAAGCAGCACATGGGGTTCCCATGGCTGTCCCCATCGCAGTCCCAGCTGGTGATCTGAAAAGGGTGTGGGTGGCAGAGCCCCCAAAGTCTGGCCCTCCACCCCCAGCCTGCCACCTTCAAAGACCGTGGACCACACTTGGCAGGATGCTACTAGGATGGGATCTCCCAGAATGAGGTACAGAGAATGATGGGGGCTGTGAGGCAGACCCCTAGGACAGGGACACGGCATGACTTCATGGACCTGCGAGGATGCTAGTTTGGGTTGCTGTGCCCAGGTCTCCAGCCCCATGCAGGCTTCTGGGACTTGCTTCAACCCACAGTCAGGGAGCCTCATGGAGCCACCATGATCAGGGTGTGCGAGGGACAAGCCTGCTTCTGCCTGCCCCTGCCATGGCCATGCTAGGAGGCTCAGCCCAGGCTGCTCAGCCCAGCCCTGGCCTCTCCTGCCCACCCCGTCCTCCAGGGCTGTTGCAGCCTCTAATTGTATTCCACAGGTGTCCAGGGTCCAGGTGACATGGCAGTTGCTTCAGAAAATACTTTGTGACCGAGGAGAAGAGCTTGTGGGGGCTCCAGAATCAGGAGAGTGTGACCACAGGGAAAGCCCACATTCAGAAAAAGTCCAGGTGGATGGCATGGTTCCATCTGGAACTCCCAGGGCTGAATCTGAAAGAACAGGAGCATCCACCGTGTTGGCTGGGGGTGCTCCAGCGTGAGCCAGCAGGCTCCGCCCTCTCTAGTGGGGGTGTGCAGATGTCCTGATGCCTGGGGCTGACATGGTGGCCGTTCCGGCCCCAGGGTGAGGAGTCAGAGCTGCTCCCATGTGCTGCAGCTCCTGTGACAAATGACCTTAAATTGGAGATGCTTAAGCCAGGCACTTTCATCTCACACTGAGGCCACAGTCTGAGTGACACAGCGCACAGGTGTCCTCGCCCAGCTCTTTCCAGGTCTCTCCCAGCTCTGGAGTTCTAGGTGTTTCTGGGTGTGTGGTGGCTGCAGGGCTTCAGACTGCCTCTGTCCTGTGCGGCCTCTTTGTGTGTCTCCTCTTCTCAGAAGTAAAGTGTCCCTGGTGGCAATGAGTCAGATGAGATCCCTGTCATGTCTGCAGCTCAGTCCTGGATGTGGTCACACCTTAGGGCCACACCCGGCTGGTCACACCTTTCCCTCTTGCTCACTGCAGATGGAGGTGCTCACAGCCCAGGCTCCTGGATCCACCTGTGGTCAGAGACGGGTCTTGGCTCTTCTCCGCTCTTCCCCTGCTGACAGTGGCTCTTGGAGGTAGCCCTGGGCCTGCTGTGCCCGCATGGTCCCCCTGGGCCCCAACACGTCTCACAGCAAGAGGGGTCAGAGGGCACAGAGCACTTGCCCTCAGACCTGGCCTCCTGGGATCCTGGGAAGCCCTTGGCTGTGTTAGGAGGCCAAGCCTGGTTGGAGATGGTCCCTGGGGTGTGACCTAGGAGGGTGGATTCTTGTTCCCAGCTCATCCCTTCTTGCTTCCTGGCTGTCATGAGGTGAGCAGCTGTCCTCTGCTAGGCCCCTGCATCATGATGTTCCTGCCTTGAAGCCAGCTGGCCATGGACTGAATCCCCCAAAACTGAGCCAAGTGAAACCTCTTCTTTACACGGTAGGTGTCAGGTGTTCTGTCCCAGCAGTGGGAATGGTGACTGATATGAGTGGACGTAGAGCCACTTGCATACCGGGCTCGCTGCTCCACACTCCTCCTCAGAAAAGGTGGCCGGAGTTGAGGCAGAGGCTCAGCACCCTCACACAGAGCAGCCCAAGCAGGAGGCACTCTGTGGCTGCGTACCTTTGTAGCTGGGGTCCGTGCGGAGCTTGCTGGGGTTGATGAAGTGCTGGATGCAGACATACAGCAAGAGGACCTTCACGCAGAGCAGGCCTACCAGTGCCGAAGCCACGGAGCAGAAGAAGAACCTGCAGGGGCAGAGCGTGCTGGGGACGCTGGCGAGGGCAGGCTGACCCCATGTGGGCATCTCATGGGGGGACAGACCCTGACTACTGTCCTGACAGCCCTTGGGCCTCCTCTGTGTCCTCTTAGCCACCTGTCAAGCTCTCCAGGCAGACATCACTGGCCAGTGACCTCAGTCATTCCCTCACTCCCCAGTCCTCTGCCTGAGCCTTCTGTCTGTCTGTCCTGCTATCTAGACAGATGCCTCCAGCGACAAAGGCGATCCACCAGGCAGCAGTGCCCAGAGCCCATCTGAACCCAGCAGGACCAGCGTCTTCCTGTGAACACGTGCACTTGTCTGGGCATCAAGTCCTCTGGTCTGGCTCCCGTTTCCATGCTGCATGTAGCCCTGGCAAGGCTGTGTTATTTATTCCCAGAGCTTGGGCAGCTAGCAGTGTGCAGTCTCCCATGCTCTGCAGACCCCATCAGCTTCTGGGCCAAAATGCACTCAACTCCACTGTGCACTTGCTCTCTGCAGAGCCCCAGTGCCCATCCTGGGCGCCACCTCCCCACACAGTCAGTGTCCATCCCTGGGTGCTCCGAGGTGTGTCCAAGGGTGCAGACTCTCCTGGCCCATGCCTGGGGCATGCCTTCCTGTGCCATCTACCCATGCTGGGCTCCACCAGCAGGCCATCTTCTTTATAGGTCTGAGCCGAGGCTCTGTCTACAGCAGCAGCCCCTGTCTGCTGCTCAGTGCTCTGGTTGTTCACTGCCCTGGGCAGGGCAGCAGAAGCAAAAGCCATTGAACCATGGTTCCTGCGATGCTCATGGCCACCAGGTGCCTCTGTCCTCCACACTGGGCCCAGAGTGAGGAGGGGTGCTGTGTCTTCCTGGCTGTCTTCATGAGGATTAAGCCAATAGATACTTGGTCCACATGAGCCAATGGCCCAGACATGTCCCAGGAGCCTCGTGAATCCACTGCCATCTGCGCTTGGACTCTCTCACATGCCCCCAATCTGCCCACTTGAGTGTGGAGAGAGCAGGTGTCCCAGGGCAGTGAGTCCAGGAGGCCCCACAGGTTCCTCCAGGGCAGGACAGGGTCTCAAGGTCTGGAATTGTGGGTACCTGCAGGGACAGCTCCACCAGACAGCTCAGGATGAGTAGATGTGGGCACCAGGCTCCCTGTGTGGGGACGAGGACGTGGCTCCAAGATGGCCTTTCCCTCATGCACCCCACAGCACCCCATCCTGCTTCACTCCTGTGGAGGCCCCCAGCCCTGTGAGCCACCCCAGCCTCCATCAGCCCTCACCAGTAGTTCCTGCTCCCCACACAGTTGTTCAGCCACTCGCAGTGATGGTCGAAGCCTGCGATACACTTGTTGCAGGAGCTGCAGTGCTTGGCTTTCTCATTCCTGGAGGAATCGAGGGAGGCTGATTGGCCCACATGTATGAGTGGCATGTGGACTGAGCCTACCAGTGTCCCAGGGCCCCAAAACTAAGATGCAACCCAGCAGTGGCTACAGTGGCCTTGCCTTTCTTTTGTGGCCTTTCCACATCTGGAAAACCCAAGGAAGATTCCCCTGTGCCCTGTACTACGGGCAGGGCTTCGGGTGGCAGAGACGGAGGGCCCCAGGCTGAGCTGGAGGCGCTCGGCCCACTGGGCAGGCTCAGCTGTCACCTCAAGGGCTGCAGGCTGCCATGCCCTGGGGGAGACTCACACAGTGACCTCACACAGGTGGCAGTACTGGTTCTGGATCACATGTGCGTGCTGGGAGCGGTCGAAGATAGGCATAGGCTTGGAGTAATTCCTGAGTCGGACGTTGGCTTCTGCAGGGTCAATGGTGACTGCGGTGAAGTAGACAACCCAGTGGAACACGAACACAACACCGGTCACCTGGGGTGTCAAGGAAGACTTGGCTGGGCCAGGTAAGCAGGGCACAATGCCCCTGGCCCTCTGCTATTTGTGCCACGAGGGGACCCCACATTGCACCTTCCAACCACATGCTCACCCCAAGATTTGGGACAGAGCCCACACTGGGGAGCAGGCCCTGTGCTGTCCCATGTCCTGGTCCCCTGTCCTGGTATTCCTGGTATGCAGGAGCATGGGCCCTGGGGAAGTTACACCAGCCAGGTACGTGGACACTGGACAGGCCACAGGTAGAGGATCTAACATCATGCTTAGCCAGTGTGGAGAGGACCCCATCTCTCAGGGACTGAGCACTCCCAAGGCCCCTAGGCTCTCTCCAGCCAGGACCAAGAAGCCATGGCAGGAAAGGCTCTGTGCCCTGGCCAGGAGGAGGATGTGCACCTTTGGGGCTATAGGTACACAGACGCATGCTTCCTTCCTTTCCTGGAAACCAAACAGGAGAGTACAAGACGGGACTCCCAGCCCCTGCACTGGGCTTCTAGGGCTGGGCAGCCAGCGTTTGCAGCCAGCCCCATGCGTGCCCAGAAGTGGACACCCTCACACAGCAGGAGAGGGAGGTTGGATTGTGGTCTAGCCCTGCAGGATCCCTGGGGGCCTCCTGGGGCCAAGGCTCACTGGATTTGGGGCTGGGTAAGTATTCTGCCCCACTGAGGAGCATCCTTGAGGGGTCTCACAGATGCTGCTCCAGCGTGCATGTGTTGAGGCTGGGGTCTGATGGGAACAGTGGGTCTGGATGGCCTGGGAAGGACCCTGGTCCTTGTCACACGTGTCCTGTCCCACAAGGGTCCCTGGCACTAGCCCCCTCCCCATTACCATCCAGACCCTCCTGCCACACAATGCGCAGATGGGTAAGGCTGCGTCACACAGGTTGCAGGTCATGGCCGGACATGGACTCAGATGGGTGACAGTACAAGACTTGCAGTGCAAGTTGGCTCCACACCACTCCCTACAGGCTGAGCCCAGGCCAAGCTGCCTGTTTGTGTGGTTACCGTGGCAACAGGTGTGCATAGGAACCTGAGACACAAAGGGCAAGGGATGGGGCCACGGATGGGCAGGACCGGTGTAACTCCTTCTGTAGGCCTGGCACAGAGCTTGGAGGACACAGTGGGCAGTGGTGGTGGGCAGGGAGGCAGGGCTCCGGTGATCACCCAGCCCCAGGGGAGGCTGGGAAAGGTGCTCAGGCTGCTGTGGTGGGCCTGACACCTGGGCCTGGACCTGCCAGGCAAACCTACAGTGTCTATCTGGGAAAAGAGGGTTCAGCTTCCTTGGGGATCCCGAGATTCCAGGCAGAGTCGCCACCCCTAGACATGAAGCTGTGTCAGTGAGGACCACAGGGGTGCAGCTCCTGTCATCCCTAACTCGGGCAGCTAGGGTCAGGAGGACGAAAGGTGAGAGACGCAGGGCCGCTGCCAGCCTCAGGCCTCCGCTGGAAGTTTCCATCTGGGAGCCCAGAAGCCGGAGCTCAACATCCCTGGCAACAATCTGTGTTTAGTAAACAAACCTCGGGAGAGAGCCAGCTGTGAGCCACACGCCCTTCGCCCTCCTGACACTGTGACCTTGCCTGTCCTGTAGTCAGGAAGGGAAGGGTGGGGAGATCTGAGGTGACCCTCGCCACTGCATCCGCTCCAGGGCAAGGCCTGCAGTGGAATGGGCTGGCTGGCAGGTGGGTGTGTGTGCTGCTGGAGACCCCTCGCCAGGGCCAGTGCCCCTACTGAGGCAGTGGCTCCCCCAGCCCAGGCTGCACGAAGGAGGACCCCAGATTAAACAGCTGCGTGGAGTCCAACAGCACAGTCTCCTCTGCAGGAAGGTATGCGTCCTGCCAAGCAGAGGCCCTGTGGAGGCCTTGCTGGCCTGGTCACCGCGTGCTGGGAGACCAAGGGTCGCCAGTAGGGCGCTGCCCTCCACAGAGCAAACCCTGCCCTACCCAGCCAGGTCACACCCAGCCCTAAGCCTTGCAGGCTGCAGATGCTGTTGGCGCCCTCAAGTGGCCACAGCGTATGCACCTATGAGTGGGAAGTAGGGAGCCACAGCTGGAAGCTGGTCCTGGGGGGTGAGGGACAGTTGGAGGTACAGCACGGAAGGCAAGCCCAGGGTTCTGGGAAGACAGGGGCCCTGCGGGGAGCACATGGGGCTCAGGGCTGTGCAGGACACAGAGAAGACCAAGGCAGTTTCAGGGATGCTGCAAGGAAACACCAGCCACACTGTACAGGAGCAAGCGCCTCGTGCTGAGGTCCGGACTTGGAAATGAGGTTTCCTTCTGCTCCTCAGGTGACCCCTGCCCCCGAAGGGACCTCAGGCCTCCTGGAAGGGACTGAGCAGAGGCAGGCTCCCCAGGCTGGTGGAGTGAGCACACGGCTGGGATAGTCTGTCCCTTCACTGCCCCCTACCCCTGCCTCACAGTATGAGACAAAAACAAACAAACAAACAAAAACTTGTGGGGCCAGGGTTTTAGCACTGCAGCACAGTGCCTACCTGGAAAGCTCAAGATCCTGAATTCAATTCCCAATACCACCCCCCACACACACACACACACAAACTTGTGAGTCAGGTGTGGGGACACATATATGTAATCCAGTACCCTGGGAGGCTGAAGCAGGCGGACAGCAAGTTCAAGCCCAGCCCAGGAAACTCAGTGACTTAGTGAAACTGTCTCAAAATGAGAAATAAAAAGGATTAAGAATGCAGCTGAGGGCAGAGACCCTGGGTTCAATCCCAGGTACCACAAAAAGCCAAAACAATATACCTATAGTTTGAGGTACCCAAAGTGTGGCAAGGACAGAGAATCTCTTGGCTCCTCAGTGATCCTCAGGGGGACACACAGCAGGTCAAGGGAGCAGGGCACAGGGAGCAGGCACAGGGAGCAGGCAGTGAGCCCTGCATGGTGCAGGTGAGCAGCAGGCAGGAAGAAAGCCACATTTAAGGCTGCCCCAAGGCCCCAGCGTCTGCTGGCAGCTGCTCCCAGTGCAGGGGCCTTAGCCACCCACATGTCCCCCTGGCAGGCCCGGCCCCAGGTGCCCATACTGCCATGGGAGGTGCCAGCCCTGCCCAGGCCATGCTCTGCATGGAACTACAAGGCAGGTCCAGTCCGTGGGGTCAGATGCCACCCAATACCCCAGAGACGCAGTGGCTGCAGCCTGAGTGATATCCACAAACACACTCAAACCCCAGAGAGTCTTGGTTTTCTACAAACCTCACCCAGGATGAGGACATGGGAGGAAGGGATGCGGGGACTGATGGAGGACATGAGGACAGACAGAAGCTGTGTAAGATCGAGCCGTCTTTACCGGGGTGGGGTGCGTGTCTGAGCCAGAGTGAGAGGCCAAAAGGGACACCCAGCTGGAGGCCCTGGTTTTCTCTGTCTCCCCCAGTCCTCTCACCCATGGTAGATAGGAGGCCATGTGGAAGGATGTGGGGACTGGTGGCCATGAAACTGGGGGTCTGGGAACACAGGGCCCAGATGCCACGAAGACCCAGGAGGGTGCAGTGGGCGGGTGCCTAGGTGCAGGGTAGGAGAGAACAGAGAGGGTGGCCTAAGGAGGAAGGAGCTTGGCTGGCAGGGGCAGAGTCTGCAGATGACAGAGCAGCTGCATGTCCTACCACCTGAGCCCTATGCCTGTCTAGGCCTGGCTCAGACCCACCTGCTGAGTCTGGGCAGAACCCAGGCCTTCTTGGCAAAGGCCTCCAGGCAGAAGTGGAGCGGTGCCCACCTCCTGGGGTCCCCTCTGTGGCTGCTACTATTCCTTGGGGCATCTAGGCTGCAGCAAAGTTATCAGAGGGGCCAAGGAGCAGAGTGCCTGGCATGGGTGTGCCTTTCACTAAGGCAGCCTCCAGCACCAGGAGACATGTAGCTGCTCTTCCCAATGTGCAGCAGAAGGCCTTGCCTGCTCAGGGAACCAGCAGCTGCCCAGGGCACCCCATTCTCAAGCTAAACCCCATGTCCTGTGGACACAACCTTAACCTCTCAGCTAGACTGGCCAATGGAGTGTCCTGTGCATGCTGACAGGAAAAATTAGCTTAAATATTTATATTAGAAGCTAAAAAAGGTCTGACATCAACGATCTGAGTTTCTACCTTAAAATAGATGGAAAAGAAAGGCAGAGTAAACCTAAAGACAGAAATAACACAATGAAAACAGACGTTTAAAAAAAAACAGAGGCAATCAGAATTAATGCACTCTAAAGCTGGTTTCTGTAAATAGGAATAAAAACTGATGAAAGAAAAGAGCAGGGACTGAACTCCGGCACAGCAGGGCTTTGCAGACACCCACAGAGAAATAGCCCTGTGGCAAACAGCGTTGTCCCAGGAAACTTGGCAGTTAAATGAGATAATCACATTTCCTGAACAGCACGATTTACAGGAGATGAAACAGAAAAGCTATGCAGCCCTTCGAAACACATCCAATCACTATTGAGAGCCTTCCTTGCCCTGGGAGGAAGTGATGAGCGCCCTGGGCAAGGGAGCCCAGCCCAGCCACTCCTACCAGAGAAGGCAGAGGGCACTGTGGCAACTTGGGGACCCCTGGCTGCAAGGCAGCTGAGAGGCTGTGAAGGGAGGGGTGGTGGGGCGGCTCGTGACTTGCTAGTCCTGAGCTAGTGCAGTGGCGATCAGAGTAAAAGACAGAGGCTTGCAAAGCTGCTCCAGAAGGAAGTGAGGGCTGACACCAGACTGCAGAGCCCTGGTGGCCGAAGTGAACGACGGGACTCGGGGTCATCTTTGCTCTCCTTTGCCTGAAGGAACTGGGTTCCAGGAAGAGCACTCACCTCAAAGGTAGCCAAGCCCAGGGGCAGCACAGACCCTGCCCAGGCTGTGAACACAAGTTGTCCTGCAGCTGCTCACATCTGTGTCCTCTGCTGCCCCCCGCCCACCGCCCGCATGGTGCTGGTCATTTCACTCACTGACACCTGCAGGGATGGCACAGCTAAAGCCAAGAGCCACACAGTGACACAGTCACATGCTCGAGGTGGACATCTCAGCAAGGCTGGAACTCTAGCTCCAGATAGACACTTCCACAGGGCCACTCTGCACCCAGCACCAGCTTACCTGTCCCCAACATCACAGCTTCCAGGGCCTGGCAAGCTGGGTATGAGCCAGAGCATATGTCTCCTCCCACCACTCTCTGGGTGTACCTTCCTAGAGGCCCAGTCCTGGGGTTCACACAGAATCCACAACTGCCACAGACTACAGTGTGTACCCTGACAGGACTAGATGGGCAATGGCATAGGGGGAGCTCGACTTGCCCCAAAGTCCTTCTTACCCTCACCTAAGAACAGCACAAATTGGCCCAGGGCCCTGCAGCCCCCTCCCTCTCCCCAGGACTCTCCACTGCTAGTGCCCTTCCACCACCACAGGTCCCCGCTCACAGTGGTATGTGGGTCCTCTGCACCTGGGGACACATGGCCAAGGCACACAGGTGTGGGGAGAGAGCCCATGGGACCAGTTCTCTGGGAGACCAGTGAAGGAAGCCCCCTTCCCACCTCCACCCCACCAGGAAGAAGGATACGGAGTATGAAATGTACTTCCAGGTGCTCGGCAAGAGTGGAATGACAATCCCAAAGGTGACGACGGACAAGACCAGGTAGGTAGCCCAGACCACCGCCTGGAAGGGGTGGAGTGGCAGTGACCAGCCGTTCACCCTGGACAGTTGACGTGGCTGACTCTTCAGGCCGCTGACCTGGGTCTCTGGGTGAACCCGTGGCAGGTTCCTGCTGAAGAGGTCCATCTGCAAGACAGAGGGGCCATGGAGGCTGTCAAGCCCAGGGCAGGGCAGGGACAGGCTGTGGACCCATCAGCCACCATGGGAAGCGCCTAGGCTCAGGATCCGTGGCTCCAGGCAATGGGAGCAGGCTGGTGTCCACCTCCACAGGAAATGTGCCTCAGGCCACAGCCAACAGCCCTAGGGCTCTTTGGGCTGCAGAAACCAAAGCTGCATGTTTACCTGTCCAGGTCCCCAACAATCTCTGGGGAAGGCCTTGCCAGGTGCCATACCAAGAAGACTGCTAGAACTTGCATATAAACACACACTGACTGACTCATTGATGCTGGAAGGACGCAGGGCAGACCTTGGAGACCACCAAGGAAATGCAGGAAACAGGGGTTTGGTAGACTAGCTGGCACTGCAGCTTCCCAAAACCCCTCCTCAAGTATTGCCTCCTCTGCAAATGCTGCAAGAACACAGCAAGAGGCTGCACCACAAAAGACCACATGGTCATCCCTTCCTCAGAGCCCTAGGACCTCTGGACACTCCCAGGTGGACATTCCCAGGTGAACGGTAGCAGGAGGGGTCCTGTGATCACTCCTGGACCAGCAACAGAGGATGGTGGCTGGAGCTGGGGCTAGGATGTGGAAGAAACTCGTGACTGGGAGATATTAAAGAAAAGCCTTGCATAATGTGGCTTTACGCAAAAGCTTTGCTGTCCCTTTGGGAAAAATCATTCAGAAAATGAAGCAAATGGAAGCTCTTTAGGAAGACAAATGAGGAACATTCTGAGATGCTCGTCACCTCTGAGTTCAGGGTCCTCTGGGCTCCCTGGAGCACACTGTGGCTGCTGGGCTCCTGTACTCTCTGAGTGACTCCTAGTGGGTACGGCCTGTTCACAGTGGCCCAAGTCTGTCTGGGGAGTTCCAGACGAGGGTGCCTATTGTGAAGCTAGACCACATTACTGGGGTAACAATGTGTCCTGAAAAGTACAACTTCCCACTGGACACAACAAGCCAGATGAAAGCACAAACTGACAGAAAGAGGCTGCCAAAAATTTGAATTGCACTCTGGAAGGTCAACCGAGTATTCACAGATGCCAGAGTGGCAAGACAGAGACAAACCATGAACCAAATCCCCTGAAACTTTAAGTCAAATGAAACTATGGTGTCAGGTGTTATGTCCAACAACTGTAAAGCTAATGTAGAAAATTGTTATCAGAGGGCCTGGGGATTTAGCTCAGCGGTATAAGCACCTGCCTTGCAAGTGTGTGGTCATGAGTTTGATCCCTGAGTTTGATAAAAACGAAAAAGACAAAAAAAAAAAAAAAAAAAGAAAGAAAGAAAATTGTTACCAGGATTGAAGTCTTGCTGTGATTGTACCTAACTGTGTGGTTCAGATGAATTCATTACTGGTTTATGGGAGGAGTTTGGAAAGTTTGGAGATGCCAGCTAGGGAAGTCCTCATCTGGTGTAAGCAGAACCTGATGGGTGATCTGGTCAGAGCTCAGAGGACCACACTGCTAAAGGCAGACAGTAAAGACCATGCTCATGAAGCTTCAGTGGGAAACAAGGACTCTATTTGCAGGTGAACTAAAAGTCACATGCATGATATTCTGCCTGCCCCACCCCCAATCATATTTTTCTCCTATCCTGAGAGAGAAGGAGACTAAGGATTGTAGTGAAGGATGATGGACTAATTGATCTAGCATAGGAAATTTCAAGGCAGCCAAAACTCAGGTTGTAACATGGACACTGCTGACTGTGTTTAGCCAGATTTATAGTGAGAATTGAGGTCAAAGAATAGAGTAGAAAAATTTCAGGTTTGGCCCAAAAGAAGCCATGTGTAAAGTTCAGGCCAAAAGAGGTGTGGCTACTGAAGATATAAGTGCCATTTAAAAGAAACTGCACAGGGATAAAACAAAAGATATTTTGAGGGTATCATGGAAATCACAAAGACCCCACCATCACAGACCAAAGGGTACAAAATGGCAATCTTTCATTTGAGAAGAGAGAGTCTGGAGCATCTGCCCAGAAGGGCCTTCTAGGGATTTGGTTTCCCAGGATTCATTTTTGCAATTAGGGCCTGCTGCAGCCATGATCTAAGGGTTCCTGGCTGCTGCCTCTACTGACAGCAGACCTTGGCATTGTTCATATGATACTGCTGCAACCAGCATGCTAAATGCAACATTTTTAGGGTCAGGGTGGCTTCCACCTGGATTATAAGAAAGGCCAAGCAAGGAATCCTTGAAAGGAAAGTATATAAAGTTGTGGAAATGAAGCTAAAATTGCAGTGGTGACTCCAGGAACTTGGAGATTTCATGGACTATGGAACACCTGCTAAGGAAAGCTGCAGGATGTGAGTGGACCCAGCGTGAGAGATCATGTGGGCTGCCACCTCAAGGCCACAGGGCTGGGGCTGCCCAAACTGCCAAAACTCTCATTTCAACACCATGTGCTCCAGATGCCAGATATGGAGCTACAGGGCCTCCTGTTTGCCCACCTGGTTTCAGTCTTGCTTTGTTTCAGTACTTTGCTTTTTCTCTATTTCTTTCTTTTGGAATGGGCCTGTTTACGCTACGTCATTGCGCCTTGGGATTTGTCTTAGTTACTTTTTACTGGTCACTGAGACAAAATACCTGATGTACCATGTTGGGAAAGGAAAGGTTTATTTCTTACAGTTTTTGGAGGTTTCAGTCCACACTCAGTTGGCTCCAAGGCAGGGTGGCATGGCAGGGCCGCAGTTCATGGCGGCTACAAACAGCAAGACAGAAACCGGCAAGAGAGCAAGACACACCTTCTTCCTGCCATTATATCACCTCCTGGCTCCACCCCTTTGTGGGTGTAGCACTGACACCATCAATCCAAGCACTATATAATGCACCAATCACAGATGCATAATGTAAAGGCATGAGGCCTAGGGGCCACAGACACAAACCATGACAATCTACCCTTGAACCCCCAGGACTCATGTACATTCTTTATACAAAAGACATTTAGTTCATCTCCAAGAGTTGCCAAAGTCCTAAGTTTCAGCATTGCTGAGAAGTCCAAGTCCCAAGTCTTCTCCAAGATCTATGACAAACTCTGAATTGTAACCCCTTATACAAATGAAACAAGTTTAAACATTTCTCAAATGCAAAGGCACAAGAAAAACATTACTATTCCAAAAGTTACAAATGGAAATGTAAAGCATTGAAAACAAAGCAGGTCCAACATCCAGCAGGAAGAACATTAAGTCCTAGAGTTCCATGCTCAGCATTTGAAGCAATCTGGTTGCAAGCTCCAAAAGGCTTGATTTCACCCCCACAGCATTTACAGGGATTTTAGCTCCCGCATCTTCTCTCTTAAACCTTCTCTGCTCGCTTTTTGCAACTTTCCTTAGATGATTCATGTTCCTGGCTTTTCCAAATTTCTGAGGTCTCCACTGTACCTTTGACTTTACCCTTACATCTTTACAAATTGCCCTCTCAGAGGCACACTGCTTGGCCTCCCAGGCCTTTGGAATTGAGGTGAAAGCCATCTTACCCTTAGAATTTGTGCATCTTCCTTACACCTAAAATCAGCACCATGTTGATGCCACCAAGGTTTGCTGCCATCTGGGAGACCAACCAGGCTTTTTTCTCTCTTAGCTGTCGGGATCGATTGCCTGGATTGTTGGGCTCTGTGAACCTGAATGTGGAGAAAAGCTTCTCTATGCTGCCACCATTTTTGAACCTCATGTGGCCTCCATCGCTCTTCTGGAGCATGGTGTCTGCAGCTTTCACCTCTAAGCATATTCTTTCACTTTTGCAGTTTTGAGGATGCAAAGGGTGGAGATATGCTGCTTCCTGGGATGCCCCAGGGCCATCTTTCTTATCCCTTTGTTTCTCCTTAGCAATAAAAGCCTCAACCCTGTCTTTAAAATCCATAGCTTTCCTGGAATTTTCCTTCTGATAAAATTCACAGTTGTAAATTATCCTGCTGGGCTCTTTGCTCTTGATTTGCAACATAAAGCTGGCTAAAAGCCCCCAACAATAGCCATGCCACAGCCTCAACATTCAACTGCCTTGAAATATCCTTTTCCAGATTAATCAGTCCATTGCCCTTGGTCTCAGTCTCAGGCAAAGTCTCTGGGCATAAGCAAAATGCAGACAAACTTTCTACTAAGCCAATAACACACATTATGGGGAGTCCAACAACCAATGCAGTCCTTCTTCCCAGCAGAAACCTCCCAAGCCTGGTCTTTACCATGAGGCTATCAGCCTTTTGATCTCCTGAGCTCAGACCAGAATATCCTCTACAAAACAGCCTAAGCTGCTCCAGCTCTATGCATCCAGGCAACATGTCTGAACCTTTCCAAACTCTACCCACAAGCCATTTGGAAAGGCTCTTGAAAAACATGGCCAGGTATAGTCACAGTGAATGACTCCACTCCTCAATACCAAATTCTGTCTTAGTTACTTTTTACTGGTCACTGAGACAAAAATACCTGATGTACCAAGTTGGGAAAGGAAAGGTTTATTTCTTACAGTTTTTGGAGGTTTCAGTCCATACTCAGTTGGCTCCAAGGCAGGGTGGCTTGGCAGGGACACAGTTCATAGTGGCTGCAAACAGCAAGGCAGAAACCCGCAAGAGAGCGAGACACACCTTCTTTCTGCCATTACTTCACATCCTGGCTCCAGCCCATGTGAATGTAGCACTGACAACACCAATCTAAGCTCTAGACAATGAACCAATCACAGATGCATAATGTAAAGGCATGAGGCCTGGGGACCACTGACATAAACCTGACAGGATTATACAATTTATGTTATTTTCACAAAGGCTCCTAGCTGAGTTTGCCTCAGAATAGGCTCTGGCTTTTGAAAAATGCCAGAACTGTTGAGACTTTGTGGAGGATATTACTGATTTTTTAGTTGCACACAGAATTGTTCTATCATGTTAAGCAGAATTATGAATTTGCTATGGTTTAAGGAGATGTGTCTGGGGTGCGTTGTGACCATTAATCATGATGCATCATGTGGAGTAGATCAAGAAATATCTAGGGGATTGTTAAAGTTTATTCCTGTGTGTTTGGATGAATCAAGGAGATATGACTTTAGGTACTCTATATGGTCCATTCCCCTTCCTCTCTGGCTCTGTTTCCCTTCTGTGTTTCCGGTTTGCCACAAGCTAAGCATCTTGGGTCTGTCATACCCTTCCACAGTGACATTCCTGCCTTGGAGCAAACTGCTGATGGACTGAATCCCTAAAACTCTGAGCCAACTGAAATTTGTTTTTTTAGTCGAGGATGTTGGGTATTGTGAAGGAAAGCTAACATAGTAAGGTAACTGGTCAAATGTTTGCCCAGATACAGGGCAAACACCAGGTTAAATCTTTATTCTGATTTTCAGAGCAAAGTGTCTTGGAAAACCTCACTCTGATCTATGCAGCAAGTTTCTTGTCAAATCTTTACGGCAATATACCTGATCAAACCTTTACCCACATCTGTCAGCATAAGACACATGGTTAACCCTTTACTCAGATCTATGAGGCAAGTTTCCTGGTCAGGTCTTACCTAGGTTTACAAGGCAAGGACTCTGTTTAAACCTTGACTCAGGCCTACAAGGCCATTTGCCTAGTAAAACTTGACTGAGACCTAAGGGGTGGGCACCGAGACCAGTGTCTTCCCAGGGTATGGGATTGGTTACAGTGGATTCACCAGTACAAAAAGGGCATCTAAGTTGACTGGAGGTGCTGGACCCCTCTGAAGGACAGAAGGACTTCTGTGTATACTCTTTCAGGGAGCCTGACCCTCCTTTAAACATTTCTGTTCATAATTTTCTTTTTTTTTTTTTTTTCTTTTTCCTTTTTACTGGTACCGGGGATTGAACTCACGGTCGCCTGCTTGCAAGGCAGGTACTTATGCCGCTGAGCTAAATCCCCAGCCCCCTCTGTTCATAATTTTCAAATATTCTTTCCACAAGTTTGGAATACATGTAAAGGGGAAATGTGTAATTTTCTACTTTGAGTCATACTTTCTGGGAGGTCAGAAAAACCAGGACCCCGGATGGTCAGCAGGGCCAGCCCTTCTCCCGACTTTGAACAGAACCTGGCATGCAGCCTGCAGAGGCAGAGCTGGTTCACTAAGCAGGACCCAGTGAGGCTGTCAGGCTCCTGCCACTTCTGCTCAGTGTGTCATCCTACGAGGACCTCACGGGATGCAAGCAATACTTCCTGGCTGCCTTTCCTTCTTGTGGACACAGCCACCACACATGAACTCTCACTGGGGCAGGCCTGGGGGCGGAACTCTGTCCTGTCTATTGCAAAGTGACAAATGTCAGAAAAGACCTGAGGAAGACAATGATGCCGCCTGGTCTCGTGTCCCCTGCTCTCCTTTGGACATCATCCACCTG